TGAGCTGGAGACTAGCTGACAAATTTGAATTGTCCTTCCAGCTGGCAGCTAGGAGCGGATTAGGGAGAAAAAAATGCGCTGCAGAAACCTACCCTCAAAGCAATTGCTACATCTTAGAAAACAGATAACAAGTACCAGAATTACTCAGCAGACCGTGAGAATTGCTCCTGGGAAGGAGCAGCCTTCGGCCTTCTCGCAGGAGGGCTTAGCCCAAACCTCCTGTGGCCTGTGCTGACCCAGGAGCTGCCTCCAGGCCCCTGCCATGCCGCCCACCTTGTGTGAGGCCCCCCAGGGCTGGGGCAGGGGGGTTGAATCCCTGAGCATGGACTGTGCCGGTTGTAACAGCGCTGGGGAAAGCCTGGTGGCTCACGTGCTGGGCTGGAACTGATTCCCTGACAGAGGTTGGGGGCAAAGAGGAAAAACTTGGGGGGCAAAAGCTCTGAAGGTCTGTAGAGCTCTCAGCTCCGCGGCTTAGGCTGGTGAGGGAGGGCAAAGGCTGCTGGTGGGATCCTGGAGCTGTGGGGGAGTACAAGAGCTGGCTGGTGAATATCTTCTCGCTGCTTGGCCCCTCCAGGTCTTCCAGTTTGACACTATTTCAGAAAAGACGTCTGACCAAGTCCACTTCTTCTTTGCCAAGCTCAACTGCCGGCTTTACAAGAAAGCCAACAAATCGTCGGAGCTGGTATCAGCCAACCGCCTCTTCGGAGAGAAGTCTTTGGTCTTTAACGAGACCTACCAGAACATTAGCGAAATAGTGTATGGAGCCAAACTCTGGCCGTTGAACTTCAAAGTGAGTGTGAACTTCTGTTGTTTGTGTGTGTCTTTTTTTCTGTGGTTTTTTTTTTTTTGGTTTGTTGGTTTGTGGCAGAGGGAGGGGAGTGTTTTTTCCTCCCTGCCCTTCTGCTTTTGCTGCGTCCTCACCTCCTGCCTGCAGGCAGTGCCACGCTCTGGGCATGCAGGACACAAGTGAAGGCAGGCGGGAGGACAGGACACAGCTCCTCCTGTCCCAGCTCCTTAACCACACTCACTTCGCAGCTCCTAATTTCTAAACACTGCAGCACTGTGCGGTGTCCTTCCTCAGCGTGCGCCCTGTAATGCCTCCTACAGAAGGGTTACAAAGAAGTTTTTATAACCCTTGACTTAACCTATTTTGGTCTCGTCCTTCAGGAGAAGCCAGACCTTTCCAGGAAGATCATAAATGAGTGGGTGGCTAATAAGACAGAGAGGCGCATTACAGAAGTGATCCCAGAGGGAGGCATCAATGATCTCACTGTCCTGGTCCTGGTCAACACCATTTATTTTAAGGTACAGCTAACAAAACTTGGGGGAGCAGCCAACTTCCCTGGGGGGAGTAATGATGCTCATGTTTGTCTCTGTCCTCCTCAATCTCCCTTGTAGGGGCACTGGAAATCACAGTTCCCGACTCCAAACACAAGACTGGATTCGTTTCATAAAGCCAACGGTGAGACCTGTCAAGTCCCAATCATGTACCAAGAGTCCAAATTCCGCCACGCATCCGTTCACCAGGACAAAGTGCAGGTGGTGGAGCTGCCTTACAAGGGGAACGATATCACAATGGTGCTGGTCCTGCCCTATGCTGGGACACCGCTGGTGGAGGTGGAGCGAGACCTGACATCGGAGAAGCTGCAGGACTGGATAGACTCCATGAGGGAGGTCTCTCTCACAGTCTCTCTCCCTCGCTTCCGCATTGAGGACAGCTTCAGTGTCAAGGAGAAGCTGAGAAAAATGGGGCTGGAAGATCTCTTCAGTCCAGAAAATGCCAGACTCCCAGGTCAGATGTGGAAATGGGGTGGTGGAGGTGGAGGTATAACCGCTCCTCTGCAGGTGCCAGGGCAACACGTGAGGAAAAAGACTGTGCCCACATTGAAGTGATGCTGCACCCATGAGGGACTTGGTGCTCTGTCCTCATCGAGGACACACAGCCCTGCTCAGCACCAAGGGCATGGGAGTTGAGTAATCAATTACAGTTGATGGAGGATATCCTTGTTTTAGGGCAGATGTGCCTTCTGTTTTGAACACAGGTCATGAAAGGTCATGAAGGATGGAGTTGTTTTGTATCTTGAGCTGCTCTCTCCATACATTGTTGTAACTCTCCCCATTCTGTTATTCTGGGTTTCAGGCATAGTTGCAGAGGGCCGTACAGACCTGTACGTATCTGAGGCTTTCCACAAAGCCTTCCTTGAGGTAAGCCTTCTTTTGTCCCAGGATGCGTTTTGTTCTTTCTTTTAAAAACTTGAAGCATAAAGGGAAAAAAGTTGCTCTGGACCAGTGGTGGTCAATTTCTCAGTGATTTGGGGCTCTGGGGTAAGGTAGAAGCTCGGTACCTTGAGCGTGTAAAGGTGCTCAGCCCCCAGTGATGCTGCAGGTGTTGGGAGTACAAGTAGGACACGGTGGGAGCCTGAGGCCTGATCCAAAGCTTTGTGACAAGACTCAAGTGCTCTTTCCTGCTTGTTTCATGGCAGGTGTGTGCTGGGTGGGTGGCATAGCTCGGCACGTTCGGGCTGGCAGTGCTATCCTCCTGCCTTCCTTGGGTAGAGATCTCCTCTTTACCAATGTAAAAGAATGTGCTCTGACCTGTGCTGTCATCTTGTGCTCCAAACCGGTGGGGTAGGAGGGAGAGCCCTCCAACTGCTGCATAATGCCTGTATTTTAAACCCATCTTCTCTTTTGGTTGGTAGGTGAATGAAGAAGGCAGTGAGGCATCAGCAGCCACAGCTGTCCTTGTCTCCGGCCGCTCCTTCCCCATGAACAGAATTATCTTTGAAGCCAACAGGCCCTTCTTGCTTTTCATCCGGGAAGCCGCCCTCAACACCATCATCTTCATGGGCAGAATATCTGATCCGTGTTCCTAAATGGGCTGTCAGGGCCTCACTTCTCCCTTTTCTGCCCTTGAAAAAGGGGCAGTAGGGTATTGGCACGCAGCCCACATCGCTGCTGGGGCGGTTGGTCTTACTGTTTGGTGCAAACTGCAGGGACGGATTGGAACCAGCTGGGCTGCTCCTGCCCCTCCTTGCTGTGTCAGGTGAGGGGGTCTCAGAGGGCACCTCTCCTGCTTGCTCAGAGGAAACTGCATTTTTTGTGGCATCCAGGACTGAGTCCAGCATCGCTGTTGTTCTTGTATCCAACCCCTCCTCCCTTTCAGGCATCAAACTGTAACTCTGATCCCCCAGTACATTAAAAGCCTATACGTCTGTCTGTAACAAACCGATCTCTGAATGGACGCTTTTCACTAAGTTGCTTCTGAGACTTGTCAAGGAATGTGCCCTTATCTACACTCCTCAGTCCTGGTAGAACAGCTGGTGAGGCCAGTGGAACAGCCGCAGCCAGAGGGCACGTGCTGGCTGGGCCAGAAACATCTTTCTGAAGCTTGGCACTGAACGGCTGCTGGGTGGAAGAGCTGCCAAGCACCAGAGTCCTCCTTGCCAGCAGCTTTGGTGTGTCTGATGCATCCAAGTGCTGTGCAGGTGCTGGTGAAAGCCTTATGTAGCCAAGGCTCATGAATCTGTCGTTTTGAGAAGTAAGCTTCAAACTAGTTCCACATTCAAGTTACTGTAGCGGGGGTGGATATGGACAATGGTGATGTCCTACTAAGGTGATAGCTGCAACTAATGCAACTGCCATCTCCAGCTGTGTGTCAAAGTTTGCTATTTCACCTGAGTGTACTCCTAGAGCTGAGGCTTGCTGGCCTGCTGCCACGCCGTGTGTGTGATTTGAATTCTGGTCTACCCGAGGTGGTTATGCTGCAGTGGGACCTCTGGCAGGGTTGTCTTTGAGATGCAGAAGTGAAATGTGATGAGCTTTTCTCTACGAGTTCTGTGTTCAGGGCAGCTGGTTAAAATGAGAAAAAAAGGCAGTGAAAGCATGGTCCAGTCCTGCTCGTGGTACATGTATCAGATGTGCTATGTGCAGGCAGCTGCTTCTGTGCAGGTAGATGGCACTCCCCAGAGTGCAACTTCATCTGGATTTTGTAGGACCAGTAAAACTCGTCTCTAGAAAGGTTTTCCCTTAGCAGCAGGTGCCTCTGCATGCCAACAGTGAGGTAGTTCACAGATGTGAACAGTCTGTGGGAAGACTAGCACGAGAGGATGTGGTCGTGGCTGGGACCATCATAGTTTTGGGAGCAGTTGGGCTTTGCAGCACTCCTGTAGGAGGAAGGTTTGAGCACCTGTGTTGCACAGTTCAGACATGGAGAGTTGTCTTCTCTGCTGCATCTCATGGCTGTTGCAGTCAGTGCCCTACCCAGAGAAGAGGCCTAAGAGGCACTGACATTTGTGATGCTGAGGGTCTTAAATCCTCCTGTTGGCGTGCTTATCTGGAATAATGCCTCTGAAAGAAACTGCATGCAGCAACTTGAACACAGAGGCTGGAACCCTGGGAGACAAGGGGAAGGGAGCATCTTGGAAATAACAAAGGGGTCAGAAAGCTCATTTTCCCTTACTCCAGCACCCACCTCTGCTGCTTTTCTTGCTGGATGCTGCCTTCTGCTTGCTTACCTCGTTTCACAGCTCCAGCTGTGTACTATCTCTGCCTGTAACCTTTGCCTTTCTTGTTGTGATTGCTCTACACTGTGGAGGTTGAAGATGGTGGGGGGAAAAAGGAAGGCTGAGGAAATGCCTGGATCTCCCTAACATGGCACTGAACCAAAATGCTTCCTCTGGCACCAGCAGCTGGAGAAGCCCTCTTGCTGCAACAGGAATCGGGTGTGAGAGCAGTGGCTTCCCCAGCCCAAGGGACTGCAAAGGGCTGAGCCTGCAGAAGTGGTAAGACGAAGCTCAAAAACCAGGACCAGAAGGCATCTAAGGTGACAGGAAAAGCAGCCTGGGACAGTTCAGGCTCTGCCACGCTGGTAAGCTGAGGGCAGCGGGGTCGGGGTGCTCTCAGCACTGCTGATCAGAAGGGTTGGGTGCCCGTCCTGCCTGGGCAGCCCAGAGAAAGCCAACATCGGCCAGGACCGGGTGGCTACAAGAAACAGACCAGGATCTGAGTATTAAACCATTTAATTCTCAAACCACTCACATGCATAATGTTCTTTTACACAGTGTTAAAAGAAAGAAGAAAATGCAATTTGTTTTAATACAAACAGAATTTCAAGTATACATTTATAGAATTTTCAAAGATTCCTACCCAAGTTGCTAAGTTCTCATTCACATTGTTCTTAAAGCTGTCTGACGAGAGTGCTTTTTGTTAAACTGCTTTAAATGCAATTGTACAATCCCTCTGCCTTTTGTTTTTTTTCCCCCTTCCCCAACTCTGGTTCTTGCGCTGCCTTTGCCTGGCCCCTTCCAGCAGCAGCGGCTGTTGCTGTATGTGACCAGCCCGCGAGCAGGCAGCCCCACTGGGGCATCTGCCTCTGCCAGCTGCCACTGGACGAGGAAAAGAAAAGCCATGGCAGAGGACCAGCTTGGGTACAGCTTGTAAAATCATTTTAAGAACAGTCTGATATCCACAAGTTACACACAGCAGGATCACACTTCAACCTACTGCAGACTAAGTGTGAACACTGACTTTTTTTTTTTTTTGAAACAAGGATTGCAACCAAAAATAAAATTGAAAAAATAATAGCACAGCAGGAAATTTCTGAACTGTGAAAATAAGTCTTGAGTCTTAGGACACTTGTCCTAAAAAGTTGGATTTCTAGGCCAACAGCTGATGGTGACAGCACAATTTTTCTTATTAATGGTTACTCTGCAAAGCAGCTTAGAGCGGAATCAATGTGGGACACACCAACTTGGATTTTAATTATTATTTTTAAATACTGAACTGACTAGGGCTCCATATCTACAGTACGGACTCCCCCCCAACCTCAGTAACAGCTTCACCAAGGCTTTGCGCAGCCTGGTGCCCACGGATAGGCCGCCTGCTATGTCACAACTGGGTGCAACTTCTGACCTACCACAAATGGGGTTTCAGGAGTCTTTACAGGCAAGGGTGTTTTTTTTGTTGTTTTTTTTGATCATGTTACAAAAGTATTCCAACAGGTCAACGCATGCCAGTCCTGTTAGTGCTACAGCACGGCTGAGCTGCGACCAGCTTTGCGGTCGGGGTGGAAAATCCTATCCATAACATTGGCAGGGGCAGCGCCGGGCCCGGAGGGGTGCGGGAGCGGGAGGTAGAGCTGCGGTAGTTTTGGGGCTGCCGGTGGCAGCCGAGGGTCTGGCACCATCGCTCCCTCCCGGGCTGTGGCTGGCGGCGAGCCCCCTGCCTGTACGGCTGTCTCGAAAGCCTGCAACAGCCATACTCATCTTACGTTTAAAGTGCATTTCTTCAGTAAAGGGTTTTTCTTTTTTTTTTTTCTTTTTTATTTATTTTTTTATTTAAGAGGAACCTTTTTAAAGTGCTGTTCTAGTTTGGAAAGGGACTCTGTTTAGAAAAAAATGGCACCTTTTCGTGACAGATCTGCTCCCTGTATGTTTGTATAATATATATAAATTTGCAGAGTCAGATCTGCTGACTAATGACCGACGTATAAAAGTGTTATTTTTATTTAAGTTTATTGCTTTTCACTGCTCTTGCTCCCTTGGAGGCGGAAGGGAGAGGGATTCTCCTCTCCCCCTCCGTGCTGCTAGCTCGGGTCTTGGTTAGCAGTTCAGCCTGCAGCCCCCGGCCAGCTTGCTGCGACGCAGGACACGCGAAGGAACGCACGCACCCTGCACGCTCACAGCCCCACAGCTCGTCCCCAGGGGTTGCATGGCGAGGAACCAGCGTCAGGGGGACTGTGGCACCTGAAAGGCTCTCCCCGCTCCTGCCCGATGCCATTTTCATAGAGTCACTTTACAGAGCAGACCTGCGTTTCTGAAACGGAGGTAAGGAAAACAAATCTGTTTGAAGTGAAAGCTTTGCTGATAGTGTGTAGCATGGCAACCTCAGCACTCCGAGAGAGAGAGGTAGTTACTGTCCTGCGAATCTTCTGCTGCTTAACGCAACTCAATTTCTGGAGTGATTGCTCAAAACCAAAAAGGAAAAAAAATCCTGTGCTCTTCGTTAGAAGTTAGCCCAGTTAAATCTTTCTGTTGAAGACATACTCGACTATTCCCTCCAAGAGGCTTTTTCTATTTTAGAAATTGATTGTCAGTTTAGCTCGTTACGAAATCAAATTTGATTAGCAAATTGCTATATAAAGCCACTTAGGTTGTTAACTCCTGTTACAATGCTCTTCTCTTCCACTGTTCCACGTGGAAGCGCTAAATCAGCGGTGTCCCTGTTTGGGGGTTATTGTTGGGCTGAACAGGGCTCTCAGTCACAGCTCATCTTCTGCAGTGTCACCACGTGACAGCATCGGACAGCATTTCATGCTCTGAGCAAGTTCAATGGAAATGTTAAAAAGAGCTACTGGTGTCCTATTCACAGTGTTGTACAGGAAAGGGGGGTGAGGCTGGGGAAAGAAGGGGGCAGAGGGCACCTTCAGCAACAACTGGGGCACAGCTCACGAGAGCTTTAGCTAGTGTTTAAGAGACCAGAGGCTTAGGGGAAAACGATGTACGTTCCCTTCCCTTTTTCAGACAAAAGCACTATTTTGAATAGCTTGCTTTCATTTCTGTCAACTAGCCTCCGATACAGTCTGCCCTTGTCCTTCACTGGCCCTCCTTGCAAGCATGGGGCCCAAGGTGAGGAATAAATTACCACAAGAACATAGAGCTGCATATTATTCTCTTCCTAACTCAACTTTTAAAAGAGCTTATTCAGCGAAGTCCCTGTTCTGCCAGCAAGGATTACTCTGTCCTTGGCCTGTCTTCTCCTACCTGTCAGCAATATTACGTACACGATCACAAAAGAAACATGCCTTATTTGAGTGACAACGCTCCCCTTGCACTTCAACATCTTTCTCATAGTTGCTTGCTCTGTGACAACACAGCCCTGGAAAGTGGCGCAGGGCTTTTTCCCAGGCAAGAACTTCAGGGGAGCTGAAGGGCTTTCATCTTGGGCAGGACAAATTCTGCCCTCCATCCCCAAATGGATGTGATCCATCTGGATCCTGCGATCCAGATCTGCTGCTTCACCTAACAGCAGAACCCTGGCTTTGGAAACTCTCAAACCCCTAAGGAAAGTACCTGCACCACGCACAAAATGAGTCCCTGAATCTTCATCAGAGACCATGTTTGCCCTCAGCCTCTAAGCACGCACACAGGACAGCCTGTGCTGACAGCAACCCCGTCCCTGTATTTTCACAGAGCAAACGTGAGCCTGCTTCACTTTGACTTTTGGTCACGTTGGTGCATCCAGCAAAAGCACCCCAGGGCCAGGGACCAGCCGCAGGGGTGATGCGAGGCACGTTTCACGCTTTTAGCCAGACTCGAAGCTGTAATCCAGAGAATTGCACTGTCCCTGTTGTGTTAGTGTAACTCACAGCTACCTGCCTCAACAACGGCATGGCACCTTCCTTCTCCCCACCAGCCCATGCCTCTGTTAAGCCGACAGTTGCTCAGTTACCACCTTAATGCAATAAAGTATTAAATAAAAGCTTCACAGTAATCCATAGTTTCCTTAGACGTGTAAGATGTCTAAGAAAATAGCATCATGGGAGCATCCAGACCAAACCAATGCCCTAAACGCATCAATAAAAAAAAAAAGGACCCCAGAAAAACCTCTCGATCTCAAGACAACTTCTGACCTTGCCCAAATGGGGAACCAGTGAAAGATCATCAGGTTGTAGCTCATTTCCAAGTGAAGTTTCTTGTCTGAGGCTTCATAATTCCTCCCCCAGACTCAGCAATTTATTTTTTTTTTATGCTGCTACTTCCTGTATTTTATGACCAGTAGTAAAATTAACCAATTTAGCTTCATTTTTACTTTCTAGTGAGTTTCACAGTTTTTGTGGGCCTTAGTGAATGGTATTGGTTCAGACTGCAAACATAATGGGAAGGTTTAAATAAATAAGTTCACTGCAATTAATAATAAAAATAATGAAGACATTTAACCATAAAGCTGAGGAGGATTAAGCACATTTACAAAATCTAAGTAAAGCTGGAGGCTTAACATAACTGACAGTTGGCAAAAAATTAATGCACTTATTTTCTTAAAGTACTGCCTTAGACAACTGCAGAAAAATAATAACTCAGAATATGTCAGATTAAACAAGGAAGTTACACAGCAGTATTTAAAAGACACCTGAATATATTTCAAAAGCTTAACTGATAGGAACTAGGAAGCCCATTAAAGCTGCCCATTTTTATATGATAATTCTATAAAAAATATATATATAGCTTGGCTTAGTCTGATGAAAAAAAGGAAGCTGCACTCACGCTTGGGCGCAGCTGGACTTCTCCACAGACCTTTGTAGACAAGATGCTCTGTCATGGATTAATCCTTGACAAATTAAAAAAAAACACAATGTGACATGGAAATGCAGTGGTGGGGTAAGGCTCTACCCCTCGCTTCACAGCATGTGGCGGGGCAGTGCCTCACACCCCTGTGGGGTGACAGAGGAGCCCCACATACCTGAGGGAGGGGCAGACCCTTGGGTCCAAGCCTCCCACCTTGAAGCAGGGCTTGCTTCAAGCAGGTTGCTCAGGATTTTACCTGCCAGGTCTTGAGTATCTCCAAGGCTGGAGAGCTCACAGGCTCTCTGGACAACCTGTTCCAATGTTTGGCTATGTTCATGGTGAAAAAGTTTCTCATTATACCTAACCTGAACTTCCCGTGTACAAACTTCTGCCTACTGCTGCTGCTCCTTCCACCATGCGCCTCTGAGAGGTTTGGTTCTGTCTTCTCTGTACCCTCTCCTTGGCTGCAGAGTTTAAGTAGAAGGAATGGCATGAAGGAGAGAGTACTGAAATGAAAGCAAACTTCTGTCTTCAACAGCTTTAACACATGCTAGAAAGCACAGTATTCAGAAAACAGCACTTTGAAATCTGCCTGGTGCTACCTGTTCTCAACTGTCACTTGCCACCCTTGAGGTTCTCCCAAGGGAGTTTCCAAAATCTGCAGGGCAAAGTTTCCTGCACTACAGCCTGGCTCATTTCATTAGGTTCCATTCTCAGATCCCTTGAAGAGCTCTACAGATCCCAGAGCAGAGAACACTGGTGATGTTCAGCTCCAATGCTTCTGAACTGGGCGTGAGCATCTCTTGTCTTCCAAGACCACGAGGCTTCCCGCACGCTCCCGCACACAGGCAGGTTCCAAAACAGCCCTTTCCCTGCCCGCAATATCCACACGCTTCTCCCCAGGGATGCTGTGCTGTCGTTTCACCTACCCCCGTTCCACTCAACACCTCCTGTTGCCTTCCAGTGGCAACAGCCACGGCCAGTGCTGAGAGCAGATGAGCTTGCCTCGTATTTCAGGGGACATGTGCCTTCTTCCCCTCCTTGCCAACCTACTTTCCTTGCCAGCTCACCATCACCCAATTAGAATACTTTTTTTTTTTTTAATGAAACTGATGGTGCCCATTTACCTGGGGCACCTCTGGCACGGGGGGCTGCCTCTCCCCCCGCAGCGTGCCAGCTCCATGCTCCCGGCTGGGTGCCGGGGCTCCCTTCCCTCCCACCTCGGCGGCGGCACGGACGTACCTGCTGCGGGTCTCGGTGGCCGCCTGGAGTGAGAAGGCAGGGCTCAAACGCTACCACTGTTCCTTGCCCAGATTTCTGAAATGGCTCATCTCACCCTGCAAAAACAAGTACCTGGACATATGTTACCAGCCAGTACCCCCAGGTCTGCTCTACCACCCTGCCAAAAGCAGGTTTTATTCTTCATTCGCAGAAGCGCTTGGCACGTCCCGCTGCTTCTGGTTCTGAAGCTACGGGATCCCCTGCCCAGATCCCCCCAGCACATCCTCGGTGCTGACAGTCCTGCCGCTGAAGGCAGCAGTCTGTGGGAAGTCACGAGGCAAACTTTAGGAGAAAGCCCAGCCCATGTCCCTCACATCACGGACCCCAACAAGTCGGCACCAGCACCCGGTGACTTGGTCCAGGCTGCGGCACAGCCCCCAGCTCTGGTCCCCCAGCTAACCCAGCCCCTCGGCAGCAGGGAAGCCCTGCTACGAGCATCAGATCCTACAGCCCCCGACTTGAACCGATTGTCTGTGAAGTCCGACAAGTTTCCTAGTGCAGGTGCCTGAACAGCAGAGGTAAACCCGTTGGCAGTGGGCTGGCTCTGTTGGCAGTGGGCTGGCTCTTCTGGGCTAGTTCATGGAGAAGTTGCATGTAGACGACAAAGTGAAAGCCATCATGCCACGTCAAGATTTACCTAAACAGCTTAAAAGTAATCAGGGAGGAGGTGACCTGTGATTTTTCAGCATTTCCATGATAGGAATTAAAGCTTTAAAAACAAAAAGCAGCTTTGTGGGCAGCGTCCCAAAGCCATCAGAGCAATTACAAGGGAAGGGAATTCCAACGCCCTTGCCCAAAGCCTCAGGCACACCCCTGCAGTGACCCCCTAAGCACCGAGGAGCCGCCGCCCTGTGCAGCACACTGCTGCTACTCAATGTTCAGTTTGGGGCATTTTCAGCAAAAAGGGCTATCTTTCTGTAAAACTAATGCTATGCATGTACAGATATATATTACTGAAAGTTATTTAAAGAGAAGTGGCAGAAATTTCACATACGACTGTCTCAGTAACTGTTCTGCCCAGTTAGCAGCCAGAGCTCAGTCTAAGGTACCTCTCCTCCCTGCCACCAGAGCAGAGAAGTGTCCTCCTGCCCCAAGGAGGGTTACGGGATGCCTCAGCCTGATGGAATTTCTTTCCTCACAAAACCCAAGCGAAGCAGAGGCCGTGACGCTTTGCTAGGCACTGGTGCAGCACAGAAGGGCTCTTGTACTCAGCCCACAGTCCCCAGTGACTACAATTAGAAATAGATTAGCTTACAGGCTTTTTATATTTGCCAGATCTGAACTCAGGAGCTAAAAATTGTATTGCATGTACACCAGGAGCTGCGAGTACGCACTAATCCTGCTGGAGAGTATTAAATGAACTTAATCAACAAGGGTGGGTGGGTATCACACTGCTCGATAGGAGGGATGCAGGGAAGCTTGCTATAAAAAGAGCCTCTGGCATGCGGGCTGAGCAGGAGAGCAAGAGGAAGTATGGCTGCTGCTAAGCCTGCAGGAGACTTTTTGTGGTCAAGTTGTAGCATTTGTAAGTTCCTCGGAAAGGCAATTACTCCCCCCATAGAGAAAAAAAACAGCCAGATTTCACTTCTGAACCCATTTCCTCTTTCCATTGCTGACAGCAGAACGTGTACCTCTTCAGAGGTTACTACAAAATACCTGCACCTCTAGACATCACTAACTAGCAAGTGCCTGTTTTCTAAAAGAGTAAGCTAGAGACTGAACACACTGGCAGTTGTTTTTGTGGCCTCCTCTCTCCAGCACCCAGTTGTGCCAGACCACAGTCTGATTTGCCACCTTCTCCCTTTTTACTTCTGGGCTTGCCAGAATGTGCTTGTTTTCCTACAGAACACTTAAGTGCCATGGAGAATGCTGCATCTTTAAGCCTTGATTTTGTTTAACAAAACCACTTCTCTGTACGTCAAAGATGTCCAGAAGCCTTCAGAAGGCCCTGGAAACTGCCTCGGGGCTGGCTTTAATCACTGTGACAGCACAGAGGAGCCAAAGCCCTGGAGCACTGGGTCCAGTGGCAGCTCTACTCCACCTCAATGCGAACCTCTTGCCTCCAACCCTGGTTAGACAGCACAGCTTGAAAACAGCAAGCCGCTGGGGACAGAGGCAGAACCAGTGCCAGAACCGAGTCAGTCTGTCCTGTCGATATCAAAAATTCACCCTAATCCCGCGCTGACCAGGACAGGGTCAGGAAGAGGATCACTTTAGATCCACCTTACAGCATAAGGCAAAGCCACCCTCAAGTTCCCTTGCAGGAAAATCCTCGAGGCATTCCAGCAGGGAAGTCCTTATTCTTCTTTAAAGTACCCAAATCACCAGGCAGGGCAGAGGTGCGGTGCTTTGTGGCCAACAGGCACAGCGGGGCGGCTCGGGCTCCGGAGCAGTTCTGCTGGGGCAGTCCAGCAGCAGAAGCGCTGCCGAGACCTGGTCAAAGCACGAACTCAAACCACCTCCAGCAGAGGCAAGTGCCTCGTCTCTGCCAGCCGCCAGGCCGCACTGCTCCTGTAGCAGTTCCTCCAGCACCAAGTTAAACTGCGTGAGGAAAAAACCAACAGCATTTCACGTGCTCACCCACGCTGCCTCCCCACAATCCAACCTTACTAGCACGCCTTAAATCCGCCCGAGGTTTCCAGTCTCTAGGGTTCAAAAGAACAAGTTCTTCCATCTTACCTGCATTTTTGTCAACAACGATCTTTCCAAGAAGCATCATTTCACAAGCTGTAATACTTTGGTTTATAACTGGATTAAAATATAAATTAAACAATAATGCTAAATGAGTTTATACTGAAATACTTTATATATGTATACATATATATGCATATACTGGTACGTGTGTGTGCACTCCCTAACGACAGCTAGAGGAAGCAAAAGCTACTCTCCAAAGGCTTCTACTCTTCCAACTAGCTTCATCACCTTATCCATTGCAACAATTCCCTGTGCATAAAAGCTAATGGAGCACTGCAAGGTGGCACTGGTAATCAGCCAGATGACACAGACGTTCAGGAACAGAAAGACAATAAATTAGAAGCAGTAGTAACTTGTTCACAGTTGGGATGAGGATAATGTTATAAGAAACCTGAATTTTCTACAGTCCCTAAGAACAAAAAGTCAAACGGGTCAGTGAAGATTCCAGACAGATATGTTTTAGCTAAACCTAAAAGCAAAGATCGGATTCGACACAAAGAAACGGTAGAAACCCCGTGAAATTTCTCCCAGCAGGCTAAACTCTGGCACCATCAGTCTCAACAGGAAGATTTCCAGTACCTCCCTGGGACCAGAACTCAGCCCAGTCCTGCTTCGATCACAGCCTCCGTCCCAAGGACGGAGATGTTCACAATGAAGATGCCTTGCAGCCAACTCAGTCCTATGTCTGGAAAGAAAATGCTCCCAGGCCTTCCTCTTCAAACACCCGCATTATTGACTCTACCTCTTCTCTACCTACCATCCCTAACACCACAGTTCCATCTCTCCCAGTCCCAGCCTCTGAATTTTCCTATGTTTTGCAAACAAAAGCCTTTCAGCAATAATACTAATGCAGCTGGATATATTTTAGAGTTTGGAGGACTCCTTAGATACTTTTATAACCCACTTATGAGCGGATTCCAGATTCAGAATGATCTAAGCTTCTAGTGAGACTAACTGCAGCAAAACTTTGGCCCCTGCTGCATTTTTTATTTAAAAGAAAAAAAAAAAAGAAAAGGCAACAAATATACTCCAAAGTATTCCAAAATATTCTGGTAGGTGTTAGTTTCAAGCAGCAGCCTGTAGTGTTTGCATAGTTCTAGCTTTTATTTGGTTACAAATATATCTCTCTATATAAACCTACATACAGATGTATGTACGCATTTTATATTAAAATATCCTTTGAGTGACAATGATTAAAATAAAGATATTTAGCTGCTCTTTAGGACCTTCCGCTGATGATATCAAAGCCCTGTGCATGATCTCAGCCCCTGGCGTGGGTAATGCTCACCGCTGGACCACCACCTTACAGAATAATAGCAGTCAGCTCCACCCAAAGACTCCGGGTTTCTGACTGCAGAAACTCGGAGCCCAAGCCTAGAAGAAACACCAGAAGTTTTCTGAACCTCTCTGAACCTGACCTCTCCCATGCCCAAAACTTTTCTGGGAAGAACAGCATCAGTGTCACTTAGCTGCAGGAACACTCGGATGCCTGAATGGCACAGCGACGTTGGCACGTCAAGTATCACACAGAAGGTTATTATGAAGATTAAATAATAAGTTTAAGGGGTGCTAATTTTCCTCGGCGTTAAAGCTGCATGACTCAGTCTCTCTTGCAAGCTACCTTCCTCCCAAACCAACTGCACCTTTTCAGTTGTCGTTTTGTACACTGGCTTCTGCTGGGAAGAGGAAGGCCCAAGCAAATAAAAGCTACAACGCTGCTCTTGCAAACGCACAACGTGGGTTCCATCACCCAAAGAAGGACTGTCCTCAAGGACCAGACTGCTTACAAATATTTAAAGAACTGCGCATCAAACTTTTACATGAAATTATTAAGTGAAATCATCGCTGCGGAGAGGCGTGGGACTAACTGCCCTGGCCAACAAAATCACTGAGTTGTCACAAAGCAGGAGCAGGCCGAGCAGAGAGATCGGTCTCACTGATGTGTTTTGGCCTCGGTTTGAAGAGGGCTGAGCTCCTGGCCCCGTGCCTGCCCCGCCGTGCCTTCCCACGAGACCGCAGCTTGCTCCAAGCACCATTCCAGCGCCGGCGGCTGGCCGGTGCCCATGGTCAGCCCCTGCCAACCTCGGCCAGGTTTGAAACAGCCGCAGGAGCACTACATGCTTTCTATTCTTCCTGCCTTCAGCCACCCAAACTTCGGCAAGCTCGGTTAAACAGATCACAGCTTAAAAGTATTTCAGAGGAGACACCGGTGAGGCAAAAGGCCACAAGCTGGCGGCAGCAGCCTGACGAGGAGCTGCACCGGGAAGCCAGCGGCAGGCGGCACGACCACGCCACGGGACTGCTCTGCACAGGCCGGTGTTCCCGGCCAGCGTTAGGTGGCCAAGCATGTTCTCTGCCTCCCGTTAGAAATTCACATTTCACAACCCCCCCTCTGTAGCTGCTGCAAGTAAGCAGCCTCGGCCTGTTCTGCTTCTTTCTCTCTTCCAGCCCTACGCCAGTCATCCTCCCGAGAGGAAGGCTGTTAGCTTGTCCCCCAAGCAGCAGCACAGTATTAACACAATTCCTGTTATTTTCACAGCTATTCACAGGGAGCCCAGCAGCAGCAGGGAACGTCCGCAGCACCGTGCTTTGCCCTGCTGTGCCTTGGCACTGGGGCTTTCTGCAGGCTCAAGGGGAGAACCGCAACACTTCACATCGGGAAGGTTTCCTTGCCGCTGCAAAGACCTCTGGAATGCGTTCCCCCTCCAAAAAGGAAGGCTGCAGAAACAGAGCACGTTCCCCCTGCTGCCTGAGGCGAGCAAACAAACGGGTTAGCAAGCCCTAGCTCTGAAGCTGACAGAAATGTTAAGTTAGAGAGGTATTAAAACACGACAGTTCGCTTCACATCCTCCTTGAATCACAGTTGAAATCACAGTTTTGGCAAAGGGGAAAAAGCTGAAGCTAGATGTGGAAATGCCAAGCCGTGCCTCAACCCATCACAGAAGCACTGGTACTTGGAAAGCCGGCACCTGTTTCTCCACAGCTTCAGTGGAGCTGCAAGATGGAGATGCAACAAAAGATGTTACCACGCCGCTACGGGAAGCGACCCCAGGCAGCTGCAGCACTGCTGGAAAACTCACACGAGGTCTTTCCATCCTGCACACAGCCTCCAAGCCCTGATCCTGCAGTCGCAGCCGCATCTGCGCTGAGGAAGCCGATCGCTGAAAGAAAAGTTGAACAAACAACTCCTCCTGAACTGGTTCCCTCTCCTAGCGCAGCTGGCCTCAACGGCTTTCAGCACGGCTCACAAAAGCATTAGAGACACCATGATTTCCACACATACGTACACATACATGTCCATTAAATGTACAGAAATAATATTAAAATGATTCCCACTACCATTCCTTATACTGACTCTAGTTACAAGCTTATAAACTTCACCTCAACGAGGCCTGGGCAAGAATATTGGCTCTTTTGCATGCAATCAGAAATGATCATTTGTACAGTGGCAACCTCTGCACCAAAAAAAAAAAAAAAAGAAAAAAAGAAAAAAAAAGAAAAAAAGAAAACCTTTCACAAGCTTTGTTTTCAGGCTAGCCTAGAACAATATGAAGGAACAATTTCACGACTTTCACCAGGCCAATTAAAAGTAGCAAATCAGCCAAACAGGATGCACCAATCTCACCCCGGGCTGCTAGGATGCTCCTCCATTCACAGTATCAATACAGTAAAACAAAAACAAAAACCTGCTCAAGAAACTCACAGCTATGCCATACAAGTAAGGCATTCACCATTTTATGTCAGCCCTTCATCACTAAGCTTTGACGGATCAGTTGCCATCTGTTTCTGAAAAATGTTGCTTGTATAGCAGTTACTGCACCTTCACCCTTCTCTTCACAGCAAGCTTAGCAGGGAAACTTTCCCACTATATTTATATATAATATATGTATATAAATAATCTTATGTTTTTATAGTTTGGTAGTATTCTTTTAAAAGTTCTATTTTAAAACACTTAAAAAAATCTTTGAAGCAACTAAAAGTAACTTTTGACACTCTCTAGTGTGAACGGGATAGGACTTCAAAGTTTTTAACTTTTTTTCTTAATGATTTTTGGTAACTTCAAAAGCTATGACTAAAGCAGCATACTCTGCGTATCTCCGCTCCTCCCCGCACCTCGATTGCAACAAAACCTACCTTAGCCACCCTCTTACCTCTCATCTTCTGCGACTACTCTCTGGCAACCTTACTCTTTGACCTTTGACAGGAAACTGAACGGGGCTGGTCCCTTGGTTGGCTGCTCAGAACATCATCCCCTGCGTGTCGATGCACTTGACAGGAGAGGAAGAAGAAGGGACAGAAGGAAAACGGAAGGGGAGATGTCAGTTGTCCTGTTCGAAACGGTCAAGGAACTTGCGCTGGGCAGGTGCCCTGCTCAGAACACCTGCCAAGGCTCCTCTCTTAGGAGCACGTCCCTGGTGCACCTGATCCTGGCACCAAGCCCTTCCCCTCCCCACACACCACAGCATCAGAGCCACGTCTGCCTTTTGAGAGACGTGGGAGGAACAGCGAGACCCTTTGCCTCTTCGAAGTGGAAGGCGGGCAAGACCACTTCACCCTTCTCCGAATTCTTGCCTCTAATGGGGCAGGAAAATGATCACGAGTCCCAATTTGCAGGTGGGGAAAGCGAGGCCAGGAAATATTTCCTGTGCCCGAAGCTGTGCAGGCAGGCAGCAGGAGAAGCTTTGTTTAAACTCAGAAAGCCTCCTGCCTGCCAAGACCACGCTGTAACCACTTGTCCAGCTTTCTTTGCGAAAGCAAGCTGGAATGTGTTTCTTTTTCAATGTCTCATTGTTCCTCCCATCATCCTAAGGATCAGAAATTCATCCTTCCCTAAGACACACTTTAAACATCCTAAAGAGAATCCCTTCAACCAAATGTCCTCTCCCAAACCCGATCTGCGCAACCTGTCGTGCATTTTCCCCTTCCATCACCAACAACTCAGCAATAGAACCAAAGAAAACTCTTAAAGTATTGCATATTTTTAAAAAGACTTCTTCAGAAGATGTCAAGATATTTGCACTTATCTACCTGTCCCATGCTTTTCTGTTTAGGAAACACGTAAGCACGTGCAAACACCTACAATACACAACACAGGCATGTCTCTCCAGGTTTGCTAAACTTGCTCTAAACATCAGAGCTTCTTAGAATACAAAAGTTCAAGTCCATGCAACGGGACAGAGTTGTGATTGCTCTAGGAACCACTGATATTAAGTTTCCTGAACCATTACGAGGAAATAAAGTAGGGTTTTCTTTTTTCATTTCAGCAATAAAAAAGTTATCAAACTAGTTTGTAGAAACATGTTCAAAAGCAACCACCCATGATTGCTTGGCTGGGATTACAGTATCTCAGTAAACCATATTGCTGTTATAAAAGATCAAGTGCGTGTCAAGGGGGGAGCTGGGGTGAAGGACGACTTTGGTAGTCAGCCTCTAACTCCTCCATTCCGCCAGCAAACAAACCTCTTCCTAAAGCCTGGCAGCACCTGAAGCACGGCAGCGCACCGCTCAGGACGTCGGAGCGCTCCGAACCCTCCAGATTAGCACCAGCAGAGGACAACCCTCTCCAAAAGACCCCTCCAAACCTTCTCCCCACACATTAGAGTGACGCAAACCTCACAGCTGCTAAATTTCACTTTCAGTAGCCTAAGCGCTTCAAATTTTGCTGACCTCTAGAATGCTGCTTCATAGCCCTGCCCGCTTTTAACAAGGGGCAGGAGGCCACACGCCTGGAACGGGCAAGCCAAAAGCCCTAAAATAATAGTTTACGTAAAAATGTAAAAAGAGACACACCAAAAATAAGACAGGGATAAATATAGTCAGGCAAGGCAGGTTCCACTAGGACAGTCTGTTTGTTTTTTTTAACGTGGCCACTACCTGGGAAAGGGAGAAAGGCAAGTGCCCCTCGCCCCTGCTTGCCCCTCTGATGCAGGCCAGAAGACGCAGCGAGGAGCAGCCAGGCTCGCTGGCTCTGCGCCGGCAGGAATTGGCAGCTGGGCCACAATCTTTTGAGAAATAAAAAGGACTGCTTGTCCCGGATGATCGCTATCGAACATTACAAAAATTTTAAATCCTGTCGATCCCTGAATAAGAAGAAGTTGATTGACACAGTTGTCTTGTTTTTCCTCAGGAAGATGAGGAATAAGGGAGGAAAAACCTTTAACACTATGTTTGTGGGGTGTTGTGAGAGAAAGAGAGAGAGTGAGAAAGATTTTTCTATTTTGGCAACATCTTGGGAGCTTCTTTCTGTCCAATGGTGGCATTGCACTAATTACAGTACCAGCCTGCCAGGTTGGTGCTGACTCTCTAGAGCCAAAACGGGAAGGTGGTCCTTCCTCCCCACACCCTGCCGCTGCCTTTCAGTCTGGCCCAGTGGTGGACACAGATCCCTGTGCCGTCTCCCCCACAGCAACAGCTTCCTCCTGCGGGGGAGACTCTTCCTCTGCCTGCCCCCGAGACGTGACAGTGGTCTCGGGGGAAATGCTGTGAGGCCCCTCCAGAGGCACGCAGCCAGGGTGGTTCTTGCGAAAGTGCTGGTTGAGGATGGCCTGGAAAGGGAAGCTTTTGCCACAGACGTGGCAGTGAAAGGGCTTGTTGCCTGTGTGCTTGCGGATGTGATACTCCAGCTGATCCTTGCGGGTGTACTTCTTCCCACACATGCGGCAGACAAAAGGCGTGATGCCCATGTGGAGCCGCATGTGCCGGTCCAGGCTGCCCTTCTGGTTGAAGGATTTGGCGCAGTAAATGCAGGTGAGCCGTGGGTTGTACCGGAACCAGCGCTCCGAAACTTCCTGCTCCCGGAGATATTCCACGTAACCACTCACTCCAATCATGGCTGATTCTTCCCCCTGCGAAGGAAAAAACAGATTAAAAACAAAACAAAACAAAAAAACAAGCAGCTTAAAAAGAAAAAAAAATGCGGAAAAGATCTGCTGTTTCTTCCTCTAGGCCCCAGTCCAGTTAAGCACTGGAGCATGTGCCAAACCTAGAAATCAACAGCACTAATGTCTGCAACCTCAAGCACACATTTAAGTGCTTAACTGGAGCCTTGGGGCTGGAGACAAACGAGCAATCAATTAGAAACCTCTGCTAGCGGCCCCTTCTGCCAAGCCATTCACTGGGTCTGGGGAAGAAAATACAGCCTTTGTCAGGAGGGCAGTTAGCCACTGACTGAGCTGTGGATCAAAGGTGTCAATACAAGCTACTCCGTTTTTTTTCCCCAAAAAATCTTGGAGCAGTTTGACTAAAATACTGTATACTGTATTCTGCTATACTTACTAAACGTTAGAAAAAAGCCAATTAATAAGCTTACAGTAACACGAAGGTGGAATAAACTCCAGCTCACGTCTGAAACTCTCCGGGTGTCATTTCACGTGGGTATTTGTTCAGGTGTCCCTCAGGCTTCATTTTATAATGGCTCACGTTTGACTAAAGGCTTACGCAATCCATCCACCCCCACGATATTGCAGGGGAGAGGCTGAGCAGAGCGAGCTGCGACCGGCTCCAAGACACACGGCAAGGAGCAGCAGCTCCTCACCGCCTGCTGCAAGCCGAAGAGCCACGGGCATCCCTCAGCCACACGGCTCGAGGACAGCCGCAGGCACTGCTTTCTGGAGCTGCTGTACCCGGAGGCAGCACACCTAGACAGCCCCTGAAGGCCTGCGTGTTTGTACTCCAAGCCTCACGCCGTTTCCTGAGGATGCCAAGCACGGAGGAGCAACCAGTGTGAACGCACAAGAGCCTCTGCCCTGACAGCTGGGGCTGGGCACACACAAGGAGCGGTGTAACCGTGCCAGGCGCCGCCGAGTGCAGCTGCACAAGCAGTGGCAAGCTGCTCGGAACTAAAGGAGATGCACACAGCTGTGGTGCCTCCCTCGCACGCTGCCACCGGGCAGGGATTGCAGGCAGGCTGTTTATAACATTGACGTGGGAACAGCAGAAGTGTGAAAGGTGACAGCACTTCCCTGCATGTGTTGAAGCCCACGGTTCTAAGATTGAGGCTGTCTCACTACAGAGAAATAACAGCATCTTTTCCATACTTAGAGCCGAAATTGCTTTCTGTTGCATTTGCCCTGGAGGGTTAGTTTGACCTGAAATTTTCTAGACATATTCTGAGGACCCAAAACAGGCCTTCGGCAAAATAAGAGCAAAAAGGTATTGTTTTATCGAAGGGCATCCGGAAGCTAGCAGACAGAAATCATGGTTTTTATTCTTCACTTCACTCAGTCTTACTCAAGGTCAAAGCAGCCTGGTAACTCCTCACATGCTTCCAGCAAAGTCATTTGATTACAAACTAACACATTACTTATGTGTCAGGAACACGAGATGTCCTTCCACAGGGTGCTGGGTGATGTCCTTGCGCTAGTGTCACTGCAACACTGACTGCATGCAACAGAAGAATTAGACAAGGGACAAAAGACAAGAGACCTCTGTACAAACCCCCAGTCCTCCGACACTCCACCCAAAAGCTTTACTGGTGTAGTACTTGGAGGGCTTTTTGGAATGGTTTTGGTAGGAAAAGGTTCGCATGTTGTCACCCCTCAGCTTCCTACAGAAGCCAGCTAACGCCTCTTCCTTTGGCTCGGGCACTTGCTGGCAGTGTTTTAGCACAGGTCCAGGTGAACAGCGTTTCTCCTCAGGAGTTGGTGCCCTGCCCAGAATGAGGGTTGACATTTACGCCCTCAGACAACAAGAGAAACTCCTCATGTTTTCCAGGTATCTGGACGAAATCCCAACCAACAGACAGAATCAGTTGTACACCATACACCGACGGCATGCGTTCTGAGGGTGGGTAACCAAACCCTTGGCACTAGTAAATATTTGGTCCTCGTTTTACAAACAACATTGCTTGCAAATATAAAAGGTTACATGCTACACCACAACGTAGTCCCCTTAACCTTCAACGCCAACGTTTACTTGCAAACTGCTGGAACTGCCTACCTGGGAACTGGGCTGCTTGGGCTCATCCATCCGCCCGGGAGACTCGCTTTTTGATCTGTACCGCTCAGTCACAGCAACCATGCTGCCAGAAGGGCTAAATCTGTGGGGTGGGGGAAGAGTGTAAATGGAATTTTTAATGGGCATCAGGTCACTATGGTGTGTAGAACAACGGGTGAGCAATAGAGGCACCTGTATAGCATCTCTTCATCCTCACCAGCTAACACACAGGAGGCGGAACAGCGCAAGTATAAAGGAAAAACCAAGTCATACTGGTCTGTGGGTTCAGTCTTAACATCTGAAAAATAAAACTGAGTCATTTGGCTTCCAGTTCAGTCATAGAGAGCTTTTGGGTTGCTATTGCAAGCAAGTAAATTGATATGGGCCCAGTGACTCAGGAACTCTCCAACGGGAGGAGAAACTGGTTCTCTAAGGGCACCTCTCACGTACCACCCTCGTGCTTATCTCCCTTGTGAGTGTGAAACTACGGCATATCACAAAAGTGATGCCAGGGACTCCAAGTAGGAAACAGCGGATACTGAGTGCAGTGTAAAAAATTGATGCTTGGGGCCAGCTGACCCATGGAGAAGAGTCGAGAGGCTAGGAAAGGCTTGCTCTCCCAAGGGCCAGCTCAACATAACTCCCACAGACTGGTTTATTAAATGGTAAGTGATGGAATATCCACTGTTTCCGGGAAGCTGTTCCCCCGTAGGACCACAGGGACTGAGCTGGAAGAGGAGGAGTGTGAAGGGAACCTCCCCCCCATTGAATGCAAGCCCTCCCAGACACACAAGATCCGCTCTTTATCAGATCCATTCTTTGGTCTGAGCTAAGGGCAAGGAAACAAATGCTGCAGTGCCGGGGAAGCAAATGGACGAAAAAACACAGCATATTTCACCCCTTACTCCCAGTATAGGTTTTTTGCTGTTTCATGTAAATCCAAACAACAGCAGAGGCCAATGGGCTCCCCACCTCAACTGCTTCAACAGATGCAACCCCAGGACCCACTGCTATCCCGGACCACCAGGAAGAAAGCTTCCTCTTGACCTACAGCTGGTGGCCAGCTTGTTCCTAGAACATAACAACTCCCAGATTTTCAGGCCAGAAGGCATCATTACAATGGTACTTTGCGTAATGTATTGTATATGACCTCGTTAATTCCAATGCTGAGCATGGCATCTACTGAGGCTGCACAGCAACTTCTTTTTTAGGCAAAAACCCTGTGTCAGCTGAAACACTGAGAGGCAGAGATTCCACTCTGTACATCTGTGAGCACTAACGATCCCAAGCTAGCCTACACCTGGAGATCCTGGGCTGATGGCTGTCCAGCCAGAACATTATGACCCAAACCAGATACACTCTGTAACACAAGGAAAAAAATCCTTCAGTGCTTAGGCTTAAGAAGGACACGTGAAATATTAGGGGGAAATGGTCAAAAGCACCAGCCCAGCCAAGTGAAAATTGTGCTCAGTCTCCTCTTACAGCCAAGGACATAAGCTGAAGAGAACTCACCTGTCAATCTCACTGCTGGTCGGCCTGACTACTTTGGCCCCTGAGGACCCTAACGCGTAAGTCTCTTGGCTCATTGATCCGTGGCCCGTGGTGTCAATCACCATCGCTGTGACCTCCTCAGCACTGCTCCCATCTTCTCCTGACGGCTGATTCTCTGCCCCTAGCCACTCCTCCAGGTTCTCCATTTTAATGCGCACTCCTCCCAGCACTCGGACGTCATCATCGCTCCGTCCGCCGCGGTCTCCTGCTCCCGTCTCGACATACCACTGTCCCGCTCTGTTGATCCGCAGGATGGGTTCCCTGCTTTCCACATCTGAGCTCTGTTCGATGATCTGGGGGCTGGTGGACTCCTCTGGTGGGCTGAGCTCCCGGATGTCCAGCACTGTGCTAACCTGGCCCAGGCGGCTCCCTTTCGGGGCGTTGTGACGAGGGCTCAGGGAACGGTTGAGATTTGGCGTCACCCGGTGAGACTCCGGGGGTCTCTCCTGATGCTTTGTCCTGGTCTGGCTCAACTCCGCTTCCACCTCTGCTACGTTGATTTTGAAGTGAATTCCCTCGAGAATCTGCGTGCATTTGTCTATGATGTGCTGCATCTGCAAGAAACTGGCGGCCGTTAGGTAACTGATGATGTCAGCCAGCTGCAGGCATATCCTACCGGTGTAACAAAAGGAAAGGAGCTGCTCAAAAACAGACGGGTTCTTGATGACAGAAATGGAAACTGTGCTCATTTCGTTCAAGGACATATGGTCGCGGAAGTAGGGCGAGCTGGCAGCCAGCACCACCTTGTGAGCGCGGAAAGCTTGCCCCTGCACGTTGACCACGATGTCACACAGGCGGCCCTGCATGCGCAGCTGGTTCAGGTGGCTCAGGACAGAGTTACTGAAGTCAGGAATCTCCAGCTGAATGTTCCCACTCTTCTCCATGGCTGTCCCACTTGCAGGTGTAACCCGATTGAGAAAGAAAAAAAAACAACAAGCTGTCATTAACAAAGCTGCTCTGTCCTCTGCATTTAGAGCCTTCTTCATCTACATCTATTCAGTTTGAAATGTCGGGATTTTTAAAGAGCTTTCAGTGCTTAATTTACAAGTGGCTCGCAGCAGATCTTTATGTTCTGTACATTGCCTTTTACAAACATTATGTTAAAACAGTCCCTGACAGATCCCTGTTCCCTGTGGCTTAAGTGCTCTAAACAGTTCATTCTGCAAGCCTCAATAAAAGCGCATTTGCATTGTAAAAAGAACACTGAAAATGGTTCAGGTTCTAAAAATAGGTAATGATTGCATAAGGGATTAAAATACTTAGCACTTGTACCTTCTAAGCATTTTGGAAGTGGAAATAAATATTGCTATAAGATTGTCCTTTACAGAGCAGGAATCATGAAGGAGAGACAGGGGCCTAAATCCTCCCCAGTGACTTTTCAGAAGCTGACCAGCACATGTTTGCACTCACGGCCTCTTAATCGCGTCATTAAAACCAAGATATTCATCAATTGTGGCACTTCCGACACAGGGCAGAAAACAGACACCAGGCCAGCGAAAGCAAAAGAGCAGTAACCAACTCCAGCCACCAACATATCGACCATCCAGCCGGCTCAAACGACTCCATGAGAAAAGCAGCCAACGTCTGTGTAGCTTGAGGTGCTGCGCACAGCAGAATATGCCTTGTGAACAATGGGGATTAGCACACGAGCTCTCCTACTTTCCTTTCCGTAATTCCTCTTTTTTTTTTTTTCTTTTTTATAATCATCACATTTCATTTTGGCAAAGTTTGAAAAGAAGTCCTGACCATATATGGTCAAAATTCAGAATGGTCCAAAATTAGCCGTAAACTCACCCCCCTACACACACGCACCAGAGAAAAAAAAAAAAAAGGAAAATAAATACCTTCATTAAAGACCTCTCGTGGCACGAGCTGCTCCCCAGTTGGATGGCATCTGAAGTGTTGATTAGGCAGAGTGCTGCAGATATCTAAACAATTTCGGGCAGTCCAGGAATACTGAGGCTGACAGTGCCTACTCTGAGAAATCTCCGAATAAAAGGGCCCAGCGCATGCCTCAGCTCATGCACATGTGCCTTCGGAGGGCAGGGGCCTAGAGCTTCGGCACGTTTTTTCGTTCTCAGCTACGAGCGCTGCAGGACAGTGCATGTTCGTGTGCCAGAACTGCCTTTGTGCAAACTTGGCAAAATATGTTACTAAACCTGAAGCTGCAGAGCAGCCTGTCAATCTCCCGAGGTCGCGCACGGGGATTGCTAAACCAAGGGGACGGCTGCCGGGCTGCGGGGCGGACGAGCTCAGGGCTGCATCCAACTCCCCAAGGTGCAGCTCAGCAGTGCCACATCCGAAGGCTGCTTCTCCCCTCGCCCTGCCTTCGGGAGGAAGCGACAAAACCCACAAAGGCCGAGGAAGCAGCTTGCAGCACGCAGAGCCGATGCCACCCCGCTGCCACCCCGCCCCGTACCTGTCACGTTAACGGCACCATGCACCGGGGGGGCGTGCGGCCGGTGTCTTCGCTCCCTGCTCGTCTTCCGAGGCTGCGGCGTCTGGAAGCTTTCTGCCCCCTTCCCCTGCAGGGAGGACGAAGCACAGAGAGGCAGGAGCAATGCAGCCAACGCAGCCCCGGCGCTCCCCGCTCCGCTGGGGGTCACGGCGGCGGCGCTGGGCGACCCCGCTCCCCGCACCCCCGGCACCACAACCCCGCGGGGCCGCGACCGGGACCGGGACCGGGACCTCCCCGCCCGCTGCCCCCGGGGCGCTGCCCGCAGCGGGGGCACGAGCCCAGCCCCGCGGGGCTGCGGGGCGCTGGCGGCGGCCGCGGGCGGCCTCAGCCGGGAGCGCGCTGAGTCCCGGGGGAGCCCCGTGCAGCCGGGGCCGGGCGCTGCCCCCCCGCTCCCCGCTCCCCTCGGGGCCGCCCCGCACGGCTCGGACCCCCCCGGCCCCCCCCGCCCGCCCCGCGCTCACCTCCCGGGGCTGGGATCGGCCCCGGCGCCGGCCCGGAAGCGCAACGCTGCCCCCCCCCTCATCCCCCCCCCGCCCAGGAAGAAAATCCCAAATCCCCCCCCCCCTCCCGCCCCGCCCCGCCCCGCCCCGCCCTGCTCAGGGGGCGGGGCTCGGCGCGTGACGTCACCGCGGCGCGGCTATATAAGGGGCGCGCGGCGGGCGAGCGGCCTTTCGAGGCGAGGCGCGGCGGCGGAGTGGGTTGGGGGCTTTGCGGGGCTCCCGGTGCGGCTCGGCGGCACGCGGTGTTGTGCCCCCTCCCGGCCTTTTCATGGCACCTGCGGAGGCGCGGCGGGGCTCGGTGGGTCCGCGGCGGGCGCTGGCGGAGGAGGATGGAGGCGGATTGGGGCCGCGGGGACTAGGCCGCGGCCTAGGCCTCGGGGTGCGCCCTGAGGGGAGCCGGGCCTCGTGCCGGGGTAGGGGGGGCACAAGTGGGATCCTGCAGCCCGCCGCGTGCCTGCGCATGATGAGAACCGTGTTGGTAGGGACATCTGAGGGGCTGATGAGTGCCAACACTGCTGAGCTGGGCGCGGAGCGGGGCGCTGAGGCACCCAGGACAGCTCGCGGCCGGAGGGCTGGCCGGGCGCGCACTGCAATGGGGGTGGGAGAGAAGGTTAAAAGTTAAATGAAAAAAGATTCCGTGATTTTTGCCTAAAATAAAATAAATGGATTAGATACCACTTTTGCAGGCTTGTTTCTGTTGCATCAGGGAGGGCTTTTACTATAAAGCTCAGGGCTTTGCTTTGAGTTTTACTTAAATATTTTGAAGGGAGTGGGTGACTGCAGTGATTGTAGTCTCTTAAAAAGTAATGCTTGTTCTTTTGATTGCAGTGTAAGATGCATCAAGTACACTCTTGGCTATTCGGTGGCTTCACAAAAGGTAAGTACAGCTGCTGAAATGCAGATTTTAATTTGGGAAATAAACTGTTGTGTAGGTGTACTTGCAGTGGGGTACTCCTGTGTCCCAGAACATTGCAGGACCAGCATTTGTAATGCAGCAGTTGCCTGATGTCTCTTTGAGTAGTTTTCATGCTACTAGGAAGAGTCATGTGCTCTTTGTGCTGAGGAGGGGATGTGAGACTTCTGTTCAAAAACGCTATTGCAGCTTCCAGTTGGACTACAGGAGTATAATGGATACCTCTATTTCCTTTGTTACTGCTATTTCATCATGCACAGCAACAGACTAGAGACAAGTGCTTGTAGCTATCAGGATTAATAACTAAATTGGAGAGCCTGTGATGTTTTCAGTTATTAGAGTAGTGGACAGAAGTGATTTCTGAAAACTCTGCACTGAGGCTTTTTTCTGTTACCAGTGTCACAGTCAGTGATACTGCACTGAGTTCTACACACATTTCAAACCATTCTGTTTCCTCTAGGTCTGCTGCTCAATATGAAGACTTGATGCTACTTCACAAGGTAAAAACAAAACTGAAAATTTAACATAAAACAGTGTTTAAAGATTAGCTGTTTGTCTATAGTGCATTTATTATTTTAATGACCAGTAGGCAAACTGTATGCCCTATGCTAAGTTTTCCCTCTTGTGCCACAATGATGACTAATATAGTTTGCTACTCTTGACCAAGACAATGATGAGAGCTCATACCACCATGATTTCCATCTGAGGCACAACAGCTTAGAATTCACCTGGATATTTTGACTTTAGACAAACTTCTCATAAGCTTTTTTCTTTCAGGTTTTGAATCATGCACTTACAGAAGAAACATCACCTGGTAAGAAACATTATGGAGTCTGCTGAGGGTTCCTCAATGGAGTTGCTGAAACATGGCAGTGGGGTGTGTAAAATGGATAAGAAATGTTCTGGGATTAATTTCTGCTAATGCACAGATATAATAGATGCTTCATAGTATTCAAAAGACTCCTGAATATTTCTTTATTTTTTTCTTTGGGGAATTCAATTTTCCAAAGCTATCACAGGAGATTCTCAATACTATTACTCCACAGCAGATACAGTGATGACAGCATAGTTCAGCAGAGATTCTTGTGATGAACACAGTTTTGTCTTTCGCTCCTATCTGATGTATCTTGCTGTTGTGGTATGTTGCTTGGAAATTGTAGACTTGGCCAAGAAAGCTGAGGGAATCTCATTTTTCTCTTGTTGCAGGCACTGGGAGAAGCAGCTTCAAGGTATGCAAGGTAAATATTATATTGCCTGTGTCTGTGAAAACCAGCTTTCTGTCCATGAAAAGGCTGCGTATGATGACAGCATAGTTCAGCAGATGATCAGTGGTGATCACTTGTTCAGTCTTTCGCTCCTATCTGATGCAGCCTCCTGTACCTTAGAATAAGTTGACAGAGAACTGAAATGGAAAGCTTACAGTGAAATGCTACCCTCTGTTGCATTTTGTCAAGCACTTCAGAAGATCAGGAAAGGAGATAGACAAATGCTGAAATGTAGTAGGATGAATAGGGTTTGCTATGTAGTTTTTAGTGAAAACTTGGCTCATCTGGTGTTCGTGCTCTAAGTCCTGTAAGTGTTGCTTTGCAGAATGCCCTGGACAGAGACAGAATGCCTGTGCTGGGTGTGAGAAGCTTTCACCTGTCAGTGATCTTGGCAAAGACAAGACTTCTCTAACTGAAGGTAATTGAAGATATTTTAGTTGGATGCTATGTTTGGCTGTGCTGCTCTTGTGAAGTAATAGGTCAGCTACTGGGCTTCATTTCAACCTGTGAACTTCTGTTTATAGATGAGTCTGCAAATCCATTCTGTTCCTGGAAAATGTGAAGCAAAGATATAACTGCCCTAAGTGTGTGTTATGCTTCACAGTAGAAATATGAAGTAATTATTTCGGAGGGTTAAAATTTCACACAACACTTCTGTAAATAAATGTGGTACTGGTACATTTATGTTTAGGAAATTACGAGTTCAGTATCCAAAATGCTTTTCCTTGTTAGACCAGTCTGAATGTCAGGTGTTCCTGCTTCAGAGCTGTGCTGATTTCTGCAGTCTCAGCAGTGATATCTCATGTTGAGAGCTGAGAGATTGGTTTGGGCCCCCTTGTGGAAGGGGATGGGAGCGTTGCAGTTTGCTGTATATGATGTTGAATCAGGTCTCTGATCCCAGTGAGGATAAAACTTGACTAAACACTGATACAGCCTTTGGAGTTGTTATGCTAAAACTTTCTCCTGGACCACAACTAACAGTGACTTTTCCTTTGCAGACTCCTGAATTGTTTCTTGTCATGATGTAAGTACTTGTTTCAACTTTGCAAGTTTATTAGTGTAGAAAGCCTAGAATATGTATGTGAAGTGAAGTATTTGGTGTGGGCAAAGGGAGTGGTGTTGGCTGCTTGCATTTCAGCCAAACCAGGTGGATGCATAAGGGAAGAACTGCTGGATAAGACCCATACTTGGCAGACTGGTTTCGCTAAACTTAGTGCATCTGTGAGCTCCTGAAGTTGCTCTCATTGCACTGTTTGCCTTCTTCCTAAAGCAGATAGCAGTCCACAGACTGATAGTATAAGCTGCTGCCTGTATGATGAAATGCAAACACACTGACTTCAATTGTGGAGGTCTGCAATTAGCTCTATCTGACTTCAGGCATCTGACTGGATTTCATTCCTGTGTCTGTTTATGTGCTGTCCTGATTCTGTGTTTTTTTTTCTAGTGCTGTTGTGGTAGAGCTGTGAGGTGGTACCAGCTGGTAGTGCTCAAGGAAAAAGTAAGTTCCCAGTGAATTTGTATTACTGCTTATAGCTGTGCTGTGGGATGGGGAAGTTGTGAGGTGCTGGCCTCTAATTGTAGTGCCATCTTTTGGTGCCTGTTTATGTAGTAGGCTCCTTCAAGATTTTCACAAGTTACTAGCAGCCAGCAGATCTCACTTACCAAGGTGCTGGGGACTGAATCTTAATGCGGAAGACTGAAATTATTTGAGAACTTTTTTAAATAATCTGGTAATTGTGCAGACAGGCGTGGCATGTCTTACAGGGTTGTAATGATGTTGTCAAATGTCTGACCTGAAACTACTAATGTAGACTGCTCTTTACTGAAAGACCCTGTAACTGACAGTAGCTGTAAAAATAGTGGCAATAGTACTAATAATTTGAAGTGGGAGGGAAATGTGTGGCAGTGGATAAGGAGGAAAAACTTCTGAGGCTTGGGGGGGGAATGTTGATGTGCAGTTGGTGTAAAATGACACTGATATGAACTGTAATTTAGGGAACTGTAATTGAGGATCTCTTCTAGAGCAGAATGCTTTGAGATAGTTTACCTGGCTTTTTCTGGGGTGGTGTTGATGTAACATGAGTGCTTCTGGATGCCATCAGATGAATGACAGGCTAGTCTGAGGGCACTTGTGAGCACCAGTAAGTAGTTTCAACCTGTGTGTGGAACCCGTAAAGACAGTGCAAAGAGGTGGTGATAGTTGCAACAAGAATAGAAGTTCGTTGAAGTCTGATGGTTGGAATATAACATTAGCATTGCACTGAAACTTTTGTTGTTTTTTTTTAGTTTTGAGAATGGAAGAACTACCAGATACTCCGTGACAGATGTTAGGTAAGCTGTTTGCTTCTCAATTGCCATAAGATACATTTTGTACTGAAATGCTAACTGCTTTCCTGACCTGGGAATAAATAGTGTAGACCAATTGAAATATGTGACTGCTTTGCGCAATTTGACTTTCTAGTTGATCAGAAAGAACGTGCCTTTACTCAGCAGCGCAGAGCTTGCATCAATGACTTCTGCTGCTTGAAAACAGTATGCCTATTTGCTGTTCAATGTATGCAGTGGGCTTTGGCAGACAGTAGTACTGATCTTATAGTTGGAGTAATCTGGTAAATTTCTTGTCTCAGGCAAGATGAGTTATGTGATGTGAGTGAAGAGGTAGATGTTAAGCTACTCTAAGCATGTACTGTTTGTGATGATGAATTCTAAGCAATGGGAATCTCTCTGAAGAAGACTGAGGAGGACTCTTGATCTGAAACAGTACACACATTCAGATTAACTCTTCAAGCATGGCCAAGTAGAGTGTTAATAAAAATGCTCTTGTCACAGAGTGAAGCTGAGAAGGAAGGAGAATGTGAAAACCAAGATTTTGCTTCTTTGAGGTAAGTTAAAATAGAACATTTTATTGATCATGGTGGTCCAGTAATTTCTGCATTATTTCTGTTATGTTAAGTGCATAAGATTAGTGCATAATTAGATATATTTTTTTATTGTGCATCTTCCAATCCCAGTTATTGTGGGAATAAAAATGATGTGCATGGAGCAAGAATGAACTTCACTATAGGAGGTTTTCCAGCAGCTTTGGTACCCTGACAATTTCTAAACTATACTCACTGACAAACTTAATGTAGAGTTCAGTTTGTATGAGCGAAAGATGTGGCCTCCGTGACTCAAGCTTCTTATTCTTTTGTCTTTACACAGTGGAAATAGTAAAAAAAAAAAAAAAAAAAAAAAAAAAAAATAAAATGAAATAAATGGTGAAAACTACTTAAGCTGATACAATATTGTTAATGTAATACAGCAGCAAGCATACAACTCCCATCATAACTCTTATCTGATGTATCTGGCTGTTTTATGAACTGACAGTGTAACACTGCTGCACTCCTGAAATAATAATAAAAAACTAATATCCTGTAGTTGGCAAAAATCACCTGAGTGGTAGCAATTGTGGTTTTGTTCAATGTGCACACATCAAGTCAAAGTTCCAGACTGTACAAACTTCTCAACTAGACCCATTCTCATCTACAATAAATTGCCTATTTAAGCTCATCTCAAAAACATGTCCTTCATGGGACTTGTATTTTAGGTGTCATAACTTACTCCAACTGTCTCTCTCTGGGGAGGGACAGTATCGTAAAGCAAGTATAACCAACTACTTTTTTGTGGTTCTTCTGATGTTAGTAATTCTGTATTGCCAATTCAATTAATCTTAAGTTTTTGCATTCTATTTGAATGTTAAATGTTGAAGTTGTCACTTGGTGGCCAAAATGCAGCCTTGTTATAGGTTAAAATTAATTTGTATAGAATTTCATAGCTTTATGAAGTTGCATATAGCAATACCTTATTTTGAAACAATTTCTCTCTTCCTTAGGAATGAACTATTGTCGGCTGCCTCACTGGGTAAGATCACACAGTAGATTCTTTCTTAAATGTAGAGAGTTTTTGTAGCCACTGATGAAAATTGATTCTGCCAGATGAGTTACTGTGATATCACCACTTCCGTTCCATTCTTTCTGAGGCTACACAACTGCTGAGAGGAACTTCTAGTAGTTGTGCTACTGTGTTAACTGCATTTTCTTTCTTTAGGTGAGGACGCAACTTTGAAACTAATATGAGGAATGAGAAAGGTGAGTGTAACTGTAGTAATAAAACTTATTTGCTGGAACCAAATGATGATTAAAACCTTAGCTTGAACTCTCTCACTGAACAGAGATGAAAATCTAAGGTCTGAGCTGTTCCAGTCAACTTCTTGTGCTGGTTTGGTGCCTTATAATGGTTCTTACGCTGTACTTAATAGGTGGAAGATCCCAGAATAATGGGCTACACTTGCATGAACAGCATTAGGAAGCCAAGACTTTGCGGTGGTAACATTTACCTCATACACTAATTGGAGCCAATAAAATTTTGTAAACTCTGCCTGTTGTTGTCAACTGCTTTCTGACTTGAAGGGCTTGCTGTAAGCTAGCTCTAGGCTATTTTGCAAAAGCTTCAAATGTTTGACTTTAGGGCAGGGAGCAAACTAGGTAATGCTAGTCCTGCAAGTGTTCTTTACTGTAGAGGATGTGTGGCTATTGCCAGTGTTAGAGCTCATGTCAACTCCAGTCTGCTCTGTCTGGATTTAGGCAAACCTACAAAAAAGTACATTCAGTGTTTCATAGGTGGGAGCTAAACATGATTCGCCTATTTGGTTCTAAACTTGTATGTCTGGTAATACATGACTTAATTATGCTAATTTCAGCAGTTAAAGAAAATCTGGTGCTTTATTGGACTGCAGCTACTTGGAGAGCTTTGTTTTTGTTGAGACTGAAGCCTGCTGAAGTGCTGATACTAGCTCATTCCAAGACCCATAGTGGCTGATGCAACTTCTGTTAAGAGCTTTTTAGTCAGATAATTCCAAAAGATAAAATATTGCTCAAAAACACCAACTATGGAAACAGTATAGAGACAGTCTTTAATGGAGCAATAACATATAGCTTGTATTCTGACATGCTTCTGCTGGATTGAGTATAATTATTCTGGGGCAAGATAGTATTCAGCCTTCAGGAGACAAAGCTATAAGCAGAGGAGGGAGGTTTTGATAATCCTGTTAAATAGAAACATTTAGGTGGCACTGGGGCCTGCTAAGATTTGCTTTATTCCCAAAGCTAATTAGTGCCAGGTTTCTTTAAAAAAAAAAAAAGATTTAATGTACTTCCCCATATTTCTGTGGTGCTTCAGGTGTAATATCAATAGGGGAAAAGTTTTATGAAGAACTTACTCTCTAACACTTGAACTATTACTGTGGCAGTTCTACCAAGAAGTAGAATCAGACATACAAACACTTTGTGCAGGAATGTTTTCAGATGATTAGTGCTGCCAAGAGATTTTCAGTATGAGGAACAGAATTAAGTTTCATCTCCCTCATAACCCAGCCTGTGTGAGCTACTTAAACTTCAATGACATCTCTGTAGAACAGAGAACTGAAATCTTAGGCAGAACAGTTTTTCATCCTAGATAAAGTGAATTAGAGATGTTCCTGTGTTCATGTGCAAATTAAATCTCTTCTGCACTAAAGCAAAAGCCATTAATATGGTCTGTTTTCATTCAGAACTGGTTAGTAGCCTCTTAGTATTCCTCCCCTGCATTACTTCTTAAAATACCACACTTCATTGTGCCTGTTGAAGAGTTTGAAGGGACTGTCATAGCCTGCAGTGTAGAAGAAATCTTCGTGGAATGGTTGGCCTCTGTTTCTTAAGATTCTGGCCAAGACTTCAGCTTCCTCAGCATATTTCTCTGTTGAGGCAAATCCACTGAAGGACCTGGTTAAATTTAAAAAAAAAAAAAAAAAAAAAAAAAGGGAGGGGGTCTGTTTTATCCAATTTGTAGAAGGCCAAAATATCTGCTCCCTGCTTTGCATTGCCAAAGAGGTGACACGGTGGGGAAGCAATGCAGTATTTGAGCAGTTCTCATGCAGTTTGTAGTTATTAAACAGCACATCAGAAGTTGTCAGGGTGAATGACTGCTGCATCTAAACTCTAGGCTCTAAATAGCAGTGTGTATTCACTATGCACAGTTAAAAATCATATGCAAGTAAGAATAATGCAGACCTGCTAGGTGAGCCCCAACCCTCTGTGAGCTTACCGGACAAAGACGGCTGCTGCCTTCCGCTCCTCAATAAACACATCTGAGTCTGTGGGCGGGGGGGGAGAGTCCTGATGTTCAAATGGCACAAAGAAAGAGACCTTGAAGTCTGCACAGCCACGCTTTACCAGACATGTCACTGGCACAGTCATATCAATCTTCATCTCTAAAGGAGGGTAGAAAGTGTAATGAGCTGAAAGCAAAGACAGTGTCTGAATGCAACTCTAAGGGATGATGCAGGCTGCCTAAAAGCATGTGCCAAAACAGCTTCCCAGCATTACTGCTCTTTTGCACATTGATGCAAAGGAATGTACTGCTACACTGTTTTCATTTCTGACTGTAGAGCAGTTTCTCACTGACTTTTCTCACTGTCCAGGCTGCGGCTCCTTCAATCCTATGTGGTCATTGGAACAGAGTTTTCAGCATCCCTCTAGGTGTAATCCCTGAGGGCCTTAGGAGAGGTGTGGTGGCCTAGTGTAGGCAGGTGGGTGTTAGACTAGGAAAAGCCTCTGTGTCCAAGGTTATCTACTGCTTTAAGCTACTTGGCATCATCTCATTTGTGCTTCTAGCAGTTCAAACCCAGCATGTTCTACCTTTCTCGTTCTTCCCTTGGATGTAGTGGAAGAGTTTCCAGAAGCCCTGGCGCAATGCTTCTTTCTGGGTCTCTCCTCTGATGACTGTGCTGACCCACTTAGCTGTTTCATACTGGCGCAGTTCATAATCCTTTGCCTGGAAGGTAGCAAAAGTCACAGTAACCACAAGTTGAATACTAATGACACAAAGGGCTACTCTTGCCAAATCAGCCTGGGAGGGTTGTGATTAAATAACCCCCGGCAGCCTCATGGCTGCAGTTACAGGTGTACCCCCAGGGTCAAACTGACGCTTCCATTGCAAAATGGTGCTGTTCTGCGTTAGACAGAGCTCTTCAGAGCTTTGGAGTAGGTGTGCTTGTTGCCCCCTTTGCAGTTAGGCATGAACAGTGTAGGAACACTTCCTTCGTGCTCATTTTCTGACAGAATCTTAAATCCACCCTGACAATGGAGAACTCTTCTCCTGGCCTTTAGGAATTACCGTTGTCTCTGCTGGGTTCCACCGAGGGGACTGCAGGTCCAGGGACAGAAATGTTTGCTTGAAGGATTTGATCATCTTGGTGGAGCTGAAAGGCAGACACAGTTCATTGGCCTCTCCACTCAATGCAGTAATAAATGGGGTACAGGAAAACATTAGGGCTTTTCTGCTAAGTTTAAGAGGTTTTCCTCAGCCTCTGGTCTCCGACCTATCAGAAACATATGCACCAAACACTTAAGTTCAGGCAAAGACCAGATGCCTTCTGAAAGGTAATTGTCCCTGAAATTGTGAAGGGCTTGGCTTCCACCCCTTATCATAAGGGTTTCAACAAAAAGACCTGAAATCTTTTTAGCTGTGAGGGAACAGAGAAACAAGACCGTGAAACCATGGCTAGGCTGCTGTTGGAGCGTTCATCATTCAGTGTACACTGCCTTCCCTGTGAAGTGAGGGCATTTCCTGGCTGCAAAACAGAAGGTGGAAATCATCCTGCAAGTGAAATGGACCTGAGCAGTTAAACTGCTTTGCACCTGGATGAGAAGGTACCGAGGTTGGTGGCTGCTGTAGTACTGATGGTATATGTAACTTTATTGGAAATCTCAGTAGTTGATGCCTTTCTTAAAGACCTTCCGGAGTCTGGTGACTGGGTGAGATTTTTATTATTTATGAATATGTAGCTGATTTCCTAGCTAGCCTTCACATGGAAAGAGAATGCTGAAAACATGAAAACACTCGACTTCCCATCACTGTCCCAAAATAATTAGAACCACTACTGAAATATTGAGAGCTCTTTAGGTCTTACCTTGAAATATTTGGAGCCTTGGTTTATCATTTTTGTCAACACCAGGCAGATAGCACTACACAACTACATCCAGAGAACGTCTCTGCTTTCTGTTACAATATCCTTATTACAATACCCTTAGCATGCACCTCAATTTGCAAAGGCAGCATGCCATTAATTCAGCAAGGTTCGTGATACTTCAATCATAGTGCATTGTCTTCTCAGAACATGACTTTATTGTGTATTTCTTGGGCAGCAGAAGCAGCTTTGGGGTTAATTTTCATTTCTCTGCCTCCTCAGCTGTTCATAGCTGCCCACACAAGAAGCCGTTGATTGCTCTGTGACTCGTGACCACTTTTTTCACGGGCTTTTGTAAACACTAAATTCAAGGTGTTACAACTGACAGCATCCCCCACTTCCAGCAGCAGGTATACAGCACTGCTCTGAGAGCCACAGTGAAATCGTGCCACCTCAGATCACTGACACTTGATTCCTGAAGTCCACAAGTGTTTCAGTTTGCTGAATGATGGTGGTATCTAATGCAATGGATAGACCGTGTGCAATCCGTGATCAGCATTTTTTAAAGTCTTCAAGGTATGCTGTCTTAAGCATGATGGTCCTGTTATCTCTTGAGATATTCTGGTAGCTGCAGCAGTACGTATTCACGGTAACCATACACTGCTGCAGACTGCTGTTCAGTACTGATCTTCTCTTTTACCCTGGTTTTGAGGTGGCTACAGTGAGTTTTCTGTTTGAGATCTATGAAGGTGAAAAGGTTTTATTGAAAAAAAAAAAAAAAACACAAACCAACCCAACCTGCTGGCACTGATTTCTCATATAATCCTTTAAGGAGCACACAGACATGCACATGTTGAAAAGTGTTTTCTAGTAGCTCCTTCCGTTGTTGTGGAGTAGTGGTGTGAATATCAGAACAATGCAGCTGGATACTGATTCCAAAAAAAAAAAAAAATCAGTCACTGTCCCCCTCCCATTCCCATCCTGAAGAAAGATAACTGCATGAAGTTCAGCAGTCAGACTGGAATGGACTGTTATACATTAATACACTTTTTGTCAATAGTATATACATACATGTATCATCCAAACATAACAAGAAGGCACAAATCCAATTGTGTTATTGGAAGTAAATGTGAACAATCTATATGGAAATTTACTGCGTGAGTATGTTTTATACGCTACTATTTCAAAAAAATTTGATAACGCTTTGCTGGCACTTCACTTTATTTCTCATTGCTACACCTTGATAGAAAACATGCTTGGTTTGTGCTCCCTAGGTATCTTAGAAAGCAGAGAAGTAAATGTTCCTCTGCTTCAATGTGCTGCTGTATTAGCTGGCTTGTGTGCCAATCCCAGCTCCTCCTTAAACCTCTTCTTAGCTGCTGCTCACAGAACTTTTGTAACTGCAGCCAATGCTATCGTGGCTGCGTGTAAGAAATATTTGAGTTACATAAGGCAATTATTTGGAGAACACCAAAAACACTCCAAATATTTATATTTGAATTCCTTGCAAGCACCTCCAGAGACTGTGAGTAAACACGGCCAGAATACGATATTCCATAGAGCTGCTAATTACATTTTTAAAGTGCAAAAAGTGGACATACTTACGTTTTGGTGAATAAGCTGTCGTCTTAACTATTAGGCTGTCCTTCTGAGGCTGCACGTAGCAGATGCTGCATGTCGGTGTTTATTTTAGTTCGATCAAACCCCGCCCATGCCTCAGCCCTACTGGAGGGAGATGCTCTTATGAAAACCAGATGTTGTAGCCTGACCCCTCTGGGTCTCATTGGAGAGCTCCCACACAAATGCTGAAAGCCCCACCTACAGCCCACGAGCCAACATTGGGTCCAGTGTGTGATCTGGCTCCACAAACCATTTCGCACCCTTGTGTAACTTCCACCAGCTTCCATGGCACTGTGCCTACTTATGTTGGGGTCAGTGGTAGGTTTTGTGCTCTCGGGAGAAAGAAATGTACAAAAAAGTAACGTCATACGCCCCCAGCTCAGATTGCAAAGGGATGTTAGAAAACGAAAGCTTTCCCTTTTTAACCCTGGGTTGAAATGGTGGGTACAGATCTGGCTGCAAACAGCTAAGACCATCCTCACAAGGTTTCTGCTGACCCGGTATGAAAGACAGACAGTGTTCTGTAATGACTGGCTGTTTTGAACGGCGTTCGAGACTGATCAGCCCCGTTAGCCCTTGGATATCTGCACAAAGGGGTTGTACAAAGCTATTGTGAAAATCTGTTGTGCTTCACACAAAGTTAAGCTGGACTCTTCATTTAACCAGCAGCAGCTCCAGATGCATTTAGGTACCAGCACGGGAAAGCAGATTGAATTTCGCAGTTTGATTTCTGAGAACACTTCATGTGGAATGTTGCTTGATACACTCATGTTCTGAAAGAGAAATTAAAAAAAAAAAAAAGCCAAATGGCTCTTGCAAACTGCTCCCTAATGCCACAAAAGTGAGCTGGTGTGAAGTGGGGTTTACTAGTTGAGCCTGTTAGAATGTGCTAAGGCCTCAGAACATTTCCCTGCAGGTTTAGCACTTTTATGGAGTAAGCTGTCTCTGTTTCACCTGTGTTCTGTTTGTATCAAACAGGAAATTCAGCAGGGCGTTTTGGAGAAGAAGCTGCTACATGGCAGGTACTGCATCGGAGCTAAAGGCATGCAGAGGCATTTGCTTGTGTCAGGTTAGCTGTTAAGTTACTCTCTCAACCTAATTTTCCTGTAAAGTGTGTGCTGGTAATTACCTCCTTCAGAACAGAGAAGTAGTAGTAAAGTAGTAAAAAACCTACACCCTGCCGCTGCAGTTTGGTCCATCTCAACATGGTTAACCTTGATCTTTTGTACAGAGGAATATTGCCTTGAAAGGGGGTGGCAACTAAAATGTAGATAAACACAAGCCCACTGTGAATTCTTGTTTTGTTCTGAAGTGGAGAGACCCACAACAAATCCCCAGTCAGTATGTATGTGTCCAGCTGACATTTCTGTCCCCAACAAACAGCCAACTGTTCCTGGTGGAGTAGCCCAAAGTTTGAGAACAATCACTAGTGTTTCCCAAGAGGTTGTTTTTCAACACTCCATTGTTTTTCACATATGCACTGTGAGGACATGCCAACAGTAGTAAGAGACAGCAGGGCAGGCATGAGGCCATGTGTTTGGTACCTAACTATATGCACCCATACCCTATATAACTGGGGAGGAGGAGCTGGGATATGTATGGCACGTGGCTGGTATTCTCTAGATTAGCTGACAAAGCAATGATTTTTGTACTGTTGTAAACAAAAAAAGCAGAAATGAGAGTACAAGCTCACAGGCACTACAGAAGCTTGCAGTTTCTGGCTGTAACTGTACTGTTTGAGCAGATACTCCTGTGCAGAGTTTGTGTTTAGGTACCAGTGTTTCAGGCTAGAAGCGCTTGGTGGGTAAGTATAGGAAGAAGTCTGTGATACAATCAGTTGAGATTTCCATTTTTCTTCTCTATAAACTCTATCTACAAATACCCTTAACAAGCCCAAACAATACGTTAAACAACATGCTGTAAAGCAAAAATGCTTCCGTCTGTTCTATGGCAACATTACAGCCGCTGCTGTCAGATTTTGGCAAGGCATTGTAGGTCACCTGTATGCACACAGGCAGGCACACATGGCTTGCGCAAAGGGATGAATCTTCACTGAATTCTTGTGTCAGTATTGGACGTGGAGCTCATGAAAAAGCTACGGTACATTTAATGATATTTTTAAGTTATGTTCTTATGACTGACAAGTCTGTATTCTAATACAAAAAGAATAGCATGTAAGGGACAGAGAGGAACATGTGCTGTGCACATGCTCCAGGCAGTTCTACATTTTTGCCTAAGCTGCTCACAGCATCAATCTTGCTCTTGGTAATGATTCTGGTTTAACAGAAATGAGAATCTTAAGGTATAAATTGCATTCGCTTTTGCAAACAGCAGGTGATGCAGAAGCTCCTACTTCACAACAGAGAAGTAAACCATGTGATGTTTATTTCTACTATAAATAATAGTCTGGGCAGAAAAGATGTCTTTACACATGGTTACATAATCTGTGTCTTTCTGCTAATTCATCTCCCTGAAGAAGTTTCCTGGTTTCAGCTAGGATAGAGTTAATTTTCCTGCTAGGAGCTGGTAGGGTGTTGTGTTTGGGATTTAGGATAAAAATAATGTTGATGCCACACTGATGTTTTAATTGTTGCAGAGCAGTGCCTACACTAAGCCAAGGACTTTCCAGCTTCTTGCTCTGTCCTGCCAGCAGGCAGGCTGGGGTTGCAGCAGGAGCTGGGAGGGGACAGACCCAGGACAGCTGACCCCAACTGGCCACAGGGCTATTCCATACCTTATGGGGTCATGCAGAGCAATTAATATGGGGGGCTGGCTGGGGTCTGGGGGACCGGCTGCTCAGGGACAGACCAGGCATCGCAATCTACTGCATTGTGCATCACTTGTACACATTATCATTATTATTATTATTTTCTGTCCTAATAAACTGTCTTTATCTCAACCCACAGGCTTTCACCTTTTTTTGATTCTCCCCCCCCATCCCATGTAGGGTGATGGGGGGGAGAGCAATCGGCTGTGCGGTTCTGAGCTGCCAGCCAGGTTAAACCGCAGGTCTCTAAACTTCTTGCTCTAAAGAAAGAGGAAACTTTCTAGCAAATTCTTTTATTTTCACTTCCAGTAGGGAAATAGAAGTAAGACAAATCTACCATCTTTTCAAGAAGCAGTCGAATGTACTAAAGTAGACCCCATGTTATCCCTTGCAAATCAAGGAAGTGCAATCTCTCCTCTAACTCCAATGAGCTGCTGTTTAGACGTTGTGCTGTAACGTACATATTTTATGTCAGCACACCAATTTGTTGCCATTTGATTGCCCTTCAGCCAGTAATTACTTTCTGAAGTCCAGTGTTTGAAGTTACCAACCATCCATACAACAAATACTGCTCTCAAGCCATAATGAGAAAGAAATAGTTAAAAACCACAGTGGCAACCCAAAGCTTCTGTCTCTCAGCTACTAGACGGGCTCTCTGCAAGACTCCAGCAAGACTCATTTCTCTACCTGCATCTTCCAGCAGTCCTTCAAGCAACTGCTTGTTGCCTGGTCCTTAAGGGCAGCAGCAGAGTGGTGCTGCATTTTCTTTCTTTGCTGCACCTTTCAAGTCTTTAAGGTGACTTCTTCCTTCTCTTCTTCACCTGGTTTGGCCTCGCCTCTCCTCCCTCTCATTCTCAGCTTTCTCCTGTCTTTGTGATACATGGGGTGAGACCATCTGGCAGCTCCTCTGCTTGGGGTCTGGGATAAGCTCCTGACTGCTGAAGGCAACGATGATGGGAACAGCCCCAAGAGTCTGAGAAAAAGATCAAGGTATACAGAAATTGCCCTAGAGATCACAGGGTTTCTTTTTTGGAGTCCCATGGACCTGAGAACATGTCCAGAGTTGCTGGAAACAGGCCCAGAGCATAAAAGAAGTATTAAATAACTGCTCTCCTAAAATACTGTTTTCCACTTTCTCCAAAACAGATGTGAAAAAGTGGTGAGATTTTGGGGGGCTTTTTTTATATTATTATTTATTTATTTATTTTAACTTAGATTATGCAGGCCTCCAGAGATGCTCTCACTAAGAATCTGGTCTCTCTTTCTCGTTACAAAATAAGCTGATGTGGTTTCCTGCAGCAGATGGCACTGTTGTTTGTGTTCAGAGGTGAGCTTTACTCCCTCAAACCATCTTGGTGCCTTTAGTTCACAAAGGGAGCCATTAGATAGTCACAGTTCTTTCTACCTCTAAAGCTTTACACTTGAATACTCTCTAGTATCTGTTTCTGGTAATATTAAAAGTTTATTCATCCTGACATCTTGTAATATTTTGGCATGCCAAACATTTTCTGCAGCAGACACATGAGTGAATATCTGTGTCAGGAAAATTAACGGAAGTCCTAAATTAGGAAAATCTTCCAGGTTACGTTCCATTCTAGAAGAGTTAAACTGGTAACTGGTGGTATTCCAGACAGTACTGATATCCAACTTACCGGTTTCAAACTCAAATTTAAAATCTGAGAACTTCTGCACCTTCAGATTCAGAGCAGAGAAAGCAAGGTGGACGCTCTACATACAATGACGTCACGCCAGCTGCTTGGATGATGCATTTCTGAGTGTCAAAAGACAAGATTAGTATCAGCAGCCAAATGGTATTTAACCAAATTTCTTCCCTTTCATGGATGTTACCTTTTTGAATTTCTGCCATCATTTAGGCTTTCATACTTCCTCTTAGTTCTAAAAATAGACTTGAGTAAGTGTATCATCTTTAAAGGAAAATGGTATCCAGATACATTTATTTACTTCAAAGACAAATGGAAGCAAACCTCTATTTTAATTATGCCCAAACAAAACTGCAGACTTGATAGCTTAAGGAATGGGAAAATGCAGATGTCAGGACTGTGTAGGTGTACAGAATTGTGGTGTGGGCAAAGTAAAAGTAAAGGACAGGGGTGGTAAATTATAGTTAGCGTTGCAAATGTTGGAAATGTTAGCAGAGCAACAACAACAAAAGCCATACCCCAACCTAACAGACTCCAGTGGAAACTTAGAGGACCTTTGGCTTTAGTAGTTAACCAGCCTTAGTGAAGCAGTGATTTGAATAATGGAGCACTTTTGATGGGCATGTCAATCAGCTATGTTGGCACATGGCAAGTTTAGCCTCTTGGCACAAAACCTCTGGTGTTTATAAATTCCCTACTTGAAATTACCTTATGTGGTAATTTAGATAAGCTTTTGACATTAATGTTTGTTTCCCAGTAATGTTTCCCATAGTGAAAAAATGCTTAAATCTATAAAACCATGCTTTTATTCCTCTAATTGGTTTGGAAAAATATCAATTGATTTTTGTTGGTGGTGTCCTTATCCTCTGAGTTTTGGCACCGCTAACACTTTCCTGCTTATTTCTGTGGCAACTGGGGAAACACTTTTCCGGTCGTTGCACAGCATGCTGCAGCTGCAGCCAGCCTAAACCTTTCTTCTGCTTTTCCCAAAATTTACAGTGCAAATTTTGCGTTCTCCCCTGAATTTATATTTTCCTGAATATAAATTTCCACAGCCATTTAAATCTTTCTAAACTTGTTTTTACATATGAAAAAAAAAAAGACATTAAACACACACTTAAAATGAGTATAAAGGAGAGGAAGTATTTTAAATGGCCACAGTAAACTCCTTTCTTCTTTCTTTCAGGGGAAGGATCATCCGTAGGATGCTGTATTCCCATACATGTCACTGGCACTGCTGATTGCTCTGTAGTGGACCCTGAACTGGTGCATTGGGATGGCAGGATTTTACATGACAGAGAAAAGTAAAGCATGGGTGTGAGTTTCAGCCTAGTGAAACTCTTGCATTTTCAGGGAGAATTCTCATTCTGTGCAGGTGGTTATTTGCTGGTGCCTGGAGGAGGTTTAGTAATTATCCACTGTATTGTATAGTGCTGCTGAACTGAACACATGCTGCCCTTTAAACCACTGTGAAATAACTTGCACACCAGCTTGGGCTAAAGCACATTCTTTTTCTTGTCTTCTGGTAATTACAAGGGGCTTTATCAGTGTAAATATCTGCAAGCCTTACAGTCTTTACCGTCATTTTCTTAATTACATTCCTTCTGAGATAAGCAAAGGCTGCCCTGAAATACCAAACCTGCACCCAACGGCTGGGGAAGAGGGACAGAGGCAGTGTGGGGTGTCTGAAACAGTCATCGTGGCTATGAAAGATGCAGGAAGACAGTCCCAGCCCTGGGCTGGGCACTGGGCTGACAGACCTCAGCTCTGAACTGGGGAGGTAATGGGCTAGGGCAACTCCAAAATTTCTCAAAATGTCTCTAAACTACTGTTAAGACTACTGTAAGACTTTAGGCAGCTCTAAACCAGTATATATCACTTCTAAATTGCTCTAAAAGTCCTCTAATCAGCTCTGAGGAGTGGTGAGGACCTCCGTATTGCTGCAGTGAGGCCATTGCTTCAAAACAGATGTAATTTACACAACTCTAAATGGCCTCTAAACCACTCTAAAACTCTTCTAATCAGCTATAAACAGCCACTAAATAGTTCTGAATATCTCAAAAAATTTATTACCACCTTTAAGATGCCTTAAAACTTCTTGTAAACAGCTCTAAAGATCTCAAAACCTCCTCAAGTTCTTCTAAAACTCCTCAAAAGCACTCTAAGAGGTTCTGAGGAACTGTAATATCCCCTTAAAGAGTGCTGTGGTCCTCTGAACTGCACCAACATCCTCCTAAACATGCTCGAAGGAGCTTTCAGGTTCATCTGATCTTATCTAGAATTCCTCTATATTGATCTGAAAACCTCTGAATTTCATTTGGGACTCTACAACTCCAACAAAAACCTTTAAAACTGCTTGGAGATGCTTTGATGTGCTCTAAACCCCTTTGAAATAGCACTAGAGAGCTATGCAACACAGGCTCTTAAAGAGCTGTATTACAGCCCTTAATTGCTACAGCCAACTTTAAAAAATCATTTAACCGGTTCTAAAATACTCTAGAGCACCTCTAAACCAGTCTGGACTTCTTTACACAGTTCCAGAATCAGCTATAAACAAGGGTGAGCAGCTGTGAACTCCAAAAGCTCCACTTTACCACTCTGAAAAGAGCACTACTCTCATCTAAGCTCCTTTACACTGCTTTGAGCAATACTAATGTACCACAAAATAGGTCTCAAAACCCTCTCAATCTCTGTGCAACTGCTCTAAAACTCTTCTACAGTTTTGAAACTGTTTTTTAGAGAAACCATGCTAAAACCTCTCTTTGATCCTTTAAAACTCAGTCATGCTGATGAGTGCAGAGAAGCTCCAAGCCTGTCTGAACTGATCTAACACATCTAAAACCTGTTAGCAGTTCTAAACCTATCTAGTGAAAGATCCCTGACATGGTGAGGGGTTGGACTAGCTTTAAGGTCCTTTCCAACCCAAACCATTCAATGTTTCTAACGTCTTGTAAAGTGTGCAGAAACTCCTGTAAAGTACTCTAAACAACTGAAAACTCCTGTGCCTCTTCTAAAACGGTCAGAGCTCCTCTAAACTAAAGCTCCTGTGTCTTGCTGTAAGCAGCAATAATATACCTTTAAATACTTCTGAAATATCTTTAATTTTCTACTATGCAATTCTAAACTCTTACGCAGCTCTAAAATTCCTCTGAAGTGCACTAAGCAGCTCTAAAATCCCTCTAGACCAATCTGTAACTCCTACAAACTGTTCTAAGCAGGTCTAATCTGACTTGTGGAAAACAGACTTTATAACCTTGGAATAGTTAGGAAGCAGGTATGTTTATACAGCGCTGTGCACACATGCTGGACGCCAAGAGGGATAGCTCCACCTAACTTGCACCCCAACGGTTACTGGCAGCGTGCTTATATTAGCGGGACAAATATAGACCTCATCACAGTCTACAACTTCCTCGTAAGGGGGTGTCGAGAGGCAGGAGACCTTTTCTCCATTAACACCAGCGACAGGACCCGCGGGAACGGGGTTAAGCTGAGGCAGGGGAAATTTAGGCTTGACATCAGGAGGGGGTTCTTCACAGAGAGGGTGGTTGCACACTGGAACAGGCTCCGCAGGAAAGTGGTCACTGCACCGAGCCTGTCTGAATTTAAGAAGAGATTGGACTATGCACTTAGTCACATGGTCTGAACTTTTGGGTAGACCTGTGCAGTGTCAAGAGTTGGACTTGATGATCCTTAAGGGTCCCTTCCAACTCAGGATATTCTATGATTCTATGATTCTATATTAATTTAATTTCCCATAAGTCTCTTGTGTATTCATCAGGCCTCCGAAGAATCAAATCCACTTCAACCCATTATAAAACTTTCATATGCTGTCAATGCATTGGGCTTATGTGGCCAGGTTTTGCCAGCAGCACTAAGTAGCTCTAAAATTCTGTTAATATACTCAAAAAAATCTTCAAAACTTCCTCTAAATGTCTCTATGCAGCACTGAACTGCCTCTGAACCTCGCTAGAGATACTGTTCTGGGGCAAATACAGCTTAAGCTCTTCAGTAGTGACCCAGATGATGGGTAAGAGAACACCCTCAACAAGTCTGCAGATGAAAACACAAAGCTGGGAAGAGAGGTTGGCAGACCAGGCGGCTGTGCGGGCATCCGGAGGGACCTGGGCAGGCTGGAGACCTGGGCTGGCAGGAACCTCATGGAGTTCAACCAAGTGCTTGCTGGGGGCTCACCAGGTGGAAAGCAGCTTGGCAGGAGAGGACCTGGGGATCCTGCTGGGAAGCTGAACATGAGCTAGCAGTATCCTGCTCTGCGTTAAGGCAGTGCTTTGCCAGCAGGTTGAGGGGGTGGCAATCTTTCCCCTCTGGTCAGCACCAGAGAGCCACAGCTGATGCTGGGCTTCCCTGTTGCATGGAGTACGTGGACTTATTAGAGCCAATCCCCTGAAGAGCCTTGAAGATGGTTATGGATTTGGAGAATCTATTACAAGGAGAGGCTGATGGAGCTGGGATGGTTCAGTTTGGAGAAAGAGATTCCACATTACCCATATGGATGGAAAGAGCACAGAGAAGAGGGGATGTCTCAAAGAATGAGAAAGGCTCTTCTCAGAGCCTCAAAGAAAGGAAAAATACATGTGCTTTGTGAGAACCTGCTAGTGAAGCCAAATCCCAGAGAAAGTGATCACAGTGTGAATAGCCCACAGCGTGCATATTTTGGAATGGAGGAGGAATACCAGAATCCCAACCTCTGAGATTATTATGTGACTACATGAAAAATGTGCTCCCAGAGCACACAACAACAGGGGATTGTTTTTGTAGATACTAGGTAGTCAGAAAAAGCGTTATAATGGAAGATCTGGAAGTGCATGCTGAAGGCAGAATGTCTCCCTGCACCTGCTTTAGGGATGAGGAACAGGTGTAGAAAACACAGCTGATTTTCCCCAGGAAGGATGGGGAGAGTTGTGCTGTGCAGGAGCTTCATTTCTCCATGGGGTCCAGACTGCGCTGCCTGTGCTACACATCTGGCAAAACCACACGTGGGAGAAAAAACCAAGAGCCACATGGGCTGCGTGTGGGCAGCGGTTTTAGCAGCCCATTAGCCATTGTCTTCTGCTTGTTTGTTCAGTGCCATAACTCATGGAATTATTTAGGTTGGAGAAGACCCATAAGATCATTGAGTCCAACCATCACCTAATGCTGCCAAGGCCACCGTTAAACCATGTCACCAAGTGATACATCCACGTCTCCTAAGTAAGTCCAGGGTAAGCGACTGCAGCAGTGCCCTGAGCAGCCTGTTAAGTGCCTAAGCACCCCTGCTGTGAAGTTCTTCTCCACATCTAATCTAAGGCTTGGCACAAGGAGAGACTGACACCCTCCTCACTGCAGCCTCCTGTCAGGGAGATGCAGGGCACGATGCGGTCTTCCCTCGGTCATTTCTGCTCCAGAGTGAGCAGCCCCGGTTCCCTCAGTCCTCCTGACTCCTGCTTTTTGTCCTTCTGGTAGAGAGGGGCTCAAAACCGCGCACAGGGCTGGAGGTGCGGGCTCACTGCACAGAGGGGCACTCGCTTCCCGACCCTGCTGGCCGCGCTGCTCCTGATACAAGCCACGGTGCCACTCGGCCCTCTTGGCCACCCGGGCACGCTGCTGGCTCATGGTTGACCCAAGGGCTGGTATGACCCAAGCGCAGCCCCCCGCTGCATGCCAGGCGATTGCACTTTGCTATTTCACAAGAAATTCGCCCCGAATCCCCTCCACGCCTCAGCGCGAGGGGCAGCCCGCGGCCTCTGCCTCACGCCGGCAGGCCCGGCCCCGCGGCGGGGCGGGGTGAGGCGGAGCAGGGCCGAGCGGGGCCCCCCCACTGCTGCCGCCGAGCCGCCGGGGAGGTGAGGGGAGAGGAGGGGAAGGGAGCCGGGGGCAGCTGGGGGGGTCTGGGGGCGGCCTGGGCGCGGTCCCCGCTCGGCGCTCAGCCCGCCCCGCTGCATTGCTGCAGCGCGTACCGAGCCCGTTCCTCTCCCGGGATGGTGCTGCCCGCAGCAAGCTGTCAAAATGGTCTCCAAGTGCCGTTCTCAGCCTAAAATAATGCCCTCGCAAAGTCCACTTTTCCTGAACTTTGCCTGTCCGGTTTTGTTGTGAACTGCAGTGAGCTGAAACAAAGCTTAAAGGTGGGAATCACTTTTCTCTCTTCCTTTCCCCAACAGCTCAATGACACCCGGAAAGAAGCTGGAGGGTCTCGTGGCAGCTGCCATCACTCCCATGACTCCCGATGGGTAAGCCTTACCTCGCACCATGGCACGGAGCGTTGTCAAACTGCTCTGGCAACTATTCCCTTAAACCACCGCTCTCCTCCTTTCCTACTGGGAACAGACCAGATCTGGTTTGTTTCTAAGTCAGGTCTCTGATGAGGGAGGAAACATCTAGGTGAGAAGCTGCTCTCCAGGTTCTCCTAGCCCCTGTGTCCTCCTGTTCCCCAGCAAGTGCTGTAGGTCAGGGTTTGGATCAGTCTTTCACCTGCTTTTCTATTGTTTTGGTAGATGCAAATTAAATCACAGTAAGGTCATATGAATAGAGTACTTTCAAACTTGTTAAGGCAAATCACAGTCCTGATTAGAAGAGCTCTTGTGAACTGGGCAATGACTGTTTAAATCCAATGCCTGTATACCCGTTTCTTACCCCTGGCTATCTCGTGCAAATTTTTGTTTATACATGTGTGCACAGAATTAGTTTAAACCGGAAGAAAATATTGCAGGGATTGCACAGTTCCAAAAATAACGTCAAATCAAGAGCTGAAATTCTGCCTTTCTCAAAGAAATGATGATAAACGGATGCATCATTCCTGTATTTTGATGTTGCAAGACAGACTTGTTTGGAATCAGGAAAGGACCCTGAGCTTCTCAGATTTGTCAAGATCCACATGTGTTTCTGAGGGACAAGGTTGAGAGTTGCTAATACATTCTTCTGAATATAAGCCTTTAGTTTGAAAAATACTGTAAAGCAGAGTACTATCGCAGTAAGGGAACTCATTTGCATCACAGTCACTGCTTAATTTCTTAATTTAAAGGAAACTTGATTCTGATTTCATTTGTTCTTACTTCTTGAATTTATTGCAACATGGTATGTGGAGAGTGGAAACGTATGGAAACAGCAAAGGAATATTACACACTGATAAACAAAATAAATTTGCTCTGGAGAGAAGATAAATCTAGAATTCAGTTTCCATTGTTTGTCAGGGAAGTCTGAGCTTCCCTCATTCTTTAATGAGAGAGAGAGAGGTCAAAGTCACATGCAACAGACACCATTACACAGTCTGTGTCCAGCAGTTACAAGTATAGTTTAACTGTTTGCCAGCATGTGCACAAATGCATTTGTGGTCTCAAGGAACTCTTGGTTCCCCTAACAGTCCAAAAGGTTTGAGTCTGCCTAATTTCTTGTGGAATGTAGCATGTGCTGAAGGTGTCATACCTTGGGGTATTTGTGTGTGTACAAATCCAAGACATCAGAAATACATGTCTTTATTTTTGGTTACTTTATCTCTAAGTTTAAAATTTCTGTAAATAGAGACTTAGAGTTGCTAAGGCTCCTAAGGTTGCTGCGGTTCCTTTCATTTCAGACAAATCAATCTTTCAGTGATTTGCCAATATGTGGATTATCTGGTAAGGGAGCAGAATGTGAAGAACATCTTTGGTAAGTTTTTTGTTTTGTTTTCCCACAGAAACTGTGTTATGTTCCTTTTGCCTGGATAGCAAACCTATGATATCTTGCCTGATAAGAGCTGTAATGGGAGAGACTGTGGATGTGGGATCCTCAGTGATAATTATATTCATCAGTGGAAAGGGTGTAAGCAATACTTAAGAGATCTTTTGCCTGCACACCATTTCTGTGCGGGGTGAAATAAGCGTTGCCTTCATACAGTAACTGGATGAAGCAATGAATGGATAATGCTGTGCTGGCAGACAAGACTTAATTGAATGATACTTCCCGTTGACCAAGCAGGACATAATCATCTGACTTAAATAACATCCACTCAGCATTGCAGAGAATCCTATGGGCTCATCAAAGCCACGTGAGCTTCTCTAGGAGCCCTCCAATGCACTGGGTGATACTGGAGCGGTCACTGCTCTCATCCTTCTCTTCTGCCTCCATCTAAGAGGCTGCTGCCAGGGCTTAGGGGTGTCTGGATAGATAATACAGCATCTGCTAAACCACATTTGTTCACAGCCTTGTGCACTTTACTAAGCTGAAGCCAGCGCTGAGAATTCTGTTCGAAATTTCAGTTAAGAGTGGCAGAATGAAAAATGGAGTGTGCTAGTAACTTCAGCTGTTTGTTTAATCTGTTGTTTTGTGACTGAGCATACTGACATTTCCTTCTTTTCAAGAGGTGCTTTAGCCTCAGATACATGGTTTCACTCACCAAATGTCAGACCTTTTCCTGGGCATGGAGGAATGAAAGTCCCTCTACCTGGCTAGCTGCTTGTCCCTTCATGCATTTGTCTCATTGCTGGGGGAAGAAGGTTTAACAGTTTCAGCAGCTGAAATACCCAGGTTTTGGATGCTGGCATTTAGCGATGATAACACTGTAATCCCCTTGCAGATGCTGGTGCAGACCACTGTTATCTTAAAATGAGTTGGAGGAAATATAATTCTGCTTAATTTCATCAAAATTGTCAGTACTTGCCTTCAGGAAAAGCAATGCCTGTAGGCCAAGCCTCGGCAGCTGTGTTGTATTGTGTTGAAACAGTGAATGGCACCACAGGAGAAGGCCTGTCCCTTAGCATCCAGGAGAGAAAGCAGCTGGCAGAAGAATGGGTGCGCCAAGGAAAAGACAAGTGAGTAGCTGAGAGGAAATGGGAATTTTAAATTTCATGTTATTATATAGGATTGCCTAAGACATGTATAGCCAGGAAAAAAAAAACACATTTGATGATAGCTTTTTTTTTTTGAGTATTTTGTTGTTGGGCTTTATTCCCCAGCTCCTTTTTCAGAGAAGCTTGCTTTTTTGTCACTGTCAGTTAGCTGGTATCCATTCCTACTCCTTGGGGAGCTTGTAAGTGTGCTCCTCTTCGGTACACTGAAGGATGGAGGGAAAGAAAGGGCTATTTAAAGCCCTGTGAGCATTTCTTAACCTTTTAATATATTCATTAAATTATTTGGTATGGGGGAAGCTGTGGTGTAAAGTATGCAAAGTTAGTGGCAAAAGAAGGAATTCAACCTATATCTTCAGCCATGTGTGTAAGTGCAAGTCTCTTCTCTGTCTCCTGAACCTTTTGTAGTCTTCTATCACTTGCCTCTGCCTTCTCCTTAGTTGCTGTCAGAAGATGTGGAGAGAAGGGGGTGTTTTGGAGTAGGAGGGAGATAGTGAGCAGTAATAAACTGATGTGAAGGCTTACGGTCTGTATGGATCTAAAGGTTAAACACAGAAACAGGACTGATGGGCTGGAACCTGGAAAATGTTCTTGGCAGGATCAGACAGGCTGTCTTTTAATTCAGCCCAGTGAAGTTCTTGTTCTGTGGCTTCCTGGTCTGAACTGATTCATTTAGGCAGACTGGTATTCTTCACCATCACTAAAACCTTCTGAATTTGTTCTTGTGCAGACTAGATCATGTGATCATTCATGTGGGAGCACTAAGTCTACCAGAGTCCCAAGACCTGGTGCGTATTACGATTCCTTTTCACTATGTGTGTAATAAATAAAAAAAAAGCAGATGTACCTTCAGGTATTTTTCTGTTCTCTCTTTCATAGGCAAGACACGCAGCAGCCATAGGTGCTAGTGGTATTGCTGTAATAGCCCCCTTCTTCTTCAAACCCACAAACAAAGGTGAGTAGATGTGATTGCCAGACCTCCTGAGGCCCTATTCTATTGCCTTCAAGCCACTAGCAGTATTTTCTGGTAAAAGAGAGCTCAAGAACTCTGAGGACCACTGATGATAATACTGCTCCTAGTGGAGGAAGCGTGGCTTTCCTCTTGGAAATAGAAGAGTTTCCAGCTGCTTGCAAGATTTCCAAATTCCACATCTTGAAGGATATTCTGAACGGGTGGGTGTTTCAACAGTGCAATAATCCTTTATCATAGCTCTTGCATGTGCTCTCTTCCTTTGGAAACTATTCTGGTGGTAATGTTTGTACACCTGTGCCGTGTCTGGCATCAAGAGATAACAAAACCTAAAAGGAGAATGTTTTTTTCAAGGATGGTCTTCCAGAAGTCTCACAATAAAAAGTGTGATGGGTGCCATTTGGGATACATCTTGTTAGAATGTTGTGAAATGAGGAGTTGCTCATTGAAAGAGTAGTTAACTAACCTGTCTTCTGAACAGAGAGCACTGAGTTTGTGGTTGATCTGGGCTGCTCTAGAATGCAGTCAGTTCTGTGCTGACCCTTGGTGGACACTGACCAACTCAATAAGCTGTTGATACAGCAGCGTCCCTTGTTATTGAGGTGATGGTTGTGACTTTGTGGCATACCTCTGCCCCAGCAGGGTCATCCATCTCTTGATTCTGTGCACGTAAGGTTACCTCAAAACTTACAAATTGAGTAGTTTTGCTTTCAACATGATGACCATAATGTAAAAGAACCACATGATGTGAAGATTTGTAATAGAAATGTTAAATTTTGTGTGAACTAATTATGATTGGAATTGTTTATATGAAAGCACCAGAAGAAACAGGAGTAGATTGCCAGAATGGCAGGAATTGATAGCCAAGGACACAGTCACTGGCAATCAAACTGGTAAGCACAGAGGAACAGCACAAACATTAGCTGAAGGTCTTTGCTGTGATTGTAGTAGGATGACAGCAAGGTTTCAGCACATGGCTCTTTGACATTATTCTTCCTTCTGTGCCAATGCAAAGATTGTCTAAGATTTATGTATGATGCAGTGAAAAGATTCTCGGGAAGAATATAAACTGTAATGACTCTCTGATTCCTAAAATGGTGCAAAAAAAGTTGTTGAGGGACCTGTTTGCTATCACCAATTGAGCAGAACCCCAGTGAGGTGGATGTGAACTTCATCCCTTGTCCTCTGTGTTGTGCACAGGTGGGAGAGACCACTTGGTCCTGAGGTTGGATGTGTGAGGGTATGTATTTCTGTAAGAGAATGAGTGTGAGTTACTGAAATCAGTTTGGTTTGCAATAAATACCTTTGCCTTCCCTAGGGTCTTCCACTGACCTCTGTTGCAGTTGATTTTTGTGATGTGTGCAGGTTTTTATATTATTGGCTGTACAGGGTATGCAAACTGTGGATGGCCTATCCCCAGACCCTGTCTGCTGTGCATCTGAACTTTGTCACTGTGGCTGGTCTCCTTGTCTTACGGGGATACTTGGTTGTTTTCTTCCAGATGAACTGGTTGCTTTCTTACAGAAAGTTGCATCTGAAGCCCCTGGGGTTCCATTTTATTACTATCACATTCCTCCTCTGACGGGTGTAAAGAGTAAGTACTTCTTAGTCAGCTCTTCCTGAGCCCTAGACGTGTTTCGTGAGAAACCCTAGGGTTTCCTGAGAAACCCTAGTAGCTGGTGTGACTGGCCTACCAGCAGTACAGGGCTTCTGCTTAGAATCCTTCCCCAAAATACGTAGCAGAGGAATAAGGAATAGAATACAGATCATAAGTTGTTTGCCCTAGGCACCAGGTTATGAGGTGTTTCTGGGCGTATGAATTTATATTTATTCTTTGTTGCCAGTTCGTTGCTCAGTTTTCACTTATCCATGGTTTTTATTTCTAATCTGGCAAAAGGAATGTTTCAGAGAAAATGCCTTTGTTGTAACTTTGGGAAGTAATGACACTGAAGTTGTCTGATGGGTCAGTTTAGAACTATGTAGTTTACCAAGCTTAGGCCAAAAGTGATTAACTTGTAAATATTAAGTCTACCACTTGGGGAGGAAACAGGGAAATCTCCCAGAGCATGGATGTGTTTTTTCATGTGAGGTTGCTGTTGTGCACAGTTCGTGTTGAAGAGTTGCTGGATGGAATAAGAGAGCAGATCCCCACCTTCCAGGGTGTGAAGTTTAGCGACACAGACCTCTTGGACCTTGCACAGTGTATAAACAAGAATGGGAGCGAACAGTTTGCATTTCTCTATGGGGTGGATGAGGTAAGAGGGTCCCTTAAGGAAAAAAATAATCCTGGACATTCAGTGCCAGCTAGTTTTGCTATGCTTTCCCCCCCCCCCCCCCCCTTTTTTTTTTCCCCCTTTTTCTTTTGTTAAATGAAATAAAAATGTTCTCTTTCTCCCCACATGCCAAACTAGCAACTGTTGGGTGCACTGGCAGTAGGGGTAAACGGAGCAGTTGGAAGGTCAGTACGGCTTGGACTCCCGTCCCCCTCCCACACACACCTTAACTGGTGTATCTTCCACTGTCTGCACGGTGCTTCTGTGACCATCCTCCGTCACGGTGCTGGGGGATTCTCTAGGGTAAAGCTGCACAGTACAGAACAGACAGACAAGCTAGCTCCAGTGCTAATGATGTTTGACTATCATCTGGGACCTCAGAGTGGGTTAATTTAGATGGTTCTTGCTGCAGTCTGTGAGCTGACCACAGAATCATGGAATCATTCAGGTGGGAAAAGATCTCTCATCTTGTCCAACCTTTAACCTAGTACTCAAGTCCACCACTAAACCATGCTACTAAGTCTACCCTTAGGTTTCAGCATATTTCTTTATGCTCATGGCAACTTTTCAAAGTAGGAAATTGCTTTTATCTTCATTATATGGATAAGGAACCAAAACCCAGAAAGGTAAAAATGATTTACTTTAGTTCACATGAGAAGTCTGTGAGGAAATGGGCTCTGCAACAATGCTTGCTGAGTTTTTCTAGTTTGACTTCTGCCCCTTGTACTAGGCTGTGAGGTTGCTTAAATGAATTTCTGTATGCCACCTTAGCTTTTAGTAGATGATCCATTAAAAGAACAAATAACTGGGAAGTTTGTATTCTGAACTTAGTACAGTTAGCATGCTGAACTTCAGTATTGTCCAATTATTCCTTTTTATTTGTAAGTTTGAAAAATAATCCTGTTTGGAAAGAAATGGGGAGAGAAATCTGATCTCATAAACTCTTCCATCGGGCCTGCATACTTCTGATGCTTGACTTTTAACCATTCATAAACTGCAGGAAGGTAACAATGGCATTCTGATAATGTCAACAGGCAATACTTACGGCTACTTTGTTTCAGTGGTTCTAAGCTCCCCCTTTGCATTTACTGATTGGCTTGTTTGTTTGTTTGTCTTTGGCAGCACATACAACTATTTGGGTAGAAAAACCGAGCTGATGTTGCAAGCTTTTGCAAAGCCAGACCTTGCATTAGCACAAAAGTATCAGGTACAGTATTTTTGCTGTCCCCCCTAGGCTTCTTTCTACTTTAACTGTGCTGGGAGTGTTTTTTTCTATGTGGTTTTGTCACCCATACACTGAGATATCTTTATTAGAGTAAATTTCTTTTAGTTCCAACCCTCTGCTTATTATTCACTCTCCTTGCATTTTGACCAGTCTTTACTGACGTACTTCTAACCGAGACTTCTTTATTTATCCTTCAACACTTAGATCTCATCTATGCAGAGCAGGCAATGGCCTGGCCTTTTTCCTTGAACATGTCCACAGTGGCCAAGCCCCTTGGCTAGGAATATTCCGGTGATAGTTTACTTGAGGTAATGCAGAAAGCCTTCTGAAATCAGCTCAGCTCTGACCCCTCCTGGTCTTGGGCTGCTTGAAGGTTTTTGAGGAGTTCTGAGCAATCAGTATACAAACTATACTCAGCATTTTAATGTCCTTTTGGGACATTTGATGCATCCTTCTTTTGCCTTAAAACAGAAATGACTGCAAGATGAACATCTAAAGGACATCTGATCTATTCAGATTTAAAATCTTTAGAGCCTGATGTGAGACTTGCCAGTGTTCTCAGACTGCTTGCAGCAAGAGACAGCCTGAGCATTAGTAAAGAGACTGAGACTGATGGCTTTCTAATAGCCACCCCTACCTTCCCTGTTCCACTGGAGTAGAGTTAGTATTTCACACAGACTGGCTAGGTGGCCAAGGGCTTTTCTTAAAACTGTGCACCAATTGCATGTATGTAAATAACATAACAGCTCTAGGTGCTTTTACATCTTAAAATGTGAAGAGGTGAATAAGCTGCTGTTTGTCTATTCTAGTTTCTCATTGGGGAATTTCTCAACTTTGTCATCAAACTAGGTAAGTTATACACTACCCTTGTCCCTTCCTATATCTTAAAATGCAAACTCAATGCTCCAGAAGTTCTCCTGTTGCTGTACCCTCAGAATTTCCTTCCTGAAAGATTTCACAATGAGAAACTGTTGCTTATGCAGTTTCCTGAGTTGATAGCAGCTGGGAGCTCAAAGGGAGCTGACCAAGCATCCCTGAGAGAACCCACTCTCACTTCCTTCCTTCTGCTGCAAAAAGAGGTTCAAAGCTGTGACTCTCTGTGATTCTCTCTATGGTTTTCCTTTTTTCTTATCCTATTTCTATGTTTTGTTGTTGTTGTTGTTGTTGTTTGTTTGTTTTTCTTTTTCTGCCTCCAAAAGCCCATTTTAATATAATTTCTGGAGAGCCATTTTTCTGAGATTGTGATGCCCCAGTAGAATAACACAGCTCTGATGCTTGTCTCTTTCCTTCTTGCTGTAATTAAAGATTAATCCTGTTCCAGGCTGTATAAGGCCAAAGTATTCTGAAATGGAATGATTTTTAAAAACAAAACCAAGTGGTAATGTAAAAAGCAATTTAAAGCAACCAAGACAGAGTATTGGAAGGAGACTGGGATGTTTCATGATTTTCACGTAATGAATAGAATGGTCTGACGTGCTTTTGCTACACGTATTGTATATAAACCCTGATGAATCTGGCTGAGCTTTCAGATTAAAAGTCAGAGCAAGTGCTCAGAGATGCATAAGAAGACTTGAGATATGGACAGGTATGTCCCCTGAAGTTTCCCGTAGAGGTTTAAGCAGGTGCCTGGTGTCACTGCCACACGCCAGTAGGATGTTGCCACTCCCAAGGCTTTATTGTATGTGAGTACTCTGTAGGTTGCATCAGGGATGGCTGCAAATGTGGGGTTGCAAAAAGTAAAGTGAACATCTGAGAAAATTGCCTCTCTATCTGTAGAAGCGAAACAATAGTAGTATCAATATATTAAATAAATAAGTGTAATAAGTAGGCCTAATTTTTACTGTAATGTCTTTCCTGCCTGCAAACATGATCATCTCTTCTTGCACTGTTCTCACTTCCAAGAAGCGCTTAAAGCCTGGACGATGGCAGGTCACACTGCTCCTGCTTTTTGACACCTACACAGAGACTGGTTTGAGTGAAATGATCTGTAAGTGACCTGATTGTTGCTTTCATCTGCCCAGGTTTTGGTGTTGCACAGACGAAAGCTGTAATGACTTTTGTTTCTGGCATCCCCATGGGACCTCCCCGGCTTCCACTTGTTAATGCCTCTGAGGAGTTCATTGCCAAGGCCAAAGCCAAGCTGGATAGCATTGCGTGGCCCAATAGTGACTGACTTCATCCCCTGTTGGTCTGGAAGTAGAGGCTCCTTTTCTGGGATTCACCATCACTCGGCACATTCCCCAGGAGATGGTTTGGCCGTGATTTCTTTCAGGGAGTTGGCAGCGTGCCTGAGCCTCATCCGGGCACAGCTGGCACATGCGTAGTCACCTTCTTGTGTAACTCTGCTCTGCTGCAGTGGAGCTCTGCACTGCCCAGGACCAGCTGGTGTCTTAAAAAAAAAAAAAAAAAAAAAAAAAAAAAGCTAGGTTTCTCCAGTGGAGGGATCCTGACTCCTTTTGTCTCAGAAGGAGGAAGGTCTGTCTGCACCTCCCTCCACTTAGACCATGTTTTGTCTTCCCTTGCTGAGTGTCTCCAGCACTAGTGTGTTTTTAAACACTACTCTGTTTTAAACACTGCTCTTTTAAACATCTGCTTGCTCAGGCTGGTGTTTCCTTGTTTGTCACAAAGTCACTGGGACACCAGTTGTGCCTCCTCTCATTGCCTTTGCACACCTTCACTTAACGCACAATTTAAAACAAGACTTTTCTAACAGCCTTTGGCTCTCTAATGAGTGGGTGCCACTGCAGCCTTTTCCTCGCAGCATACCAGTGGCCCTGCCCCCTTGGGTCCCTCGGCCCCACGCTGCTCCTGCTTCTCCCTCTGGCTGCCCAGCCGCAGCTGGGAGGCACGGGGTGATGCTATGGGGTGGCTGCCTGGTGCTTGCAGCTGGCAGTGGGTGGGATGCCTGGGGAGACCCTGCTCTGACTTGTGGTAGCTCAGTGTGGGCAACTGGGTGCTCAGAGGGTGCCTGGAGACACCCAGCTGGCTGCAAGCTTGCGGTGTGACAGCCAGAACATCCCTGCTTCTTGCCTGTGAGTGCAAAGTGCACTGATTTACTTTGTCAGGGGAAAGTAGCATGGAAAAACGCTCTTATTTTAAAACATCAGCTGTAAAGAACTATGGTCATGTGCTGAACCTGTGCTGAAATGCATTAAAAAAGATCTGTTGAATTGCCATCTGGTGTGTGTGGTGTTACAATACTGCTCTGTGCTTGGCTCTAGGAGTCATGACTGTGGCAGCAGAGAGCTTGGAATTCAGGTTGGCTTTGGGAAGGAGCTGACTCCTGGTGCGAGGTACTTGTACTGTCGGTTAGTTGTAAGAAATACCAGATTTGCACTGAGCATTGAATCCGTCACTGTACCCTTCCTCCTCCTTCATCTTCCCCACCAAAAACCCAGTAACAATTCTGGGAAACACAGTGATACTGAGTCAGGCTTAAGGTACTGAGGCTGAGGTTGCACGTTATTCCAGAGGAGGCTGTGTGCTCACTTAGCTTGTTGAACCATTCGTTTTTTTGTGTGTTGAGGACTAGTGACTGCTCACAGACACTTAACAGATGAATGGAGAGTGCTCCCTAAAACATTCCCTTTTATAATTTTTGTGATATGGGGCAATGGTTGTAAACCCAGTTTCATTGGTGTTACCGTTTTCCAGACAAACTGATAGTGCTGGAAGTCAAAACCCGTTATTTGGAACCTTTTAAGCAGAATCCCAGAAAAGTGTGTTTGGTGGTGAGGAAATGAGTGTTAGCTACCTGTGTGACAACACCAAAGGATGGATGCAATCTACTGATAATGCTGTTGTACAAAACTGTGGTTGAGGCTGGCTGGACTGTTGAAAATCTGTCTGTTTTGGGGTGTTTTTTTGTTTTGTTTTGTTTTGTTTTTTTCCCAGAAGAAATTGTATTTTAGTTAAAAGCTGTTCACATGCTCAGCAGAACAAAGAGCAGAAGTCAGAAGTGCATAAACAATCTATCCATGTGAAGCTGAGATGAAATGGAGTTGCTGACTATGGATGTAAAAGGGAAGAAAACTATTTAAAGTGAGGGGCAGTGGTTGCAGAAAAAACAGGTAGAAAATGTCTGGTTGGTCTGAATTTTGAATAAGCTTCTTATGCTCAAGCTTTGTAGCAGCCTCTCAGTCAAGCTAACAGGGTGTAAGGCTGCTACTCCAAAGCATGGCTCTAAGTTTCTGACAGCCTTGCTCGCTGTCATCATGAGGAGCAACAGCAGAGGACGCACAAGCTCGCTCCTGGTGTTTTCGTCTGGGGCTTTGGGGTTAAGGCCGAGGAAGGTGAAGCTGTGCAAACTTCGCTGCTGTGTTTCAGCAGTATCCCTCCCTGCACTGATTCATTTTCTTCACCGAGATTTCGGGAAACACTCACACTCCCTGGGAATGGACTGCAGGCATTTTCTTTAATAGGTATATTTTCTGGCCACAAGCTATATGTTCAAAACCTATGGGAACATTTGTGTCTATCTATGTAGATAGCTATAGATATATACAATGATACGTAATAATGCTTGTTAATATTTCTTTTGTGCTTATTAGCAAGTCAAATTTCGTATTTCTGTATTAATTACTGATTTTCAAGACACTTTAACTTGTATGTGCAGCAAGTCTCTTTATTTACAGGTTCGTGTGGAAGGCTTTAACTCTGTTGTCACAGGCAATTCCACAAAGAAGAACGATGTTTGATACTTAGTCACTTAGTTTGGGTGAATGAAATGAAGAGGGACAAAATTCCTGCTTTTGGTGTAAGCCTCTGTTTCTTCTTCCCAAAGGTTAATCTTTGATTGCAGTGCTGTGCATCCAGGTGCATTTCATTTCAGGAGTTCAGTTTGGCTCCCCTGTGCAGTGAAGAGAAGTGAACCTGCAGAGCTTCTGCTTGCAGTGCTGGAAGCCTGGAATATAGACGGTGAATGATGGAGGATGATCTGGTAAAAACAGCTGTGTTTTGCTCTGCCTAACTGGTGAATCTGGGGGAGAACTCACAGTTCCTGGAAAGTGCATTTCACAGGTGACTATGAAATGTTTAATACTGATACTGACACTGGAAATTGTTTTAAATGGCACGTTGTGATATATAATATTGTATATATTAAAAACAAACACACAGAAACAGCACCATCACGGACATTTCAAACCAGACATTGAAAATGTGATGATTTTTCTATACCACAGATGCCTTCTGCTGTAGCTCCTCATGTGTAGTAGGATCACTGGTTGTTATGATGTTTGACATAAAAGCTGAGGAGGAAGGTGCCTCTTATCTTTACAACAGTTTTAGAGTACAGTAACTAAAGCATGAAGCTATGTATTGAATGTTGGGAGGGGAAGGAAGAGTCCTTTTGCAGTGACCTGTTAAAAATGTATCTAAATTACATAGTTTGGGTAGTGGAAGCAGTGTCCGTGCCTCATTAGCCTGGGTGAAGCCCTTTGTTAATAGGAGCTGTGTTATTTCTGATGGACCAGTTAGTTTCATGGCAATGCCGTGTGCTGCACACCTAGATCCTAAGCAGTGATGGCATGCTCTGTATCTTGAATAGAGAGGAGGTGGTGTGATCTGTTAGCTTCAAAATGGGAAGAATTCAAACTGTGATCATAGACCATGGTTTTGTCACTTCCTAAGGGCATTAGTGCTTTCTTTTTTTTCGTTTGTTTGTTGGTTTGTGTGTTTGTATTCATATAGAATATTTTGAATTGTCTTGGATGTAAGATACGGAACAGTATTTGTTAGCTTTCCATGGGTGCTGAAGCAGTTGATTTTATAATTGCTGAAATTCGGTAGGTCAGGGCTACCTGTTGGGGTAGAAATGCTTTTATAGAATGCTGTATGGAACTTTCTTTTTTCCATACTAGACCTCAGAATCAGAAATAGAGGACTTAAATGATGAGCTGGGTTAGAACTGGACCTTGGAAAATGCCAATGCGTGTCAGAACCATGTTTTTCCAAAAGGAGATTTGAGAAGAATATAAATAGACTCAAATTGGGCCTGACCACAGCGAGTTTGGTAGTTTTAGTCACCTGCTATGTATCAAGGGTTAGAAATAATTTTGGTGACAGTGGCTACACACACTTATTTGCAGTGCTCCACAGTGCCACTTGTTAAAGCAGAATTCTTTACCAGAACCACTAACATTTAAAAGAGAGCAATTGAAGTCCTTGAGAGAAAAATAGGGTGTCTCCGCATTCCTTTCTGAAGTTTCTTCCTTCTCTCTTCATTTTGCTGCCCTTGACTTGGTTTGTAGACCATTTTATTCAGAGTGGTAACATCCCTAAATCTTGAAATGAGGGTGATGAGCCTTGGTTCTGAGATGTGAGTGACTTCTTCATGGATGTGCAAGGTTTACAACAATTGCTATGATCTAGCTAAGTGTTGATGTACCACTGTGATTCAAAACAGTGCTGAACTGCTTGCAGTGGTTGTTTGGGTGACTGTAGGTGCCTGTGTGCAAATAAATCTTAAATATACTTATATTTGCTTCTGTAGAAATGTGCTTTGAGGACATTTTATTTATCTTTTAATTACAACTAACTTTGTTTGCAGCAGAATCTCCTATAGGAAAAATGAGTTTGGCAGAATCTTCCTGAAGGCATTTGGAGGGTGTTAAATTTCAGTTGGACCCAGGTGGGTGTTACCCTTTTTTGGCTTTCTGCCTGTTCCACCAGAAAATTCACATGTGCTCCTCCTCCTAAATGAAAATCACGCATAACAGATTGTGCATAAATAATTGATGTTTTTGAATTTTTACACATTTGGAATAGTCAACAAAATCATCAGAGCTTACATTGTTTCTAGTGAAACAATTGCGTGTTGTGGCCAGAAATAATGCATGCTGCTGCTGCTAGATTTTGTTGTGGTTTCCATTTTTTCAGTTTTATAAACTTATATTTTTTATGAATAAATATGTTTGGGACATTTTTTTGTTTTACTTTTTTTTTTTTTTTTTTTGGTTGGTTCTTTTTTAAGGAGTACAAGAAAATGTCCTTACTGCAGTCTTCCATGAGTCTCACTTGCAAGATTTCTGGTATTCTCTTGATTCTAAAGAACAAAAAACATTTAAAATAATGTGATCTGTGTCAGAAAGTTCTAAATTTTCATATACAATTGTATTTTAATTTGTAGATCTGAAACTACTCTGAAGCTCAATTATTTGGAATTTTTAAAAATCATTTTTTCTTGAGAGAAGTCTTGAATTTTCTTATTTAAACATTATATTCGTTCATCTGAATTGAAGTTAAATTAGTTTGCTAGTTTCCTGCTGCAAAATTGTATTGAGTTACAAGTTAATGCAATGGAAATGCAATACCATTCTTGTAATAGAAAGCTGGGGAGGCAGGATTTGAACTGCTCATTGTGAGTCATTCTGTGAGCAGTGCCTGAGATTGCCTTTATTTCCATTTTCCTGTTTGTCTGGCCAGCCAGTCTTCACAGGTTGAGTAAATTAAATTTATATTGTTTCCCTTCCCTTCCCTTCCCTTCCCTTCCCTTCCCTTCCCTTCCCTTCCCTTCCCTTCCCTTCCCTTCCCTTCCCTTCCCTTCCCTTCCCTTCCCTTCCCTTCCCTTCCCTTTTATTTTTTTGTAGGGCAACTGGAGCCTTATTTGCAGTGATGAATGTGGTCCAGAAGTACACAGTTTCTTCTCTCAGCTGAATGAGAAAGAAACTTCTTTTGAACTCATTGAGGCTCTGCTAATGTACATCAGGACTCTGAATGTCTTGGGATTTGTACTTGCTTCCTTGCCTGGCTGGAACTTGATGTATATATACAATGCAGAAGCGTCTAGAAATGAATCCGTCTTTGGTACAAGCCACTGTGTTTATTGTATTTAATCTTCTTTTCCAAAGGAAACATCTGTCTGTGTGTAAAGGCAAGAGTTGCATAAGTGACTTGGAGAATTGGATTGATTTGGCATGAAAATGAATGGGTAGAAATAATTATGTTAGGCAAAGAAGAAAGGAGATTTACACAGTAACAGACTTTCTTGTTTTCATGTTGTAGAAAGCTGCCAGTATAGAATTTCACTTCTTCATTCACAGATTCCTTTGGAGGAACAGTGTTGAGTGTTTCATCTCATGCTTCCTGGAGTAATGCAAGTATGAGAGCCTTTTCTGTGTTGACATTAACATACTTTGTGCTGTTGCAGAATATATTGTTGAATTTTTTGACAGAGGTTATGTAGTTTATCTGGCAGAAGATCCTTAACTTTTTCAGACCAACTATTTCAGTACACATTTCCTGTTTGTACAGGCTATTTTATCTATCGCTGTGGTGGGGACCAGCACTACCATCAATGATGTGCTCTATCTTATAGACTGCTGCAAATGAAACAGCTTTTTGTTTTGTAAATGCTGTTCTTTGGAATGCAAAAAAGGTTTTCTGAACACACAGAACTGCCTTGTGTTCCCATAGTCACAGAGCTGAATTTAGGACTCTAGCTCCCTGAAGACAAATGTGCATTGTCTTTAGCCATTCCATACAGTTACAAACCACACTGGCATTTCAGTAGGCTGCTTTTGGTCATCTGCATTCATGTGAGGTGTCACTGGGTCTCCATGCGAATTTGAAATATGTGAGCTGCCAAATGAGTATTAAAAACACAGAGCATATAGCCAGTGGAAAATAGGAAGAATTTTGTAGTCTATTATGGCTCCTGTCTTGCTATGCATGTTCTCTGAGCAAATCACGCGTAGGGATCTCACTAATTGCATTAGAATTATAAGCTTTTGAGACAGCTCTGAGAATTTCATTCTGTGTATAGCCCAGAGCACTGCTTTATAAATAGTGTGGCGCTTTAGTTTCAGACAGATGGCTAAGTAGCCAAAGCTTAGCTAGTCCAACAGGGGCGGTTTGCTTCTTAGAAGCAGTGTGGCTGCAAGGAAGAAAATAAGAGCTGATTTGGCAGGACTTAAGATGAGGGACATCTGATATTCTGCTCTTGTTGAAACAGACAAAAAGTGAAGCTGTTCACTGCTCACAATAACATAACAAACTGTGCCACGGTCTGGGCATAAAAAACTAATTTGGAGTAGTGGAAAGGAAGAGCTGGACACGTGTGTGTGTTTTCTGTGCAGTAAAACTCTCTTTGAAGGGTGAGGCTTTGTCCTTCAGAAATACAATAACTTTGGAGAGTTCTCTAAAAACTGTTCCATGCTACTTCTGATCAAACATGGGAAGTAAATTGAGGAAACAAAGGAGATGCATGAATTCTTGGATATCTCAGTTATTTTGCTTAGGTGGGAAAAATAAGGCAAGACAGTTGTTACTTTTCCCTCCATCCTTGTTCTGTGGCTGAACTGCTCCACCTTCCCTGCTGCTGAAACTTGGGATCTTCTATTGGTTAAACTGTTTCTCCTTTACTAGAGCCATGGAAGTTTTTTGCCAGTTGCAGAAGTCTGCACAGCTGTTACACTCACTGGTCTCCCTCGGGAAACCTACAGTGCCCCTTTCAGGTAGCAGTTGGAGTATAGCTGCTCTATCTGCTCTCCAGTTTCTGAATATGCAACCATAATTCAACTTTTTGTAACCTCTAAAAGTATCAGTTGATCAAAAACCTCCCCTAAATTGACCTGATTTTTTAGATCTAGTCTAGTAGATATTATTCTAGTACAATGTAGTGATTTTAAAAAATAATATTTGACTTTAAACTGATATTAGGCTACCGAAGCCATCATGGGACTTCATGCCTTGAAGGTTACTTTCCTGTGGGGAATGTAGAAACAAAACCTGCTAGATCCATGTTGCTCAGTACAGCCATTCCTGGGAGTTCATAATTTCAACCAGCAAGCTAAATGATCACTAACAATGCTGTGCCAGAGATAGAGACTTAAGAGCTCTCTCTCTTTCTAACAGATTTTTTTGCTACCAGAAAAACAATCTTGGAAAGTACGCAGCAAAAAAATACTTACTCTTAGTGATCAAAGCAGAAACATGCAGGTGGAGTTGGTATGGAGCTGAGAGAAGAACAAATATGGAAGTGCTAATGTAAGGCCGTCAGAAAGCAGATTGTGGAGACAAGTGGAAAGGGACGTGTTTGGGGCTGGACACAAACATGCTGCAAGATGGGGGCTTTAGCCATGTAGATTCTTTGCATGGCCAGCTCATGCTAGAAACCAGACTGGGTACTGGTGACCTGAGGGCTGTTCCCTCTGTGTGTTTCCATTCTACATTTTCCCTGAGGTAAGAATTGAGAAGAATGGAAAACAAATGCATGTACTCTTAGAAGAGTACAGTAAGTGTGGATGGATTGACTAGGAAACAGTATTTGCTTGGGGGGCTGAGGGGGTGATACTTTATGCTGATGGAATGACCCATGATGGTGATCAAAGTGCATGTTCAAAAAAACGCATGCTTTTTGTTGTCTTCTCATTCCAGACTTCAAACTCATATGACACCTGAAAGGTTCTGAACACCATTTTGTGAAATAGCTTTGAGCATCAAATTGCTCCAGTTGGGAGGAATTTAACATTTTTTGGCCAAAGCTATAAAACCACCACCTTTGGGTGCAGTGATTGAAGCAGAATGCACACTAAGAGGTACCACCGTTTGTCCACAAGGTTGTGTGTTAACAAAGGTGAGTCCAAGTGATTTCCCATGCAGGGTGGTCATTTACAAACTGCTTTAACATCTCTCTTGCTAGATTGTGTAGTAGCTTTTTGTAGTAGATTGTGTGGGTGGCAATGTCTTTTTCCAGCTGAAGAAATATTTGAATTCCCAAGTGGATTTTCTTTCCTTTAATAAATTTGAGCCTTTAAACTTAAGGCTTGTTTTGTTATTTTACCAGTGACTGATGCTAGCTTCCAGCTTCCTGTTTTCCAGCTGTGGCACTGTTGTGTATGACATAGATTCAGTCTAGTGCCTAAGGCATTAACAGAGCTACTATAAAACTAATAAAAAGGAGAGATTAACTGTTGTGTATTTTTTTTTGTATAATTACTACTTTCCACAGTTTGCTAACCTGAATTTTCAGTATTATGTGAAGTAATTAAATCTCCAGTTTCTGAATAAGCAAACATCAATCAATATCCTCCTAAAAAAAGAAACTGAAGTGGGGGTTAAGCAGTCTCCCCAGTTTCTTCAAGGAACTAGCTAGAATATGAGTTAAAAGAAGCAAGGTTTAAAGCAGTGATCTCAAATCTAAGCATGCTTTGCAAATATCACTAAATAAGCATTTCTTAACATTTCCAATAACTGAAATATCTATTTGATGACTTTTGTGGGAAAAAAAAAAAAAAGTGTAAAGAGACTACAATGCTTGTACATAGAGGGGAGACCAGAATAAAAACTGAAGGGATATGCATTCAAATTTAATGATCTGAAAATGGTTAGTGCTTTTTTACTTTGCTGATAAGAAATGCATTTCTTTAGGATTTTGAGATCATTAGGTATTAAAAAATGGATTTGATGGTGGCTAAGGAGTTCTTTGCTTGCTTGCTTTCCCATTTTATTGCTGAGGCAAGAAATGTAAATGGTCTAATTAGGCTGATGTTTTCCAAAGTATTTGATGCCTGAATCTGTAGAGCATGTAAACAGTAAGTCTGCATTTTTCCATGTTTTCTTAAGAGTTTTAAAGATTATATTTGTGCTGGTTTTCTTTGGCATGCAAATTTGAGAGAGAGAGGGCAAGAGAGCGCAAGAGAACATGAATTATGAAGCAGAGTTAATGCTTATGATCAAATGGCCAGAAAGTTAGGGACACCCATGAGACCCTTCGATCTGTAAACAGCCACTGCACTTGTTTGACTTTATTGTTGCCAAGGGTTTGATAAACCCCATTCTGATGCCTTTTGAGGTTTCTTTCAATGTGGGACATGCTGTCTGTACTGCCTCTAGTCAGCCACTCCCCAAACCTACCATCAGTGAATGCAAATGGCCAGATTGTGTCCATAGGAATTGTGCTGGGAGCAGGTTTTCAGATCACCTAACTTTGCTCTCAGTCTTCCAAGCCTGGGATGACGCAAGGTGCAAAATCTGTTTAGAAGTTATGGTGAGCAGTTGTGTGACTGGACTAGATATGTCATTGGCTGCTTTAACAGCTAGATTGTCAGTCCTTTTCTTGCATGGACCGCTAATTCAATCTGTGTTCTAGAATGGGTGGTGAAGAAGCAGGAAAAAGATTTTGTGAACACAAAAGACTGAGCATGGCTATGCTTACAAATGACTTGGAAAGCAATAGTCCAGCTGAAAGGTACCAGTTCTGTCTTCCTAGAGAGTGAGATTCTACGTGGACATAGCAATTTACGATCGTGTTTTTCATTTTGAGATGAGAAATAAATAAACAAGATAATCTATGATGAACACACAAGCATAGAGGCATGCCCTAAATATCTTCTGCCTTTACAGCTGTGTTCAGATGAAATTTTAGTGCTATCTCATTCTCTTATAGTTGCCTAACAGACAGAAAAACAGAGATGTTGTGATGGCTGAGGTGCAATATAGGGCGATTTTGGAGGCTGGCATTAGGGCTTCATGATTAAAATTATGTTTGACTAATTCTCCTTAGAGAGTTACCTCTCTGGTTTTCTTTGTTCTTTACTCGTTGCATCCGTAAAACGTGTTCTGTAAGCGCTGTGCTTCTCCACTCCTTTTTATTAGCCTGAGGGAGTCTGTGTGATCTAAACATTGTGCTATGTGTCCTTTGGTTTTCTGGGTTTGTGCAGCAGGAAAGATGTGCAATAATGTGACATATTATTCAATTTTCCAAAATTGCTATTTTAAAACTGATGACCAGGTTCTGAATTTGCCACATGTCCTTGAGGAGCTTGTTTAGTCAATATGGCATGGCTGGCAGGGTTCTGCAAATGATCCTCTCCCTTTGTTATTTTTTCTCTTTTCTTTTTTCTAAATTATTTTTTTTTCTCCTCATGCTGTTAGAATCATTGCTGCATTTATCTTTAACTTTGTTTCTGGGCAAGATGACCTGAAAACAAGCCACCAGAGACTCTGGGGAAGTTTGTAACAAATAAACTAATGAAAACATCCATTCTGACCTCCCCCAAAAGATCTGTCTCCAAAACAAATGACAGGAAACATACTGTGGTACAGCACATTCTGGACAAACCTCTCTCTCCTTGTTTTTGAAGAGCTTGGGAGAGAAAAATACCTCTTTGTAGTAGTATTTTTTAGCTTTTTGCTATCCATGAATTAATTGGAAACTAAATGTAGAACTGAAATGCTTTGAGTGCAGAGGTCATTTGAGAGCAGATGCCCATCTGCCAGTTGATTGAATCAGAAAATGCATTGATCCAGGATCCTAAACAACTGCTGTGCATGACCCATGGATGCTAGCCAGTCTTCTGTTCTCTGTCAACAGAATGTTTGATGACTCAACCATTTAACAGCACTGGACCAGATAATAATCTAGATGTTGTAATCTCCTTGCTTGCTTTTGGGTCTACCCCAATGTCTGCTGCCACAAGGAGAAGAGGGAAATTCTTAACACTGAGGGGCACAATGCCTTCCACAAGTCATCTGTCAGCTGCCCTTTCAGCACCCAGAACATCAAGTATTTACCACCTCTTTTGTGTGTGTGTTTGGAGAAAAAGTAGCCTGCAAGCCTGATTGTGGTGCCTGTGCAGTTACTCGAGGTGCCATGATGGCAATACCCTGATGTGCGCCGTCTCCTCTTGAAACCAGCTGTGTGCAACAATAGGGTTCACTCTGCCTGGGAAGCACCCTGAAGACATTTTTGTGAATAACCCTTGTATTAGCAAGGTTTCTTGCTGTAAGGACAGCCTCTTAAGAAGTGTCTCTTTTTTGAGCATGTGTAGTGGTTTCTGCTTAAACTGAAAACATGACACTAGGCAATTTCCATGAAAATCTACTTTAATTGGAACGTGAATAAGAGATACTACGTATTTTGCACCTCCCCTTAAGAGAGAGGGTGAGAGGCTTATTTTTAAGTCTCAGAAATATGGCTGGAGGAGAGAACTGCTAAGGATTTGTCATTTGGCTCTGGCAGTGTGCATTTTATGCCCATGACCAAATACCATCTGGATGTCTTTTGTTTTGTTTTGTTTTGTTTTTTAACTTCCCAGCCTGTAAAACAAAGGTGAAGAATTGCTTAAGTTTAGTTCACTGGTATGTTTGGCTGTGGCCTGTTCCTTTCAAGATCTTAAGGAGCCACGTAGTTTTAGTTTGCTTTGTTTCTGTATCTTTCTGTTTAGTTTGCTTTGTTTCTGTATCTTTCTGTTTTGGCAATAAGGATTATGTATTAGTGTTACCTAAGTATGTTAAATCTGAAGAGCAAATTTAATTTTATCTTTCATAACAGGTTCTCCCCTGGAAGTTGTGATATATCTAATGTAATTGTTTCTGCTCTAGGTTCAAGCTGAAAATGCCCCACAGCGTGGCTGCCTGCATCCCTGCTGTGCATGCTGCAATGGAGGCTCTCACTGTGGAGGTGACTAAAGATCTGGGGATCATTTAGCAGCTGGACCCACCAAACGAGCAAATGCGATCCATCAGCTCTCCAGGCCATCAGGCGCAGGCATCAGCCTCATGGCTGCTGACGCAAGGTTAGCTCGCCTCTGCTGGCTCATGCCGTCAGAGCTCAGGGGACAGGGAGCACTCACCACCTCTGCCCCCAGGGACACCAAGTGCCCAAACAGCAGCTTCAAGCTGTCAGCTCACTGCTCATAGAGGCTGCAGAAGCCCAGAGTTAGTATCACCAGGAGAATTGTGGCTGGTGTGGAAAGGAGCTTTGGGCTTTTGCTGCAAGGTCAATAGTCTGAGCATATGTAAAATTGTCATGTTCAGGGTCTGATGGAGACAAATCACTGCCTGTTTCCACAGGAAGGACAAACAGAAATAAAAGCTCTGTCATCGCCTGTTCCAAACCACAATGACTTTCATAGACAAGATAATCCAACTTTATTTTGGGCAAACCTCTTCATCGCTGTCTCTGGAAACAAAACAAACATTCAGCTGTGCTTGCACCCCTTTATTGCCCCTTATTCAAGTCTTCTTAGGCAGAGGAAAATGAACACACTTGTGAGCCATTACTAGTTTAGAATCAAAACAAAGGGCACCTTAGACATGCACTTCAGTATATTTTGTGAGGAACAAAGTAAATATCCCTATGATCATGTAAGCAGGTATAGGATTTGGATTTAGATTTTGAAGCCATCTGTTGTTAGTTTTGGTTGTAGGAAGTACAAGGCATTCTGAAGAAATCTCAGCATTGTCTAAAACCATTCTCTGCCAAACAAATTTCAAGTTACAGAACCTGGACTCAGTGGGGATTTTTCTTTGTTGTCTAATAAACTGTGCAAATAGGTCTTGCTGCAGTGGTTTTCTGTCTATGCCAGGCAGTACTTTGTTCCTTTACAGCCAGCCACTGTCTTAGTGCATGCTGTGTTGCACTTCATGGCCCAGCAGCTGAGGAGTTCTTTTGCTTATTCAGATGATGTGGGAACCTGGAATACCTTTTCCAAGACTGCTGTATGTGATGGTTCTCGTGTCTGCAGAACCTGATGTGAACTGTGCCCTTAATCTGAGGCAGTGTTTGTTTACATTCCTATTCCAAAATAGTCACGCTTCATTATTCCAAAAACATGTGAGAGTGCCTTTTTAATTAGAATTCATTGAAATTATAGCCTGTGGATTCCAGGCATCCAGAGCTTTGCTGGCTGACTTGTGTTTGCAGAAGTATACCAGTGCAAAAGGGATAAAAAGCCCCACAAAACTCCAGTGAGGTGTGGTTTCCTCCTCACCTCTCAGACTAGGACCTGAGAAGTGACCTGGAACAGGAGTGGAGGCACAGATTACTGGTAAGGGTTTCCTACAGTCAGGCTGTTTTTACTGTTGTGCAGGAACTCTTGTATAATCAAGATGAGCAAAGTGCTCCAGTTCACACTAAATGTGTACATAAATGTTTTTGTTTTGGCCCAGACTGGCTGGGCTCCCTTACCTCATGTATACCCGACCACAGGAAGAGCTACGCCGGCCGGGCGCAGCAGCAGGCAGGGACTGACTGCTTCTATGCACACACTTGGTACTGCAGGGCTTCAGGAGACCATGAGGTGTCTGTGGGAGCAGCTCTGTACAAAATTTCTGCTACCATGCCTGATGAAATTAACCCCACCGATAACCCAGCAGGCATTGGATTATTCAGAACCAATAATTGGTTGTTTTTACAGGGGCATGGGGGTACCAGTGTTTGAGTAAAGTTTAAAGTACATTTCCTGTATTTCTAATGAAGAGTTCTTAAAAACTATAAACCTCAAGCATTTTTTGTTTGTTTGTTTGTTTGTTTTTTAATTCAAAACTGTTAAAAGACAAATGACCCATGAATGATGTCACATGATGCCTTGCTATGAATTGTAGAGATCTTTAAGGTCATCAAATGTAAAGTTATTATCTACTATTATCTACTATCTACTGTTATCTATCTGTTATCTACGATTATCTATTTTCTATCTACTATTGCTGGAAAAAAGACTGTAAAACATTACCTTTATGCCACCAAGGCTGTGATGTGAGATCTCACTGGCTCTGATACTTTTGCAGTGATGGATTTTGTTACTCCCTAAGATGGCTATGCTTCTGGAGTACAGCTTGGCACCAGTCATTGACAAAAAGAATAAATCTGTCTTAATGTTGCTCATAGGAATTCTTTTAAAAATTGATGTTTGACATTTAAGAGTATAGTCAAGTGACAATGGTGTATGAAATTCTGCAGGTCATGTTCCTATGTTGCAAGATGCTGCTGAGATGGAGCTTCCAAGAATACGGAGAACTGAGAATGATACAGAATGCAGGTTGAAGCAGAGGTGACACGGACTATTTAGCATCTAGAAATTACAGTATAGTTGATCTTTTTTTCTGTGCTAGTGTTTTATGTTTTAAGGAATGTCCAGCATGAAAGTTGTGCTTAACAATGTTAAGTCTGTTTTTTTACATCTAGTCCATCAGGGCAAATTAAGTGGGAGAGCTTTAATCCCTGGCAACACTTCCTGTGCCAGAAATTAATAGAGTGGTCTAAACGAGGATTGACATCCTTAAACAACCTGGGTACATAAATTTGAAAATTAACTTGACATGACATGTATGTTTTCACAGTAAAAACTGAGGTTGAGATGAGTTTACTGTGTCAGTAAATTAAGATGTGCTTTGTTTCAAAAAGCCAGCTTGTAAGAACACTCACATTTTTTGTGCAACAAATTCAGTCATTTGAAATACAAGGCAAATGAAGCACCTGAGCTCCAGTAACTGAGCTATCTGTGATGGTCAGAGAAGCCCGTGAGCCCATACTCCAGTTCCCTCAGACCTTAATACACAATTTACTTTTAGTCAACTGGTCAGATCAGCAACCATGGCACCACTGGCTGTTCCTAGCTGTACCAATATAAGGTGCATTAGCTTTGTACCTTAGGCTTTTGATACTGCTAAACTCTCATGAGTGGCTTTCGAAACAGTTGCATTTTTTTTCTGTTTTTCCAGTTCCAAATGGAAAAGGAAAAGAGTAAGAGAAATATTGTCAACAGTGTCAAAACAATAATATGGAGGATAATACTTGTCAGTTGTTTACTTGAATTTTTATCTTGCTAGTTTGAAAGCTTCACAGAAATATTAAAAATGCTACCAACAAATTGCAAAGTTGCCATTAAGCCAACTTTTATCTTAATTTCTTCAAGCTGGACGTCATGCTTGCCTTCCTGTTTGTATGTACCATGCTGCATTAAACAGAAAACACAAACACTGTTCTTGCAAACTGCTCGATTTCAAAAGTCTTGTAATCAGAACAGAAAACACAAAGGCATAGAGAGAGATGAGAAATACACCATGTTAACTTTTGTCTTTGAGGTCCCGTCGCTTGGGAACAGCCTGTCAGAGTCAGGCACAGAGGAAATATGAGAATCTGTCTTTTATTGTACTGTTAGAGTAAATATGCAGAAAAATCATTTCCCCTACATGGTATTACTCAGGCAGCACTTCGCATAATGTATCTCAGGGTAAGACTGGAAAAACTCTAGACACAGAGAGATTTCCACCAATGGAGAGAAATTCAACAGAACTTCTACGAGATCTTTACCTGGAGAAAGCTTAAAGGGAAAGTAGGTGGAGGATGAGGCCTTCTCTCGAAATCTTTTCTGTGAGCAATATCTTTATAGTAAAGATTCTTTCTGTGGACTTATTCAAAACATTTGTACTTGAGCTATATAGCAAGTGTTAAAAGTGTCCAGATACAGTTCTTGAGAAAACTGACCAAGTTAGCTTTACAGTTAGGTAATTGATCTCTTTTCCTGCCTGCAAATCAAAAATGCCGTGAGGAATACCAGCCAGGGGAAAGCTGGTATCACCGATACAATTTTATAAAAGTGTGAGGCTTAGCAGGCAAGTCAATGATGCCTTAGCTGTCTCTGAAAAAGATGCAGTTAGTGTTTAAAAAACAGGAAAAAAAGATGAAGGTGTGAACACTTCTAATCTGGAACATGTCTGTTCATCCTGAATTTTGACAAGAAAATTACCTGAAAGTAGCTGCCTGAAAACACTTTGGCGGTTCAAGCATCATCAGCTTGGTAGTGTTTGTTATATGCAACAAAGAGACACACAGAAGATCTGAGATTTTCTCTTGCCTTGTTCAAAATATCCCTTAAAAAAAAAAAAAAAGAAAAAAGAAAAAAGAAAAAAAATGCATCTATGTACATGAGCAGTTTACATTCGGGTAACTGCAACAAATTAAAGCTGGAGAACTGCTGGGAATAAACAAATAAATAAATAAATCAGCAAACACACCAGGAGTTCCAGGGATGGGAAGGCAAATGAAGCAAAAGAAGCTTCAAGCAATTAATGTCAGCATGGCACTTCATTGCCTATGCCCCAGCCTCCTGCTGATCTTCTTGACACTGTCAAGAGCTCTGAAAATCCGTTTGATATTCTTTGTGCTCAGCAGTAACAGGAAGCTGCATTAAAGCATCCTTAAAATAAACAAGCACTGAACAAACAATCCATGCCAGAAGCTTTGCATGAGGCACTGTTTTTTCAAAGTGACCAAACCCGTGCACATTGGTTCCAGGAGGATAAGAAAATCTTTTAAAGAAGCATCGGGTGCTGCCTTAGTGTTTGCTATCTCTGACAGTTGTTGGCCTTGGTGAAGCGCATGCATTGTGTGTCCGGGCAGAGAAGTGGATAAAAGACCAAGGTGCGAGGAATGCCTTCAGTTTATCTGTACCACTGCTGGGATTTCTGCTCTACCAGTTAGCACAAGCCTTCGCAGCACACAAGGGCCAACTTTTACAGGAGGCATTCCAGTAAACTTTCTCACCCGGAGGTAGGATGGCACACAGGAACTGAAGGAACATTTTTGCATTGTTTTCAGGATACTAAAAAGAATTTAGAAACGATGAAGTAAAAGATAAACTCAGAACCTGATGCTGTGTTTTACAAGGTGTGAGACCAGCTGACAGCTCAGACATCAAGCTGAACAAGGCAGTGTATGCAAGTGAAGCACCAGTTAGGTGCTTGCAGGCTTCAAATCTGCAAGGTGTGATAAGTAGGGCTGGAAAGTTTGTTGGTGCTAATTTATAATTAAACCTGTCACCTTATGATAGTGTTAAATACAGTGCTGATGTTGACCTTCTTTTGAAAAATAAACAAAACCCCCACACCTTTAAAGTTTCATTAGGGAAGAGGGACTGCCTACTTTATAGGTGCCATTGCTGATGAATTTTATGCTGATTTAAGATAAGTTTTGTTAAACCTCGTTTTCACAAAGTCCTGCTATACTGCATTCAGCTGCTCAGCATTTCTCCCTTGGTAGTAATTAACTAATTATACTCTGCTGTTTATTCTCACACTTAAAGTTTTAAATCCAATTAAAAGCTCTGGTAAACTTTTTTTCTAACATTTGTTAAGAACCATTGATCAGAACTGCTTCAGAGCTACAGTTCATAAAGACCAAAAAGACCAGTAAGTTATAAAAGACCACAATGCTAAGATCTAATAATAATGTCTTTAGTTGACATGGATAACTTTACAGCCATGTTTTGTCCTGGGAAAAATGACAATGTGGCCTCCATGGTGCCAACTTCTGTAAGCCATATTCAAGTTTTCATGTTGCTGAGGTGGAGCATCTGTAGGAAAGGCTTTCACCTGTGCAGAAATGAATGAGTACCACTTCCTAGACCTGAGTGAACTAAAGAAGTAAAAGTAAAATTGTAAATTTAAATACAATTTAAAAATCAACTGCACCATACTTTTTGTTAGCTCTTTGCAAAAGCAACTGATTCTTTATGTACCAGGACTGTATTCTGGGAGAGGAATTTCAAGTTTTCCTCCAATGGTTTGGCCTGAAAAAAAAAAAAAAAAAGGCAGAAAGAGTAGATACGTAGAGACGTAGAGACTATAAATGAAGAATTGCCCCCTCTTTTTTTTTTCCTAACCACTGCTTTTGTGCATAACTAAGCTCCTGACCTATAGTCCTATAGTCAGTGTCTGCTATGTAGTTATCCATTTTTCCTCTTACCTTCTCTTAAATGAATTAGTTGTTCATTGTAGCCAACTTTTTTTTTTTTTTTTTTTTTTTTTTTTTTTTTTTTTTTTTTAAAGGGATGGAGGAGAGTAAGAGTTGTCGCAACTGCATCTGCTTTTTTTCCAGGAAGAGTTGTTGAAAGGAACACATTGCAAGAAAAAAGAAAATTTTCAACCACGGTAAGCACAAATAGTAATAGTATGATTGGTCGTGTAGCTCTGTGCTGACTGCCACTACTGCTGTGATCATGGGCACAAATTCTCACCTAAGGATGGAGAAGAAACAGCTGAAAGTCTAGTCCTACCTCTGTAAAAAGATAAGCAGTAGGTGGCACCTAGGAGTCTGAGACAGACATGCAGTTCCTTTACAGATTCTGAAGTTAATGCAGATACACAGGGAGGTGGATCTGTTATAGTTTTATTTAGTTTTAATTATATGTATGTTTACATACTCTACTTCATTCAGTGCACTGAATGACATTCAGTGCACAGAAATGACATTCCTGAAGATGTTCTTCTACATCTGTTTTATACTTATCCTCTACCTCTTTGAATTTTTGGGTAGACCTGTGTGGTGCCAGGAGTTGCACTCGATGATCCTTATGGGTCCCTTCCAACTGGGGATATTCTATGATTCTATACCTTTCATCCCATCACACTGCCAGCCTGATCAGTTCTGGGATTTAGTGGCAAGAAAGAATTTGAGGATTTACAATCATCCAAACCCTGCAGTGAGGGAACTATATGGATATGGCCTGCAGGGGAGAAAACTTCTGTGAGAAACTCCCCGTGGTGTAGTATTTTCCATGGCAGTATTATAAGGTTTAATTTTGTAAAAATCTTTGCGTGACTCAGAATCTGGCACTGGCCAAAGCACGAGCTTTGTTCATACATCTGTAGTGGCTGAAAGAGTAGAGTTTGACATTACAAGTTCTTCTAGTCCAACAGAAAATTTTTCTGAAAATGAATTTAAGGAACCAGTGTAGAAGAAAGAATCCATAGATACTAGGTGCTGATCAGAACTCAAAAGTCTCAGGACAACTAAAGACCATGGCTATAAATGTTAGAATCAAAACACACTATGTTATCTATTAATACAAAGATACATTATGGTAAAGACTAATATATATGTGTGTGTGTGTATATATATGTATCTTTATTCTTTACTATTTTTACTATTCTGTGACAGATACTAAATAGAACGTTTTGCCTAATAAGTTTCTGCCCACTATCCCTCTTAAAATGCGAAGTATTTCTATTCCCGAGTCCTTCTGATATATGCTTAAGTAATAATTAAGGGATTTATATGCTTATTTACATCAGAAAAAAAATAATTCTCCCTGACACTGCCAGATTTCCCATGCAATTCCAAACGGAAGATTTAATCCACTTTCATATGTGAAACATACATTCTTTAGATTGTGTGCTGTGTGTAGCCACATATCAGCTGATGGATATGCAAGCAGTGAAAGCTGCTTTATTTATAGTAAGATGGATTAAATGCGAATTTTAATAAATCATTTGTGCATTCAGTGGGTACCACTCAAGCTCTGCATTAACAAAAGTAGACATTTGACTAAAAAATGTAATTGTTTTATGGACAACAGAAACAATTGTTTGCTAGAGAACTGCATTTAAAGTATGTGAGCTCACTGCATGTAATTGTCTGCGTATTTGTACTATTTGAACTCACTGAAAATTATCTATGAAGGTCAGCCCTTGAGACAGTTTTACTGAAGTCTGACAGGACTTTCAGAAGCATATGAAGGAAAGTGATCGACAGGCAGTCCCAGGAGCTGTTTTCTTAGGAGAGGGTGGAAAAGTAGCATGTGATCATGCCTGTTCAAGACTACTACCTTATGGCATATCTAGAGCTGTGGCACTTTTAGTTTTTAAATGGTCTATTTTACAATATAAACATAATTTAAAGTTGCCTGTTTAGAGTGTGGATGTACAAACATGTTCTTGAAATGAGCTATTGTCCTGAAGCCACTAATTTGTTAGCATCATCCTGGCCCTTCCAAATGAAGTCACAAAGGAAATATTCATGTTATAATCTGTAAGTGAAAAGAGCAGCAATATGGAATGTATGCATGTATCAGTATAGCAGGAAGATTTAAGAAAATTTAAAATGCTAAAATGTAAAAGCTTGTAATAATTTTCCTAATTATGGAAAGACTGCAGAAAATATAGTTAAATGAGAGTAAATTCTGGCATACCTATCATTTGTGGGTAGGTAGAGTAGGGAGCACTCCGGTACAATAAAACTTAGCTGTTCTTCTGCAGAATATAATTGGTAGCATACAAAAAAAGCAAAATTTGCTTAGTTTCTCACGATTTTGAGATTAGTAACATTATTAGAAGTTTCAAGCAGTATCCCAAATAAATCCCTGTGAAGACATAAAACTTAAGGAAATGTGAAAATGTAAAACATGTTGCAAAAACTATGGAAGCAGAAGGAAAGGGCTACTAAACTTATAACATGAAAACCAATCACAATAAAAAAAACAGTTTGATTCTGTATTTAAGAAAAGCCGAATTAGAAGATTTCTAGTAAGCCTCTGATAGTGAAACAACATGGAGTTTTTAGATATTTATAGAATCTAATATCGTCTCCTAGTGCTTCTGCCTTTATAAACCAAAACAAACTCCAGACCATGCATGAATTTTTGTATAATAGGCAAAATGTGTACTTCAGGACACGGGTTTTCAAGTCTTTTTCAAGTTTTGAGGTTTACCTCATTTGAACAACCATTTCAAGATAGGTAGAACAACCCCAAATTGATCAGCCAAGTTTTTCCAGTTCTCTAGCTTGTAACCTGAATCGTGAAGAGCCAGGAGAGAGCTTTGAACAGCTCGCTCGCATGCACACCACACCCCCTCTCCCCAAACTGTATCGGCTGGGACAACAGATGAGCAGTAGCACTGGTATTTACTATATGACCTTTTACAGCTGCCATAAAATGGTTCATCCTCCTCCCTTAGGGCTATCACAGACATTTAGTTTGGCTGGTGGAGTTGTCAGGCTGCTTGCATGAATAGCCAGAAACTCTGCAATAGCCTTGGACTGGAGTTTGGTTTAGCTCATCTTTGGGCAAGGCAGCAGTCTACCACAAAAGGACAGAAGGAGAAGGGAAAAATATTCCTGCAGCTTCATCTGTAGAGGCTTCATCTGTTTTTTGCACTTGAGTGGTGCACTTGGGTACAAGAGATGTGCTTTTATATGCTGGCCTGTGCCAGTAGAAGCTGGGTGGCTCTACTATGCTGATAAAAAGAGAAAGGGTGGTAAAACAGCAGGTGGGTTAAGCCACACCAACCACAAAGAACTGAACAAAACCAGACACCAGTGGTGGATCAACATCCTGCAGAAATCCTTCCCACAGCTGAGAGACAAAGTGCCTGCCGAACTGAAGAACTTCCAGCTTTTTCAGGCAAGGCACCAGTGTAGGAGAGGCACTCGGCCTTGCGAGCATCCCTGACGTGATGGCACTGTGGTGGGAAGCAGCAGCCTGCCCTGAAGCGCATTTATCACAGAAGTTCGGAAGGGCTTTTCTCCTTTTCCATAGCAGCTTCTGGGTCACACAGCATCTGGCACCCATAAGAGGACGGGAATTTGGGTCAGAATTTGAGTTCTGAATTTTTGAGTGTTTTGAGTGAGTTTGAGTGTTTTTTTTGTTTTGTTTTGTTTTTATAAATCAAGGCAAGTCATGCAGAAATATGTTCATCTGCATATGCTTATGACCACTAAAAATCAGCATCAGTCAGTGGAAGAGTCAGAGCTAAACTCCAGCTTTCATACCAGCACGTTCCCAACCCTTGGAGCGAAGAGCAGCAACCAACCATCTGACTACCATTAAACATCACTAATAAAGCTGAAGGAAGTGATCTTGTGTTGGACTGAAAACAAAAGGTTTTGCATTTGCTTGGAAGCAGATCCTGCATGCTCACTCTTGGCAAGAACATGATAATCTTTCAACATTCTGAGGACTATTTACATATATGATACTTTTACTACTATTAACAAGAAAGACTAAGAGAAGCAAAACCCACTGTGGAAATAACTGTTGCTATTCTCTTCTGGGAGTCGTGTATGCACTGTCTTCATGAGCTGCATGCTCAAGGCACCCTCACCTCCTCCCCTGCTAAGAGGCTTTGCGATTTTTGAAATAGGTTATGGTACATAAAGTGAGAAAAAACAAGTCAAATGATTATGAGAAAATTCTTTTACAAACTATATACTGCCATTCTATAATCTTTATTCTAAGTGGGAGGCACCAAAAATGAAGCGAAGCGGCTAAATTTGAAAGTATTTTCACATTTTCAAAGCCTGAAGAGTTTCAGATGGAGATTACTCTTTCTTCCCCAACTCAGAACAAAGTCCAAAATTACTGGTTTTGAAACTTAGGAAAAGAGTTTTATCTTTTAGTCTTCCAGATTGTATTTGCTTGACAGAAATTTTAAACAATTCAGTCATTAGGTCAGCATGTTGGGCCAGAATATCTTTCTAGCTATGGGGAGTGGATTTACTCAAAATGCATTTTGAGTTTTATTGCACTTAAGATTCAGGTTCTCTGTGTCATTCCTCTTGTGCTATTATCAAGCTGAAGTAAGCTTTCCAATATTTCTGCTACAGATACAGTTCCTTTTTAAAACTTCATCATCTGTGAATGGTAAAATAGTGCAAAAAGTGCCAAATACTTCACAATTTCCAAAGCCTGGGCAACTCAAATCCAGCATTGTACTGTCCATGGACAAGGTAAGCTTCCAGTAAAGTTATGCAATAGTCCAGTTCCTCTAAACTGTTACCAACCAGGTCTCTTGTATATTTTCTAAATTAAAAGAAAATGGCTCAGCAAAAGGTGAGGCGAATTTGAACTGAGATGATAAACTTTGAGGTTGCTTGCAAGGAGCCTATTTTAGACAACAGGCTACATACCTAAGTACCTCTTTGCATTTGTGTCATCGTACACACACGGAAATACAGAGACATGGTTGTATGATCTTGTGATTCAATTCACAAAGCTTCTTATGATTCCTGAAAATTCCATAAAAATAAATGGTCTATAACATTAAACTAAAAAATCAGTATTTGTGAGAGTAGTATCTTTGCTTTCTGTAATTCTTTCCAGGCAGAATATTTTTGAGTCCATGTGCAATACACATTAAAAGAGTGGCTACATCAGATAACTATAGTAACCAGCATCAACAAGTAAGTAACAGAAGTGTATTTAAGTGTCCCAAATGCTAGTTTCTGAATTTACATTTTACAAGATGGTTATTTCAATCATTGCACATGACATATATTCAAAGTTGTCTAAACACTGCAAATAGCTTATTTAACTTTCCCACACTATATACTTTACTCTGAGTTGCTTCCAGCTTCACTGAGCCTTCAGTTCTCTGACTGAAACTTTCAAGGTTCAGTCTGTACAAGGGTGATCGTCAAAGTCTGAATGGAGACTTTCCAAAACAGATGAAAGCAAGAGAAGTTACTGTAAACTTAAATATAGATACAGGACTATTTATTTATTTATTTATTGTTCTCAACATATTCTGAGTCTGGGTCAGAAAAGCAAGTTTAGTAAAACCAGAGCTGCCCAGCTGGCTATGTAGAATGCTGTCTCTGAGGGGGGCTTATAAATCACCATTGATAAGTGAGCAAAAAGATTTGAGCACACAGTGACTGACAAGGCGTACATGCATAAAAACATTAATATTACTTCAGCATATGGTAGTGGAAAATTTACTTTTAAAATATGCCCAACTGTCACATCCGACATTGTCATAGTGTTAAAAATTTGGAGAGCGCTTGAAGTGATCACAAAATATCCAAGGCCAAAAATAGGTCTAAGGAAAAGCCTTCAGTCTAGTTAACTTACCCAAGAGACAGCTGGGAACTTGATCTGGAGATGAAAGTGTTTACATAACCAAAGTCTTAAAAGAGAACATGAATTTTCATTCTAAGTAAAAAAATAAAAAAATCTCTAATGACAACATACTATGCTTAGTAATGTTCATTTTATCCCATGGAAAGATAACTTCTTTCACTGTGAGAGACCCCTGGAGAAATGCTGCTATATTAAATAGACTATATAGGTCATTTGCCTATCATGAGTTTTCATGGGTCAACAAGACAGATATCATGGATATCATTGGTATACAATATAGGCAAAGAAGCTACCTCAACAACTTTTCCAACAGAAGTGTAATTAAGTCTTCAGAATTGATAATGATATGCTCTTGTTTAGTCTTTCAAATTCCAAGCCAGTTCTTTTCTTTCATCTTCAGTTTTTCCAAAAGGTCTTTGCCATTGCATTGCTGGCACCCTCTGCCTGGTTTTAAGTGTTCAGAACAAAAGATGTACCTTCCCCATGTATTACCTCGCACTATTCTGTAAAACTACCCACATAGTTCTGTCTGTGGGCCCAGATTAAGAGGAAAGACACTGAAAAAGAGGAGAGAATAGGCTAAAGAAACATGAGAGTAGTTAATAGACAAAGTAAAAAAACAAACAAGGCAATCTGCATCTAAATAATGTATTGTCACGTGAGAAATGTTGCAGCGTTCACTTTGCTGGATTCACACCTAGGCTGCATCTCATAACGCTCGTGTGGCTGTGTCAGACTAACCAGAGTACCTGGTTAGTCTGCCAGCTGCCTCCCAGCTCACATGCTATCTGATGCTGCTCTGCTGTCGTACTAACCCACTGATATCATACTGTTTCAGGACTGGTCTGCCTCTTGTCTGCTCCCGGACTGCACATACCTAACAAGCCCACTTCATTTCTGCCATTCCTGGTAATCATTCTTCAAACCAGCCATTTACTGGAGATTTCAAACTCCTCAAGTTTCAGGAAATGTGAAGAATTCAGGAAATGTGAAAAATGCTGCCCGGCTACAGAAACAATAATGTAGTCGAAAGAGTCATGATGGCCCTATGCAATGCCACAATTTGAAAGTGAGTGACAGTTCAGGTTGGGACAACAACAAAATAAACTACTGGCTCTCTGTCCTTCTTGTGAAGACTGGGAATCCTTCTGACCATTTCAAAGCAGCATGATGCTGGTAAGCACTCTCTCTTTGAAATAGCCCATCTGGCAGCTCATCTCCTTTTTCAAAGTTGCTGTATCCTACACCCCCTACTAACTTGAATACTCAAGATATTCAGCTGAGTGAGAGTTGTTATCAGTCCATTTCATCGTTTTTTTTCTTTTTATTACAACCCTGGTAAAATGGTTCTATAACATGGCTCTGAATAAATCTGTAAGTGTCTTATCTACCAAATAACATCGAATTTGTATGTTGCTGTTGATCACACAAATCATTTTATAGAGAACTAGCATTGATGATTCCTTAAATTCCCATAATATATAGCAAAAAAAATGGTGCATTAATGACTTAACAATGAGTATAACATTTTGTCCAGTGTTCTTCCAGATGCACAAGACAGCAAGAAGCATTCTTACTGAGAGCAACCACAAGCTACCTCTTACCATCTCACCTGGTGCCACCAGGTCTTCTCATGACCCCTTCATATTCTAGCTTCCCTGAAGGAGGAATTCAACAGAAGCTTGCAGAATTATCATACATAATTTGTAGTGGGATGAACAATTGCTTCATTGAGCAAAGTCCTGTTTGTACTCCAGAACCTGAAAAAATTGGCAATCCTGACTGCATGATGTGAGGGGAATAACACACTGGGAGAACATCTGCTGTCCCAACTGAGACTTGGAAGGAAATTTGACAGTGAGTACTTGGGATCAGTATGAGAAAAATCCTAACTGTCTGTTGTACACTTCAGGGGACTAATAAAGTTATCTGCCATCTATTTGTGCGCTGTTATTCATTCTTTTTTCTCTGTTTAGAAATCCAGATGTTGCTAAACTGAGATTTGGCCATGTGGCTTCCAGTGACTGAATAGTTTTTACTGCCTCTTGTTCAGAAAGACAGAATTAGTTAAAAATGGGGACTCCTGTATCAGAGATAAATACTAGTAAAAGCTTTCAAGCCTGATTCTTTCTGAAGGTGGAAACCAGGGAATTCTCCTGCAACTTGGCTCCTTTGGGACAGTCTCATATCCAGGCAGGGCAAGAGATGGCTGGAAAACATAACGAAAAGGTGGGGAAAGAAAGGAAGGAAGGAAGAAAGGAAGAAGGGAAACAACTTTAAATATTTTCCCAAAATGGGACAAGTTAAAAGGAACTCTTAATGATTATCTGGAAGCTTATTGTGCTTTCAGCTACAGCGTGGGGAAGTAGCTTTGTTTGCTTAAATGAACTAGAAGTGAGTACCCTGGAAGGATTCCAATCTGGCTAAAATTATTAAATCCAACTCACCCGTTTTGCAACCGATATCATTTTAAGAAGAGAGATAGGTGATTTGGTAAAATGAAAGGGAAGCTTAATGTGTCTATTTTGTCTGGGTTTGTAAGAGCCTTAAATGGAGTGTACAAAATTCAGGAAGTGTTATCTGGTGATGACTGATAAATCAATAGCATTCAGTAAGGCACACTTCCCTACTAATATGCATATGCAGTAACACTTAATTGTTTTAAATATGCAAAAATGTGAACATGAACAAACACATATAACATTTCAGATACTATTATAGACCTTTTGGAGCTGCACTGAAGTGTTGATGAAAATGGTATGCTAGGTATGTGTTACTACATAAAGATGTTTATGTTCTGGAGGTTTTTTGTTTTCTTAACCTTTGGAGTTAAACAGTTTGGGTAGCAAAAACTTGGTTGCCACAAGCCAATGGTTGAAAGAAAGTGTGAAATGTGCTTTGAGAATGACACAAGCCAAAAGTGGACCAACAAAAAGCACATTCTAGGTTAAAAAAACAATGAGAAGTGACAATGAGGTGCTATGTTAAAGAGTATCCTGTGATTTAAAATCATTTAGGAAATAACTTTTAAGAAGCATGTTCTGGTATCTATCTATATTTATGTCATTTTAATGCTAATTGAAATACAACTGTCTTCAACCAACAGGCATCTGAGGTGAATCTTTGCCAGAAAACAGAAGTTGGAGAGATTGACACTATCACCATGTAAAGCTGTAGCCTATCCTCTGTACACTCTCCTGGTGCTTACTGTAAGTTAACCCCATGACAGATGATTGCAGTTCATTTTTTAATAAATCAATGTAATAAATATTGATTTTAACTTTTTCATATGATTTTAAAAAGACATGATAATAGGTGAGGGTAATAGCTGAGGGTAAGTTAACATACCTAAAATGAATTATTAGATAAATACTGCAGTTCATCTACTCAGTTAAGGGCTTTTAACTGAATTAATTTCTCTGATGTAATGATTGTATTGAGCTCCAAAACGAAAGAAATTATTACCAGTTGAGGAGAGTACAGATTTCCTATTTAAAGATCGGACAAGTAAAAGAGCAGGACACATGTTTTAGAATTAACCATCCCTTTGCAATCACGGCATTTTTCTGAACACCTGTCTTTGTCTTTCTTATGTTTCCATGCTGCACTGAGTAGGAGAAATTAAAATGTGGGCAGTATGTTGACGTTCACAGCAAGCAGAAGACATAACTACGAAAAGTTATTTTAATACATTTTCAAATCTTTTCCTTAAGTACTTTGCTCGGGGTACATCAGAAGCCAAAACAGGAGACATTTATCAGTAAACAATGTTTATAAAGCATTTTAGACATTTTCCTATTGTTTATGATGATCACTTATGAGTTTAAAAATGTCATTTCCTTCCCTGACAGCCCCTAATTTTTCACTTTGCTTAATAATCCATAATTAGTAGTGTGGGTTTACATAGCGATTTGAATGCCTAAAAGTAGGAGACTAAGTTCTCTTATTATTCAAATAATTATGGACACAGGAAAAAAAAAAAAAAAAAAGGAAAAAGGAATTTGCTCCAACATGTGTTTTCCTGTGAAGGATTTGCATAGCTGTGCCAGTGAGGAACAGGACTCAAGATGTCATCTAATGAGGTTTCAACATTCTGCTTTATGGATCAGAATTAGTTCCTAGTGCCTGCAAAATTAGCATGTCTTCCAATCCTGTGGTAGCTATCGATGACAACTACCAGAGAACAGGTCTTGCACGTTTACATTTTTCACAGTTCCTCTTATGATTGTGAGACTGGAAGACTTAACAATCCCAAGGGACGTGACTTCCCTCCTCTTTAGCTGATGACTGAGAGGGTAGACACAGCCCTAGCTACAGCCTCTAGCCTCCACAGATGGTATCCTCTTTCCCACAAGACCCAGCCTGATGGGTCTTTGGACAAGCTTTTGTTGGCTCAAAGACAAGGGAAGGAAGGGTAGGATATCAGAGTGTTGGCACTTCTCCCAGCTTTTTGCAGCAGGAGTTGTGGGTGCTGTTCAGAAGCTCACTAGACCTATATATGACTGCTGTTAACTTACTTAGAAGGCTTAGCAATGGTTCACAATACAGAAGAGCCATAAATCCTGGCAGGCTGGAGTCAGAAAAAGAAAAACCAGGAGATATAAAGTAATACTAAGGCAGTAATGGTACTGTGTTATCCCACCACAACGGTCCTTTCTGGTGACTTACTGTGCAGAGTTCAGTTTAAAAAGATGTGACGGACCAGAGAGGATGGCACATTGCCCGAGAGCACACAGCGGGTGCAGCATTGTGTGAATGGATAGGTGTTGGATGCTTTTATAGACAGGAAGGAATGAGGATACAATGTTTACGTGATCTGACAAGGAACATGAAAAAAGTCAACAGTACAATTGCGATGCTGGTAGGAAGGTCAAACCCCTCGCCTATGCCCTCTTTTCTGCTAAAACAAAATTAGCCTTCCTTATTGTGCTGTAAACAAAACTGGTAGCATTGTCAGACCTGTAGCGTTTTTGACCTTGGCCTTTCAGTTGTTTGTAATTTTGCCAGACTTACTATTTATTACACCGAAACTGCATGTAGTATGCAGAGTGATTTGGATCAGATGGAAATGTCGGTGTGTACTGCAGCGTGCAACTTATGTCAAAGCCACTGTGCGTACTGCACTGGGACACTGCTCCTTCTGAATTCTAGATCAAGGGATTGGTGTTTGAGAGTAGAATGATCTTGATGTCAAAAATAAACTTTGAGTGTTCTTGCAAATGTCTACCTAAAGATGTCTGTGTCACAAACTTCTGAAAACTGTAGTTCATGTATGTTCTGTAGCTTTGCAGTGACTTTGTAGGGCTTAACAGCTGTGTATTCAGAAGATTGTGTTCATTCTGAGTATTGTATTTTCATTTTTTGCTCCTTGGCTACAGGGGCTGAACAGATTTTCCCTGAATTGCTTCTTTTGACTATTTAGTCCTTTGCAGTAGTATTTTTTTCCAATGCAGAGAATGTGTCTTCTGTCCTCTCTGCTGGTCACTGTCTGACTGCCAGCAGGCATGCAGGCAGTGCAGGGGAGAACGGAGTGAGCTGGGGAGAGATGACCAAGACTAGAGATGAGGCACACCAGATACACGGCCAGGAACAGGCATGGGTGTGCATCGCAGAGACAGCTCTGTAGGGTCAAACTCCTTGCAGGTCCTCACCGTTCGCTGTATGCTCCAAGTCACGTAAAGGAGAAACAACTCTGCTTCAGTTCACTTCCACACAGGAGCAGAGACAGGTTGCTGAGAAGCTTTAAAAGGAGGAACAAGCAGTTGGGGTGACCAGTGAATCTACAGATCCCCAAGTTACGTGTTATTGTTATCATTGTCCAGCAGGGCACCCAGGTTTTAACTCTTCAGGAATAACAACAAATCAAACTGCAGCTTGCTTGGCAAGACAAACTGTTTATTTAGCAGGAGAAACGTGAGCTCTGCTCATCTAAAATCAGTCATCTGAAAGATGATGACTTCTCAACTGACTGCCCCCTCCGTTAGATGGTTGATCTGACCTTGCAAGTTTAGGAATCCTGGATTTCCAGTGATGAGGTTTCCTTCTAGAAGCAGTTGAAATGAATCAGCGTCTGTTACAACTTTGTCCACAGTTCTTTACAGGACTGTCTCCGTTGTTTGGTCTGTCTTCTGGGCTAATCAGCGAGTATCTTTTTTGATCTTTTTTGATTTCTTGCCAATTATTTTCTGCACCTAACTTTCTTAGAGGCTGTGCCATTTTGGTTTGTTTGTTTTTGGAGATCTTAAGAACTATGCTAAAAGAGCATTAAGGTTATAAATGAGAGTTCTTAAAATGAGGGGTATGCTTGATTTAGGGTTGCTCTCAACAGCCATTTCTATGAGGAAAAGAAGGGTTTCACAAGTGATGAGACAGCAACCAGTTTTATTATTAATAAAACAATGGTCATGAGAAGACAACTAGCAGATCATGCTATGAAAAAAACAGTTTGTGACCATACACAATAGTTAACAATTAACTGGGAAGAAAATGTCAGCCTGGAGACATTGGGCAAAAGGAGTTATCCAGCTGTGTATTGCAAAAGATCTTGGGATTTTTGCTGGAAGCTCAGGAAGGATATTTGTTAAACAATTTGACTGTGGTCACATAGGTCAACATCCTTTATGGTGAGATACTCATGACCACCCCCAGAACACGCGCTACTTTCTGGGATAGCATTTTATCAGCCTTGGAAGATAATTCTACTGGGAATGCTTTACAGTTAGCATAAACAGCTCCAGCTCATGCACATGAAGGATTTGCATTGCTGGGCACATCAATGAAGAACAGGACTCAGACACTATCCGAATGGGTCTGGGTAAATGATTCCTGCTCTTTACAGCATGTTGGAAAGCTAAGCATTGCTGTAACTTCTTGGTGGCAGAGCATACATCAATGGACAAAGGTGACACAGCTTGAGACTGTTCTTGGTGAATTTGCTGGCTATATTTTGGAGATGTAATAGCATACAGAGATAAGTTTAACCAGTTTCTTTCACACACTTCCATCCTTGCAGTGCACTGCATGTGCATTGATTGAGATTGGGAGAGCTACAAGGGGAGAAGAGGAGTGTTGAGGAATATCTCATCTCTAAGAAGTTCACTGGATGTTTCAAGGCTGAACTCACCCATCCATGTGTGCCCCTTTCCCAGTCGTCAGTGAGCTTTACAAAGGCAGGAGCTCATTGTGGCACAGGTCAGGCAAGTAGAGGTCTTGGAGAAGGGAATGGAAAGAGAGGATAAAGATAAAAGATAACTCTCACTTGCTAGAAAACGGAGATTACTAATTAATTTCATATACACCACCAAACAGCTATTAAGCAAAAACGTTTTTTGTTTAAAGGATGGGATGTGTTTGAATCCACAGTATGAAGATGAAAAACTGCACAGTCCTTTCATCTTTAATTTTCATTTTAGTTTATTTCTTTGCCACATTACAGTCTTACAAGAGAAGGTTAGGATACATCCCAGACCCACTCCAGAATAGATATGCTTCTGTCTCCATTTCTCCCGGGTTTGCAGAAACTTGTAAGAAGCAGATTACTTTTCATTAACACATTTAGAGATTTTTTTTATTCACCTACTGATAGTTGCTGCATGGGCTTATTTAGGATAATCTGCAAAAGAGTGACTAGAAAGTCAGACTTAAATAAAACGCTTTATGAAACGCCTTCTGCTTTCACAGCTATCAGTTTCTATTCCAGATTTATTTATAAATGCTGTAACTCTCTGCTTCCATAAAACCATGATATATATAACTATTTAGTAACTATCACAGTTATCTGGTTTATTCTTTACTTTTACTGCTGTTGATAATGGACAAAGATTATACTGAAACCTCAGATATTTACCTGAATAATTCACATTTTCTGCAGACCCGTTGTTGATTGCACGACTTCTCTAAGCAGAATGGCCTTAAACCATATCTTAATACAGAATTGCATTTCTTGTGCACTTTTAGCATTAGTTCTAAGTTGCATTTGTTGCATTACATGCGGAAAGATATCATTAGATCCTTAAAGCAGTTCCCCATCTGCAGTTCCTGCAATCCTTGTTGTAATAAACTGTGATGTACATTAACTCTGGCAAAACTTTTCAGTTTCAGCTATGCCTGTAGGTTGTTGCCTGGAGAAATCAAGCTTTTTCGTTGTTGCAGTTGATGCCAAGACTGAAGCAGCACTGAGCCGGCAGGGATGGAATTGAAATCACACCTTGTACTTCGATTGTTTCACTTCGGACACTAGAAAGATGTGATGGATCAGTTGATTAAATTTTGCAGTATTTTGTATGCTTTAGTGTAATTATACAGATTATCCCAGCTGGAATTGTCAGTCAAAATATATAAGCCAACTTTTTAAAATAAAGATTTCAATTTATACAGAAAATCAAGAGTGCCTAAAACTTTGCTTTTATCTTAATAAAATTAAAGTGCTTAGAGCAGGTTTTCTCTGTATTTTCTGATACCTTACAGGAAACTGCAGCATGGTTTCTTTTCACATATACCTGTAAAGCCACCTGAATTTTGTCACACAGCCTTTCTGATTTTTTTTTTTGATTTTTTTTTTTTTTTGTACTGACCCTGTGGCAAATCTGCTGACTTGCTTTCTTTTAAGTGTTTTTGTTTATTTGGTGGATGGGGAGTGGATGTCTGCTGTAATTACTGTTGTTTGGATTGTGTCCACTGAGAAAAGTAGACGGGCCTGTGGGAAGCCTCTGCGTTATGGGGGTCACGGCAGGGCAGAGCCAAGTGTGCTTCATCTCCCACCACTGCACACACTTCCTCTGCTGGCTGTGCCAGCCTGAGAGGCAAATTGTTCAAATGCAGCTGCTGGAAACTTCTTCCTACATCTCCCAGACCAGGCAGATTGTGAAAAGTAACATCAGGTTGCTTGGGTGCCTTCTCCGGTGGCTGATAACTCTATAAGACTGATAGCACAGGGCTTTTCTGTCATTTATTTTTTTGTGTAAACTGACATAAAAGTATGAAGTGAAATGTTTAGGTGTTGAGCAGTTTTCATGCTTGTTGTTTTTCTTTGTGGGGATAACTTCTAACAACCTGTTTTAAAAATTGAGACCCATGGAGCAACCAGGCTCAGCTTTGACAGTCTAAAACTTGTGAACAGTTTTCCTTAGCATGTGCATTGAAATTTTTTGTATGAACAAGTACTGAAGATAAATGAGTATGGGAAGACCAAAACTTAAAATGTGTGTTGTCCTGTGATGCTTACTAGAAACATTCTGGACTTTATAACCTCAAGTGGGTCAAATGTATCTACTTAATTTAATTCTGCAAGACAAGCATGTCTCATCTGTTCCTTGCAGAAAAGTAAAAAGGCTCTTTATGTAGGTGTGTTAGTGTTTTCCTTGAGCTGCTGTGGAAGGAGAGAGATTAACTGTGCTTCTACTTTCTTTCCAACTGCTTGTGGGTGTACAATACCTTGTTGCAATTTTGTTGTTGTTGTTGATCAAATGGAAAGAAAATAGCCATTTTCTTCTTCTATTTCCTGTAAGTGGTGCTACTGTAATAAAGGCTGTTTCCTCTCAGGTTTTTATGGTGCTTTTGCTTTTTCGCATTTCATCTCTCTGTTCTGACTCTCTCCCCTCTTGCTCTCATTCATTTAATTTGATCTGAGTACCTCAAAGAAGAATTAAAGTAACAAAGTGCCATTTTTTACAGTCATCTTTATATATTTTTTTCCTGCCCACCTCTTGGCTAAATACAGAGCATGTTTTTCTGAGTCTTGGTATCATTGCAGTTAGTGCAGTTTGGGGCAATAAGTGCTTGAATACTTGAACCTGCTTTCAAAGAAGCAGCCATGTCATTTTTTTACCATTCTTTCATTTATCCCCATGCTGTCTAAGCCCAGCACAGTTACCAACATTATCCACAAATATTATTTGCTCTTTTTTGGTGGTTACCCATAAGTTTTGTTGTTCTGCCCAGGCTGAAGTCCTATCTATTTAGCAGTCCTTCCTTCCTTTCAGGCAACTCCTCCCACACAGCTTGACTCACTCTACTTCGTGGGATTTTCCAGTCACAAGAATTTATTGACCCAGGTGCTGTTACTGTTATTCGCCCTGTAAGCACTGGAAAGTTAGAGAGGTTACCTGGCTGTCCTGCTCTATCAGCACCAGATAAATACTGACCCCAGAATTATTACTTGTGACACCTTCCCTTTCGGATTCGAGTCTGCGTCAGTAACCTGGCAGCAGTGAAGGGTTTCCCAGTGCCTAAATGAAACAGATTTGGGTTGTAAACCCTGATAACATGGAGCCTTTTCCATGGAAAAGGAATTGTGCACTTTCATACATGAAGTTGGCAATCGGTAACTACTTAAAACCTGCTTCATTTACGTGAGCTCAAATAGCTAAGTGGGAAAAGAGTATTTTATTTACTTTTGTGTGTTGCAAAAGCAATGTATTTACAGGAATACGCTGGGATGCTTTGCTAGGCTCCAAGCTTTGACGGGCTGCTTCAGCAGGTAAGGCGCTGAAGAGCGAGCACAGCTCGGGCTCGCGGAGGTGTAATTCTGATTTTGGCGAGATCAGCGCGAGCTCGGTGAGCAAAGCGTGGCCGCACCGCTCCGCTGCAGCGTTACAAACGAGTGGCAAGGGAGAAGCCGCGGCCAAGGGCACGAAGCGGGTTCTGACGGGAAGAACCAAGCGTGGGGACTCGGTGCTCTCAGGTGCTCCCAGCCCAGCCGCCCCCTCCTCTGTCAGCAGCACCCCTCCGGCTCGGGACCCGGAGCCTGCAGCCAGCCCCGGACCCCCCGCCCGGAGCCCCCCGGGCGGCGCCGCGCCGCGGGTCCCCGCCCTCCGCGGCCGCCCCCGTCCCCCCCTCCCCGCATTCCAGCGGCGGGGCCGGGCCGGGCCATGGCGGCCGGGGGCAGCTCCCGGCCTGCCCCGCGCCGCCCGCCCGCCCCTCGGCAGCTCGCCCGGCTCCGCCCGGCGGCGCGGCGCGGCCCGGCCCAGCCCGCAGCGGGAGCAGGGCGCGAGTCGGCGGCTCGGAGCTGCGCGGCGGCCCCAGGCAGCCCCCGCCGCCCCCCGGCCCCCTCGGCCCGAGCCCCGCCGCCATGCGCGGCGGCGGGCGCCGGGCGCTGCCGCTGGTGCTGGCGGCGCTGGCGGCCCTGGCGCTGCCCCGCGGCTGCGGCGCCGCCATGGACGAGTGCGCGGAGGAGCGGAGCGGGCGGCCGCAGCGCTGCATGCCCGAGTTCGTCAACGCCGCCTTCAACGCCACGGTGGTGGCCACCAACACGTGCGGGTCGCCGGCCGAGGAGTACTGCGTGCAGACCGGCGTCACCGGCGTCACCCAGTCCTGCCACCTCTGCGACGCCGCCCAGCCCCACCTGCGGCACGGCGCCGCCTTCCTCACCGACTACAACAGCCAGGCCGACACCACCTGGTGGCAGAGCCAGAGCATGCTGGCCGGCGTGCAGCACCCCGCCGCCGTCAACCTCACCCTGCACCTGGGTAAGGCGGCGCGGGGCCGGCAGCCCCTCGGGGGGGGAATGGCCGAGGGGTCGCTGAGTAACCCGCGGTAACCGCACGGCCCCGCCCCGGAGCTCAGCGACGCGCCTCGTCCTGCAGAAAGCCCCGCTTGGGGTCAGGGGGGTGGGCGTCGGGTTTCGGGACCTTTGGGTGGGATGTGCCCGTGTCTCATGTGATGGAGGCGAGCCGTGGGCTCCCCTGGCAGCAGCGCCTGCCGCCTGCACCCACCCTGGAGCCCCTGGTGTTGGGAGCGCTGCGATGAGCGCACCGGCGTTACCGGGGCTAGGGGAGCGCGTTTGAGTTAGGGCAGGCGGTAACACCTCTTGTTCTGCTTTAGTTTTTACTTTTTGTACATCGGGAATTGTTATTCTCGTCATTGGAGAAAGCAGTAAGCTAAGAGTTGATTTCATGTATTAATAGAACATCATCATAATCCTTTATATTACGGTAAACCTTAGATCATCATCATAACCCTTTATATCAAGGTAAACTTTAGTTTATAGGCTTATCTGCATTACTGCTGCATTTGGTCCTGTGCAGCTCTGTGTGTGTATATATATATCATTTGAAAAACAATCCGCTTTTCTAACATACTAGAACAAACGATGTGCCGTGTCCCAGGCTTTGAAGAAGTGTGCTCGTGTCTTTTGTGAAAACACCATCTTTAAAACATCGCTGGCAAATCAATATTGTGGCACTGCAATGTGGCATCGTCAATCACCTGGGTTTCAGGTTTGTTTTAAAGGAAAGCTGCCTGCCCCACTATGAGGTGCTTGCTCTGGGCTTGATTGTGGCAGGAGTTAATTTTAAGACTTAATAGCAAAGTGTTAAGCTACTTATGCAGGTGGTGTTGTATGGTTTTGTGAGGCGTTTGGGGGCACGAAGCCCTTCTACACAACTGATTCTGCATGATCTCCAAGGACCCGCTTGATGCTGCAGCCGCCTTTACTCCTGAAAGCGCTGCTATCCTGGCTGCTCAGCACTGCTGTGCGCCCCTTCAGGGCTGGCAGCATCCCCTCTGTGCCTCCAGCTTGCAAATGCTGACCTGTGCTGAGTTTTTGCCAACTTGGGATGTCTTGATTAATGTACAATGATGTTCGGCCTGTGTAGAGCAGGGTAATGTTTTCCTGCCACAGCAGAAGGCAAATAAGAGATGCAAGGCTGTTGTCAACATGTGAAAGCGGGCTGTTGGGCCTTGTAACTTCTTTGGAAATTCTAAGAATTTACACATCAAGTTTAAAAACCTTAGCTTGGGAATTGGATGCTAGCAGGCAGGTTGGTATAGAGAATAGCGTGGATCAGCATTATGAAGTTGCAGGTGTGTGTGGACAGGAGATCTCAGCCCAAAAACTATGATGCTCATAGAAGAGAGGGGAAATTACCACCCCTTCTAGAAATGGCTATCAGCAGTCATAAATGCTTCTTATCTTCGTATGAAAGAGCACCAAGGCCCTCCAAGTAAGAGCCTTCCCCCAAGAGCTCTGGAGAAGCGAGCGTGTCTCTGATTCGCATGTAAGCGAGCTGATGGGTGAGAGCAGGAGCGCACCGCCATGTCCTTCCCTTCCACTTTCATAAAAGCATCCCCTTGCTTCCCCCAGCTGTCAGCTCCTGAGGCTGAGTTCTTTCTATCTGAGCTTTGCCCAAAGTAATCTTCCTTTTTTCCAGTGCCATCCTCCCCCCTTATTCCCATGCATTCCAAGAATCAGGGACTTTGGGAAAGTGATGATGGCTTGTAAGCTGAGTGTGGAAGCTGAGACGCTGCGATGTGTAGGTAGTTGTCTTCGCTTGTTTCTGAAGTCAGTCCCATCGTTTTTACAGCCTGTGCCGTTCACTTCTGCTTGCAGCACTGGGACAGTCCTGGCATCTCCCCAGCACTTTGTGTGCACGTTTTAGTACAGCTTTGCTAGTTAGACCCCTCATGCAGCAAAACAAAGCCTTGGGGTAAAGCTTTAACCACTGGAAGAAGAGGACAAGAAAAAGTGTGGACTATTCCCAGTGCTGGCAAAGGCTTGGTTCCAGCTGTTGGGATCCCAGCATTTTTTTCCTTGGACGAAGAGGCAGCATCCATCCTCGGCACACCTGCAGCTTTGCTGAGAGCAATCCTGCTTCTGTCCTCTCTTCCTCAGCGCCGTCTGTTGTAACAAACACATTAGCTGTGTTTGTGGGGCTGGGTCGCAGTTAGAGCTGAGCCCTGCTGCTCGTGGATTCTTCTGAAATCCGTGCTGCAGGCTGGTCTGTAAGCGCCCCTCTCCACGACGGTCGGCATCTTGTCAATGTAAGATAAAGAAAAACTCATTAAAGCCCCTGGCTGTTAGGAGAAATGGGTTGTGAGGCTCCTTCACCTCCCCCTTTTCTAAGCGCTCAGTCCTTTATTTGGCTTTGAGGAGAGTACCGATGCTTGGTTATATATACTCTGCCTGCAAAGCGTACTTTGGGGCATGACTGCCATTTGAAGGCATTTGCAAGGAAACCCAGGCAAGATGCCAGCTTTTATGTTCAGCTTCAGTTTGATTTGCCAGTTGTTTGTAGCAGAAGAGATTTTTTTTTTTTTTAAGCACAGAAAGGCAGCTTTTTTTTTTTTTTTTTTTTTTTTTTTTAAGGAAGGGCCACAAAACGTGCCCTAACTCAAGTATTCAGTTTATGCAGCTGGGAAGCAAGCAGTCGCCGCAGGTTGTCCTGGTGAAACCTTGCAGGCTGGCCGGGCGCTGCCTTCCTAGGAAACTGCCATGGAACTAAATCGAGCAAGTGGGTCGTTGGCGTGTAAAGGTTTGCATAAGTAGTTAAAACTAAACCCTGAGAAAAGGTGATTGATTCATTGGCAGAGTGTTCCTAGCACTTACGTAGGCACTCCGGGTTTGTGAGTGCCCAAGTACACTGTGACTCCAGCCTAAGATCCTCCTCAGTTACTAGTTTGGCTTTCAAATTAGGGCTTTTAGGGGATGCTCTCACTGCCTACTCAGAGTACCTACTCAGGTGAGAGCCTACTCAGCAAGCGGGCTCACCCAGCATGGTGTTGGTTATTCCCAAACAGCAGAGCATGGAGGGGGCAGGCTGAGGAGCTCAGTTCCTGACCTGCATTTCCTTCTGCAGGGGCTTTATCCTGCATCTGTAATCTTTCTTCAGTAAAGGCTTTTTATTGTGCAAGCCATTTAATTTGGAAGAGTCCCCTGTGCCGAACACAGCACCTTAGCAGTGCAATTTGTTGGGAAATCCTCAGGAGACGTTGTTGGACCTGGGCTGGGAATGGCTTGCCCAGTGCTCCAGTGCCTTCTCTGTGGTATTTGCAGAGCCCTGAGGGGACTCTATTTTAGTTGGCCTCACAAAGGCTTGATTTACATTTTGCAGGTTTCAACATGAGTAGTTAAGAGATCAGTTTTTTTAATGGCCAGCAGTTGTTCGGTGCAGTTATATAAAGTAGCTCTAAAGCTCTTTATCGCTTCTCACATACTCCTTAAATTCCAAAGTTTTCTCCAATTCCTCTGTCCTGCGTCCTTCTTGGGATGCTGATGGCAGTGAGGCATTTGGGAATACTATACATGGCAGAGCACTTATTTTAGGGGATGGAGCGAGCTGCGATTGGGTGGTGTTTTTGCAGCAGAAATAGCTGCTATTTGTGGTGCTCGTCCTGAATTGCTGGAAGGATTAATCACCAGTTTTGACACAGACACATAGCTGTTTTTGTAGTTTTAAATCTTGGAAACTATTGTTTGCTGAGCTTACTGAAAAATTTCTGGTTTGCTCAGTAGCATTTGATTTGCAGCCCAAAGCTCCAGGGGGCTGGCTTGGCCTTGGCAAGGCTGCAAGCGAAAATCTCGGGCCGCTGCTTCTCATGGAAATGAAGAATGACACTGATCTGCAGCCTCTGGTTTACCGTAATACTTAATCAGCAGCATAAAGAGCATAGCGTTGATGTCCTTCATCATGCAGCTCTTGCCAGGGTGGTGCTGGTACCGCTTGTGCCCTTGGGGCCCCGGTGCACTGATTGCTGCTGGTAGTAGTGCTGTGGTAGCTCCTGCACGGGATGGCTGCTGTCTACCTGTGCCTTAGCTGGCATGAGGGATAAAATCAGGTCAGCCTACACTTATGTGTCTCTTCTTCATTGAGTCTTGCTTATCAGTGGCTAGCACAATGCGTTTTAAAGTTGGTTCAGAAAATAACACGAGTTCTGTAACAGCCCCGTAGGCTGAAGGAGCTGTGTGGCCTCAGCTGCCCCGCAGCACAAGCCTGGTTTTGGCCCAGGCACGGTGAGCCCAGGGAAATTCGCTGGCTGTAGGTGGAGGACAAGTGTGGGTGGGTGCCTGTGTCGAGGACCTGTGGCAATACTAGCTCTGTTCGAAACTCACTGCGGTATTTGAGCAGCTTAAGGCAAAGGCCTTCCCTGAGGATGGACTTGGGGTCGGTTTGTTGGCTCGTGGCAGCCTGTGAGCGGTGTGAGATTGAGGGCGCGTTGGTGGTGGTCTGCCCTGCGTGCCTGTGAAAGCAGGTGTGTTATTAGACCGTGTTTGCCGTGTCTTGTCTGCACGCTGGATGCAACCACTGCTCTTGGGTGTGTGAGAGGGGCCCGTCCCTGTTCTGCTGCCATCACAGCGACTTCTTTCCAGCAACGTGCTCGTGTGAGGGCGGCGTTGGCCATCCCATCGACACCGACGAGTGCTCTGGCCGGGTGCTCAGCACACCCTTCGTGCTGTGAGATTAGAGAGCTGCCACCCGCAGAAGCGTACGGCTGTCAACCGGGGCCGTGGGGGTGAGGCTGCCTCCCACAGCCTGCCAGGCCACAGGTACGGGCTGGTACCCTGCTGTGAGCCTTCACGGGGGGCACCGCGTACTTCTGAGGGAGCACATCGCAACTTCTCAGACTCTCCCCTCTACAGAAGCTCCTACAGAGGTGGAGACTTCAGCTGCAAAAAGGAACAGAAATGGTAAGGGAACTTTATTTAAGTTAAATGCAAACCACCCAACCTCAGTCTTTAATCTCTTTTCTG